TGAACCTTTGATCCATCTGCATTTTCGGCTTCTCGTACTTTATCTTCCTCCATTCGTGCAGTCAATTCCATATTAATCCTCTCTTGCATTTCCCCTGTAGCTTTCCGTAATGCCCCTAAATATGCGGTCCTCTCATTGACATTGTCTGATGCGGGCGGCGTAGGTAATTTATGGACGTGCTCAAACTTTTCGTTGTTTGGGGAAGAATATGTTGCCAACAGGACTTGATACAGAGTGTCAGGTTCAGCCGCAGAGGCGGAGGTGGTGGTAGTTGTATCTGACATCGCCATTATTTTTTGTTCCTTTTATTTTGGGGAGGTATTCGCAGAATCATAAAATGTTGTGGGGATCTTCTGCGATTCTTTTCAATCGTTGTTTTGTTTCTTAAAGTTTTCGGATTTTATCTGGCGTCGGAGACCAGGTTTAGAATCCCCCGCGAAGTTCCAAACAAAGTCCAAACTACGATTTTACGGGCTAGAATTCAACAAATACGAAAGAGTAAGGAAAGCTTAAGCCTAAGTACTCGGAACATCACTACCCAGCCAGGTATCAGACATGGATTAAACTTGATAAGGTGATATTGATCAAATAATCCTACCGTCGCATTGGCATCAAACCCCATTCTTTAGATCCTTCTTCGATATTCATAACCTCCACAACCAACAACACCATTTTTCAGATTCCATCATCGAATCTACTTCTCTCTTTAGTTCCTTCTCCTTTCTTCAATTTTCGTTCTTCTTTCTTGACTCTCTTGCGGAAATGTTCAAGACACAGCGTTCGTTCGCTACAGTTAACGCCCCGCTGTTGTACCCTGAAAGATACGGAGGACTAACGCAAAACATATAAAAGTCCCACTTCCAGCAAGACAACCATGTCGCAGTCAACAGGGCCTTCTCTGCCAAGGGCACCAGGGAGCTTCTCTCCAATTGTGCAACAGTCCTCATCGTCTCAGGGACCCCCACTGCGAAGAATTGAGTCCTCATCATCTGAAGATTTACCTCCACCTCCCTCCCTTGGCAGCAGAGTTCGTCCACAGTCGCAGAATGCGCCTGCCCCTCCACGTCCTTTTTACGCCCAATCAACCAAAAGCAACTCGAGCAGCACCAGCTTACAGAACTTCTCACGGCCAACACTCGCGCAAGTACGAACTGATATCGGTGGTACACCATTGAGGAATGCGTCGCCTCTAACTGCAATAGCTTCGAAATCATCCATCAGTGATTTTAAAGTCCACGGCCGCAAGCATTCACAAACTCAAGGTTCTTTTGAAGCTTATTTACCAACTGCCGCATCATCCAATCTGGGAAGCATGTCAAATCTAAACACAGGGCTTTCTGCGAGTCACATAGCTGCCCAGGCTGCTATGCAACACCAAGCGCAGCATGCGCGCCAAAGATCCCAGACTGTACCAACTCCTCAATTGGATACTTCATCGAATAGCTCTGGAAGCAGAAGGCCTTCCAAGGGTCCCGTTTCACCACCGCTGTTAAGTTTGACGGAAGCTTCAGCTCCAAGGGATACTAGTTTTGGTGGGCAAGGATATCATAATGGATTACTAGGGGCAGGATCGAATGTCGCTCAAACAGCTGCCAATGTTGTGTTTCCAAAGTCTCCCGGGTCATCGCCAGCATTGACACCCACAGAATTTGAGCAACGGAATCTTGCTCATGTTCAAGCACAAGCAAAAGCACAAGCTCAAGCCCAGTTATTACAGGCGCAAGCGCAGTCACAAGCACAAGCTCAAGCTCAAGCCGAAAAACCTGCCAAAACGGAAAAGTCCAAAGTCAAGCTATTTTCGAGGCCTGGGAAGATCGGCATTACTAAGGATAAAGAAGCGAAATCTGGAGGTCTTCCAAGTCCCAGTAGGGTTATTCCTATGTATTTAAGACATTAGTAAAATACTCAGCTAACAGTTATACCAGATGCTTCAGGCGCTCCGAGTATGTACAGCATGGCGAATTCTTCTTCGGTGACGATACGACCAGTCGATACATCACAACCAGAAAAAGAAAAAGACAAGGAAAAACATAAACATCATTTTCTGTCACGGCAGAAACACAAGCTGAGCAGCAAAGACGATCATCATTTACCATTGTCATCGGCAGCTTCGAATTCCAAACCCGTAGATCCAAGTGCGCCAAGTAGCTTGTATAACTTCAACCTTCCACCGAGTCCAGGCCCTACATCTACAAGTTTTGCGAAGAGCATGAGTGGCCTAGATCTAAGACATGGAGGAAGGGCATTAAGAGAAAAGAAAAAAGAAGAGAAAAGCGAGACCTTGAGGGAAGGAGAATTATCATATCAAAACAGTAACGAATGGCCTGGACCATCTAGTCTTGGTTCAGCAGGTGCATCGTCGTACTTAGGTTCTGCGGGAGTAGGATATCCTTCTAGCCTTTATGGAGTCGACACGGCGGATTTGGGGAAGTATGGACTGAATAATATGGGAGCAGACGATGCATGGCCATTTTTAAAAGCAAAACTACTAGTTATATTTGAGGGCGAAGACTTAAGGTTGTGTGTGGAAGATCTCAATCGTCTAGTCACGTAAGTATTCATCAACCCCTTTAAATTGTCCAATTCCCTAACAATATTCTAGTACCCATATTCAACGCTGTATACAAAAGAGATGCCCAAATCATGTTATAGAAGACTTGCAAGAGTTACTCGAAACAGGCTTCAGATCCCTTGACCAAACTTTGCGCCGGACTCCTGATGAACGCCTCATACCACACCTTGTAGAAATGTGGCTCTTCACTTTCACAATAGTCCTTCCTTACATGCAAGCCGTTTTTCTCCCGCTTGATCTCGAGTTTTCTGGCCATGGACCCCTCATGTCACCAGAAGTAGCGCGCGAGACCTGGGGCGTTATCTCTTCATCTCAGTCCAACTCCTTTTCCAATGTTCCTGCAGGTCGTGCTCTCGAGGTGCGCAAAATAGTGCTTATAGCATACCGCGACACAGTAATCATTCCTCGTTACGAAACGCTGAAAGGATTATTCTCTCGCCTCTCCCTTGATTCTATCAGTCTCAGTCTTCCAAACTCGGATATAAGATCCCCAAGCCCAGATAGTCAAGGAAGACCAGGAACAGCCATTAGTTTAGATCCGAGTCATGGATCTTATTCGTCTCAAAATACCACGCTTTTGGGAGGCGGAAGTTCAGCGGGTGATAATTCTGGTTCACGTTCTCGAGCGATCTCGAATGTCAGTTATGGATCCGAACATTCTGCAGGTGGAGGTCTTGGTATTTCCGGAATGCCGCCTCCTCCAAGACCATTCACACCAAGTAGTACTCACCCAGCGTTGGCCTATGGATTAAGTGCGCGAGAAAGAAGACAGGCAAATGTAGAAGATTCGTCTAAGAAACTCACAGAAGCTGTGGGTAGAATGTTGCAATGTATGAGTGTACTTAGTAGCGTGGGTATACGAGCGAGCAATGATTCAAGTCAGGAGAAGATGGAAGACTTAGGACGGGGTCTTAAGTTGAATTGGTTAGGGAGAGGAAGGACAGGGAGGAATAGGAGAGGGTTGGTGGGTGGGAGAGTGGGACAACCGGGGGCGAATTTATGATGGGTTGTGAGTGTGCAAAGAGGGTTTCAAGGCTACCTGGTGTTTGGTTCTCTCCTTTTTGGGTTGGTCATGATTGATGGATCAATGGGTAGGTCGGTACCTAGGTAAATACCGTATTTTTGAATTAGGTGTCTGGTGGGATCATGTCTTCTGGCATTGGAATCGGTCCCGGTATCGTTGGTTATGGAGGGCCACTGTTTTAACTACAATCTTCCGTTGCTCTTGTGGAAGGTGGGTGAGAGACTGCACTCTCTCAATGGTTTCGCTGGCCTGCTTTGTCATGGTTTGTTTCGTGCAATTGAGTTTGCACTGTAAAATATGTTATTGGGAGGATACGATGGAACATGTGTATATATATGTATGAATATGATGAATTGAAAAATGAGAAAAATTAGATAGAACCTGATACTCGTCCTTATATTTTCTGTGAATAGTTGAAAGCTTTGGAGGACATTGAACGAGATTTGTAAGGTTCTATCCCCGCCCAAGCCGAAAAATACCGAGCATTGAGCATGCAATTGCTGATGCTCAAGCTCCCAATTATCCCTGAGCCAACTTCAACCACTCAATTCACAAATCCAAACATTCAGACCATCAAATACCCTCCTTCATCCTGCCTCCCGCTTTCCCTTAATCTACCTCATCTCGTCTTTGCTTCCCCTTTCCCTCTCCCCTTTCCCGCAATCCTATCAACCCCCATCTGGGCAAACCCCTTCCCTCTCTCGACCAATTGTCTCAGAAATTCATGACTCTTTTAAAGAAACATCTAAAACAAACCCTTTCCTCCTACATCCTCATGCAGTACCAACGAGCACAAACATTCACGACGAGCGATAACCGAGCCCATCTTAAAAGGTCTGGGGAAGCGAGCAAGCGAATCAGTGATGACGGAAGTACAGCATGGAAGAGCTCGCGCACGCAATTTCCCCTCCGAGTTTTAGATATCACTCTACTCATTCAGGACGCTGGTTTTGTTACGGCTTCGCGTCTTTGATTTATGCATAGGGGTAGCGCGCGCCGGGTTTTTTTACTCATCTTTATTCACCACCTCGTAAATTTACCAAGTTGACTTGCTGAAATCTCGTGAAGCGGCGCGAATCCGCGTCGCCTAGCAGTAAATTTCTTATCGTGATATAGAGAATGTGAAGAGTCCATGTACATATACATACATGAGCAAAGCCCCTCTCATTTGAGAGCATCTCGTGGGTTGATCTCAGGTTGCATGAGGAAGAACAATATTTCTTGAACAATTACCTATTCTCATCTGTAGCCCGATTGTCGGCTGGTGGTCTACATCTGTTTAATCAATTGTTGCGTATGATATTTTGGTGAATGTGAGAACTGGGGGAAGAAAATGCTCTTGTGACTAACCCGTCGCGAACAGACATATCTGTAATAATGTGATTATACAAAATATGAGAGTTGATGCGAAATACACATTGTTTATAGACCTCACACTCAGGCTAGTGGCTTTCATGACCAATTTCAATGAGTGCCCTCCCTCCAGATATTAAACATAAGTCGTTTCGTGTTAGCTTCAAAGTACTTGTTTTAATTACTTGTTCATTCATCTTTCTAGTGTTTTATCATCACACTATACTATACTCCTTCCGAGTCTGTCATTGCACACTAGTATCTTGTCCGACTTCTACGCCATTTTATACCATTTGAACTTCACTTCCGTTCAATCACCCCGAGTCTCTTCCCTGGCTCCACCCCTTTCTCCATCCACAATCCACCTAGTTCAGGTTCCGTTTTCCGGATCGCTCTCCCAGCTCCCCCCTTAAACATTTTCACTTCGCTTCCAACTGCCTGCTTAAGTATCCATATCCTTCCACTACACCCAAAACCCCAAGCCACGGGTATAGCACAGCAAAATAAAATAAAAATTGCACCACGACGTTTCCCGCCGCCTCCTGCATAGAAAAACACCCAACCCTCACACTTAAAATGTGAATAGTATACAAGGAATATTACCACCAAAACTAATGACAATCCCATTCCATTCCCCTTCCCCTTCCGTAGCTCAATACCCCGTCCCAAAGAATCAAAATTTCGCCATTCTCCCTTTAGTAAAACCAAGTGTAAAAGAGATTCGACAACACAAGTACGTATGTAAAAGAGTTATGTAGAAACTGTTCTGTACGCCAACACTTGTTAATATAGACTTGTTGCATTTCCCCACTTGTGAAAAGGCATGAAAATAAATAATAAATAATATGGCAGACTGAAAAGCCAGAATGTAGTTTGGATGGTTGATTTATGTTGTCGGATAGGACTAAAGTCTCGGTGAGAATTCGCGGAACTCGTGGTGACCACTCTCCTTTTAAGAATATTCAGAGGTTGATTTGGCTTGATAAGAATACAGTATGCTTCGTTGGGTGATGTCAAAATTTCAAGCGGGATTTCCTTTTTGTCTCTTCGTTATGCGTGGACTAGGTTTGACGTTGTTTTTGCCTGTCCCATTGGCTTGTCCATCTTCTTCGGCCTTGACTGTACTTGGTCTTCTTCGTTTGTTACTCGCATTGGGACTTGTGTTTGCGCTTGGGCCACTTGACGTGGTTCCATGCTGACTCTGTTGGAGCTGCATGCCTGGAGCTTGAGCTGGACTACCCATCATATGAGGTGATCCTTCCGGTATTTGTAAGTGTGCAGCTGCGGGAGAAGCGCCAATCGGGAAATTAACCATTGCCGGTGTTCGTGGGCCCGAGGGGTTTTGAGGACCACCGTTTGCTCCATTGCTATTCACTTGTGCCATGTATGCCTCTAGGGCTTTGTGTGGAGTAAGTGTTGGGTTTGTTTGCAGATAGCTCATTAAAGGATTCATTTGAGCCAAAACCTCATTCATCTGGGATTGTTAGAAAAAAAAGCGTGCCTAGAGTTTAAATTGAACATACCTCAAGAAATCGAAACACCATAGGTGTGATTCCTGTGTATTGAGTCAATTTCGTGTCCGGTAGGTCGAAATCAGGAGGAGGATTCGGTGGTGATTTCATCATCTTTTGTTTCTTTTTGTTCATTTCGGGCGATGGTTTGCCATCAGGCCCATTGTTCATGGATTTCCAATCCTTTACCCAATTGTGGATTGGCCTTGCTCTGTCTATAGCCATGCTACGGGGAACATACTCCTGATGACTACGAGTCTCAAAATCAAGTAGCTCGAGCTTTTGATCCCCATCAAAATGAGCGCGAAGTATGCCATTTGAGACCAGCTAAATCCACTTAGTACAAAAACCTAAAACTTCACGAGATCAATCGATGACTTACGTGAGAGCCATCCTCAAACCAGTAGACAAAACTTGAGTTTTGACTTTCAATGTAATGACCGTTTAGCGGCAATTCCTTTTCAGTCCCTTTCTCAAAAATCATCTGCATGTTTGTAACACCACTTTCGAAATGGGTATGAAAGTATCTCGGCATCGCAGGTGATGTTATCTCGTACTGTTTCTCACGGACATTGTCTTGGGGATTATACGAATATGTCGAATAGCGTAGAACACCCCCTCGCGAGAAAAATCTCTCCGCAAAGCTTCCCCAATACGCCAAGTCTTCCTTTTCTTTCATGGACTCGGCATTCAGTCGAGAAACGCTAGCCGCCTCATAAAAGCTTACCGGCTTAGCAACCTTACAAAACCCACCGAGATGGTCACTGAACTGTACCAATCGCATTAGGCATTGTCCCTTTGATTTCTCTCCTTGTCTAGTCTGCTGCTGCTGCTGTTGTTGTTGTTGTAGCATTGCGGCAGCGTGCTGTTGCTGTTGTTGCTGCTGCTGAAGAGCCCCCGTTGGTTGCTGGGCCTGGGCTTGCTGAGCTTGAGCTTGCTGGGCTTGGGCTTGTTGAGCCTGAGCCTGAATGGCTGCTTGGATAGCGGCTGGCGGTGGTGCTTGAGGCTGAGGTGTTGAGGCCGATTGAGGTGGCTGATTTTGAACCTGGGATTGGTTTTGATTCTGTTGTTGAGATACAGCAGCGGCCGCCTGAGCCTGCGCTTGGGCTTGTGCCTGAGCTTGTTGGGCTTGAACCGCTTGAGCCTGAGCATGAGCTTGTTGTTGCTGTTGTTGTTGGTGCTGCTGTTGCTGTTGTTGTTGCTGCTGTTGCTGTTGTTGCTGTTGCTGTTGTTGCTGTTGTTGTTGTTGTTGTTGTTGCGCAAGGTGTTGTTGTTGGAGTTGTTGCATTTGCTGGGCAGTCATCTGGGGATGTCCTGCTTGGCCATTCGGTCCATGGTTTTGGGCATTTTGTTGATGCATTGCGAGCATCATTTGTTGAGTCTAATACAAATCAGTGTTAGTATATGAGCTGTGGAACTTATGAATCATCCTTACCTGCTGATGTGCTTGTTGTTGATTAACGTTGTCTTGAGCCATCTGTTGTTGCTGGGCAAGATGCTGTGGTAGATTTACCGGGCGAGCCATTCCGGGGGTACCATGTCGCATTGCGAATTGAGCATTCATTTGATTAGGGTTCATCCCATGCATATTCACAGGCATTCCATTTGGCATTCCACCGCCACTATATTGCTGTTGTAGTTGGATCTGTCGCTGCCTGGCTGCTTGCTGTTGTAACATTTGATGATGCATTAACTGCGGATTCGCGTTCACTGGAAAGAATCGTCGTTAGCATAACGAGGCGCTGAAGATAATGTGCAGAGCACGACTTTGAAGCATCTGTACAAAACATTGGAGAGAACAGAAAACAGGTGATAAGAGGCCCGACTTACTCATCTGTTGTTGTTGCTGCTGTTGGAACATTGCCGCTTGCGCTTGTTGATTTGGGGTCAAATGTTGTAAAGCATGTGCATTTGGTCCAGCACCAGGTGGCATACCAGCCATCATAGCACCGGCTTGAGTGACTTGAGGACCACCTGGTCCAGAAACCCCCATGTGCATTTGTTGAGGCATACCTGGACCTGGTTGTCCTTGCTGACCCTGAGCATGAGGCATTCCCGCCATATGGCCTTGAGGAACACCCTGATGTTGTAGTCCTGGATATGGTGAGTGTTGTTGTTGCAAACTCGTCATCATCTTGTTTAGGTCGATTATCCACTGAATGTGGATATCGAACAATATCGATTAAGCAAGTAACATGCGCCTCGAGCCACGATTTCCACCTCCGCCGTTGTTCAATAGAACTATGTCTGCCACGATCCTCTGCTTGATTCACTCCACGGCCAAATAGACTCCTTCAATTGTCTCCTCGAATCTATGCTGTTGTCGTGGGGTGTTGAATACAGTGTCGTCGCGAGTAATGAACAAACTAAACCCCGATCGCGCACGATAATCACACTAAAGTGGGTACTCTTTCTGAACCGCGAATGGTGTCGAGATTTCGAAATTCGAAAACAACAATATCACGACAAGTCGAGGTAATTTGTGCAGATAACTATAGGGAAGTTTGATCGGTAGATGAGTACCTGTAATGAAAGTGCGACGATCAATGCCGTCTGAAAAAAGGCCGCCTGCAAGGCAAATTAATGATAAAAGATGTCAGGTAAGAGCCGTGTTTTTTGCCCCGTCCTGCCTTCAACCTCGCCGATATGTAATTCTGGGGAGAGATGGTAGATAGAATAATGAACAATGATTAACTAATTACTTTGGAGCCACTACTATCTCTGTATCGTAGGGAAGGAAGTGAATTGCGCGAAGTTATAAAATGCAAAAGGAGAATCCGGGGAGATGAATAACCCTTAGGGATACCTTTTGGGCCTTGCTTTTGGGAATCCTTGTGAAGTTGTGTGTGTGGGTGGTGTGCGGTGGTTGAGATTGTTGTTCTGTGGTTCAGGTTGGTGGTCGAGAAAGAGGACCCTGTCACAATGGGAATTGGGGGGGGGGGCGGATCTGAGAGAAAATAGTGCACCAGAAACTCCGATTATGTTATGATGTGTGTGTACACTCTTCCGTAGAAGTTACCTGTGTACGTAGTAGGTAGGTGAGGAAGAGGGTACTAAGTATAGATGTCAGGGTGAGGTTTAGAGACCACGTATGTAGTATGCTTCTAGCGTGTGGGTAGCGATGACTAATCATGAAAAGGTAGGAAGAAGCAGAAATGATCCAATCATGTGAAAGGAGATACGATGGAAGGTAAAGGTCACCGTACAGAATATTTGTATATTTTGATGACAGACTGCTAGATTACCTCCCTAGGTACCTATCTACGTGCAGTGTAGGTGGGTGGGCTCCGTAAGCACCTAGTACCTTCTGAAGGTTCTTTTCGACCGAGGTGCACGTTGTGTATACAGACTAGGTATATGTATGTCTCAAGAATGATGATGCGAAAGCCGATTCGCAGCGATCTTATGGATGATTACTTTGCAGACCTCGGAGCTGAGTTTGGAAAAGTGTATCAGATCTACAGGCACTTATTATTATGAGATACGGCAAGAAGATAGCTTCATCGGATCAGAACATCGAAGATCAATGACCGTGGACTCTAGAGATGGTCTCTGGTGAAAAGTTGATGCCATATATAGAGGATGTTGCTCTCTGCAGTTCGAGTACTTTGCAGAACAATACTTGTTCTTGTCGACCACCTTCGGTCAGTAGAACCCTACAAATTCTTTTTCGTCTGTTAACGCGGGTTTTTTTCATTGATTTTCCTCTCTTCCTTCTCTACGCATCTCTATCTTTTGATCGTACCATTACCTACTCGGTATGTTCGATTGCACATTTGACCCGAACGAGACACCGTACGCAAGAACTTTCTTCCTTTTCTCCTTGATATCAGCTGCTTCCCACGTGCTACCCAAAGAAAAAAGGTGGCAGGATTACAGCATTCGACACTTCTACCCTAAGCCAAATGAAGAGTAGCCCTTTATCATGTGATATGCAAGCTAGTGTGATCCTAGTGCCATATCGGACATTCGCTTAAGGAAAGCTTTGACATCTCCAATATAAAAATTTATCTTCCATCGCAAGAGCTTCAAAGTTTCTCTTCTCACATAACTTTTTTCTTCTTCTTTATATGACCTACAGCAAGCACTTCTAAGATCGCGTCTTGACGATGATTCTTATTATCGCAATGGTCGCACACATATGATGAGCGTGAAACTCAACTAATAATGGTATGTCTCAATCTTTTCTCTTCTCTTTTCCATACCCGTCCACATCTAATGATGACAATTTCAATCGATACTTCTTTTCCCAAATTAATCGACCATGATTAAAATTACGCTGTTCGAGAGATACCCACGGGTTGATCTTGTTACTTGCCAGTACATGTTGTCTGAAAGATTCTTCTCACAATTCATACTTGTCTGCTTTGGTGTCGGGAATGATTTGCTGACCATCAAACAGATTTTTTTCTTCTTCTCTTTCTAGCTTCGTTCTTTTTTTTTCTACGCGCAACAGATCGACATGCGCCAATGCAACGTCAACAGTCGCGGCACTCTTCTGCTGCACAACCATGTGGCTCAAAGTTCCGGGATTATGTTGTCATGGTTAACGGCAATGCTTATAAGCATGCATGATCCAATATGATCACTGGTGCAGCAAATCTTTTCGTAACTTAATTGCTATCTCATTTTCATAAACTAACAAACAGCACATCATCTTTCTGCTTACTCTTATCAAAGGTTAGTCTTTCTCTCTTTCCATACTTTTCCCTCCGCTTCACTATGATGAAACACATACCACATTCGCAGTTTTCACTCGAGTCCTCGCCTTAGAACCTAAATAGAGGACAGATGAGGGTATATCTTCCTTGGATGTCTGATCAAAGCAATCAATCTATCATTTTATTACTGCAGTATCTTGATGATCCCAAGACTAACATTGCTTCAAAGACAGGGCTCTTCTATACTTTATCACATCGATTGGAACACTGGCACAGCCGTTGAACTATATAGAATATACGAAATAATATAATTTTAATCAGCAATACAATCAGTTTCATTGTGCTCCCCATGACGCATATGCGCATCTTTTTCCCTTTCCGCATTATACAACACTTCCCAAACACTCTGGCCCTTACCCCCTTTCCCATCGTGGATCGGTTCAACCTGTGGTATAGGCCTATTTTTGGAGGAAGAAGATTGACTTTTCGTCCGATTACTCACCGAGGTATCTTGAATCCTTTCGGGGGTTGTGGATATTTTGGTCCATATCTTTTGGCCGACACACTTTGTTGCTCAGGGCGACTTTTTATAATTGCTATCATATCTATCCTTTAATATAAACATACAGTCTCTGAATTACAACTTTTATTAATCTGAACTTGCCGTGACCAATTATGTGACGCACTTTGTCTGAAAAATTTCTGCGGTATGGATTTCGTCCTCACCGTCTCCTACGATCAGAACTTCATCTGGTGATTCAATTCGGCATTCAAAAATTAGCCCGTACGTTTTAGGAACAATGGCCCCGTGATATTATTAGAAATTGTCGTGCATAACACCACTCTTCATCGATTTTCTTGAACAGTAAGATGCGTCCAGGGATGTCGATTTCACTCTGGCCATGACTTCTCTCACAGTTGAACTTCACATGAGCATACGTATCTTCATGCATAAGAATATAATGAGCGCAATGTAAATGCAAAGGACACATTCTGAATACCCTCACAGGTGGCTCTTCGATTTGTTTCTTATGCTCGCTCCCTATGAAACTATATCTTGTCCATATGAATACAGATAGAAATCCAAATCTCCCCTTAAACCAATGCACCTCTTCCTCCAACTCTCAGCAATGCAATCTTTTGCTCAGGACTAATTTCCACCTTGGGTAATTTCTTTCCCTTCCCCTCCTCTGGCAAACTCATGAATCCAATGCCTGCCAAATAAGCAAGATAATTTCCCATGATGTTTTCATCCAAATAACCACCTGCGCTTAGATCCTCACCCGTGAATTCTGTATCCGCTTTAAGTGACGCACCAGCATTGACATCGTCCATCTCTGGAGCAATGGTGTCAGCTGGGAGATCTGAGGTAGCGAAATGGTAAAGAGGCATAAGTGCATGTTGTTCCTTCTCCGGATTGTTATTCGCGGCGTATTCTACGAGTTTTTGACTCCAGACTGAATATTCGACTTCAGGGGCATCGTAACCATATGTTTCGAGTGTGGACAAGTATTGAGAAAATGTTAATCTGGGATGACTTGTAACTTGAGCGACACCAAGTGGTGTTTTAGCGGGGTGAAGAGCGCAGGCTATAACGACACGCGCGACGTGATTGACAGGGACTTGATTGACTGTGTTGGAGATGCGTGGACGGCAGGCGAGCTGAATGCACCCTTTCGCCATGCGGATCAGGAAATCATCTGTGTTGGTTACGCCAGAGGTCTTCTCACCGGTAATATAACCGGGTCGAACAACCGTACCGCGCAAACCGCGGGAACCGGCTGTGCGGACGAGATATTCGGCTACCCATTTTGATTGACCGTAGCCTGTCCCGAGACCCTTTGCTGAACCAGACAGATCGTCTTCTTCGGATACAGCGACACCAGATCTTGATTGTTGGACGAAGTGGTCTGTGTCAAGGACAGAGGTAGATGAGACGAAGGAGAGACGTTTGGGGATACCGGTTGCGCAAAGGGAAAGAATGTCGAGAGTTCCCTTTACGTTTGCAGGCTTGAGATTTTGATATGGGTAGACCCAATGGACTTGGGCTCCATTATGAATGATGACATTTGCGGTCTCGGAGATAGTCTTCCAATCTTCCGGGGAGAGACCTAGCTGGGGTTCCCCGAGATTACCAACGACGCAGGAGATGCGTGATTCCCAAGAAGGATCCCAAACTCCGTAGGCTTGGCAAGTTTGAATGACGCGATCGAGAGCTGCCTTAGAGTCGAGTGCTCGCACGTGAGCAATAACTTTGATCGGCTGAGAGCGGGAAAGGAGATCGCGCATCAGATAGGAACCAAGGAAACCAGTAGCACCTGTAAGGAAGACGGTAAGAGGTGTGGTTGAAGTGATCTTCTCATCCGCTGAGGGGAATGTCGATGGGAGGGTTTTGGCAAGGGCATGAGCGTCTCCTTCATAATCTTCTGCAACTTCTATTTCTTCCTTCACATCGCCATCGGATGATGATCTACGTGCGATTTCTGCGGCGAACCCTTTCAATGTTGGGTTTCGGAAGATGACACTCATGTTGATGTTAATACCGGTCCACTTTTTATTGACCTTGAAGAGCATTTGTTGTGCCAAGATACTATGGCCTCCAATGTCGAAGAATGAATCATCAGGATTGATTGTTCTTTCATCAATAGTAGGGATTAATGATCCCCAGATAGCTGCAACCTCTTTCTCACTATCTGAAAGCTCGGCATAAGCACCAACAGGTCTTGCTGCCTGTAATTGTGCAGCATCTGGGAATGGAAGCGCGGGCTTGTCCTTCTTTCCGTTTGGATTAAGGGGGAATTTTTCCAAAGGAATGATGACTTCTGGAATGGCGTAGGATGGCAGCTTAGTCTTGAGATACTTCTTGATATCTTCGCCGAGAGACCAAAATCTTCGAAGTCTTCCTTGAACTCCTTCACCACCGGAAGTGTCATCCTCGAGACCTAACTGCTCTAACCATTGCGCCCACTTTTGCATATCAGGTACGATGTAGCTGACAAGTGTTTGTTCTTCATCCTTATTTCTTCTTACCAAAGTGACATTATCCATAACCATGACATGATCTGAGAGGTATTTGTCGATTTCACCAAGTTCGATTCTGAAGCCACGGATCTTGACCTGATCATCTGCACGCCCAACACATTCAACGTCTCCAGTTTGAGTATATCGGCCTAAATCACCTGATCGATACATTCGATCTCTTGGGCCCTTATAAAATTCTCTCCAAGGTTCTTCGGATAAGGACTTTGCGTTCTTTGCATCTTCCTCGACCCACTTGGAGTTATCAACAAACCAACTGTCGACGAATTTGACCTTGTTGAGTTCGTCACTTCCAAGATAACCTTCAGCAAGCCCAGCAGCTCGAACGTAAATCTCGCCAATCTCTCCAATACCACAGATGCGGTTTCGATTTTCGCGATCAACGATAAGTAATTGGACGTCTTTCATTCCCTTACCAGCTGGAATCACATTTCCCATATTCTCCAAATATTGTGGATCCGAGGCTTGACTTGGGATCTCGTAGTAACTAACTGCGCGCTGTGTTTCAGTTGTTCCGTACATGTTCACAATGAACACATTTGGTGCCAATTTCTGAAGCGCCTTACAATCTCTCTTGATCAGAATATCTCCGACGAAAAAGGAGTGATGAAGAGCTGGGAATTCGGCGCTAGCTCCACCAACTAAAATTTGACCCATTGCGGGTGTCAAATGGGTAACCGTGGCACCGTGCTCTCTCATCCATTCAGCCAATCTTTCATGTTGAATATCATCCTTGGATGGAACCAGTAATTGAGCACCAAGGAAGAGAGGTGTAAAGATATCTCTTTGAATAGGATCATGAGCGATACCACTCAGCATTGTGAACTTGTCATTCTTAGACAAGCCAAATCTTTCAGCCATCCAGTCAAAGTAATATGCAAGAGAGTAATGTCTTCCTCGAACACCCTTTGGACGACCTTCTGAGCCGGAAGTGAATGACAAAGTTGGTGTAGAATCGGGTCCAACAATAACACCAGGACTCTTAGCCTTCAAGGATTGTTGGGCTTGGAAAGCATCCTTCCCTTGATCATCTCCACCGACTAAAGTTCCATCGTCCTTCAATTCAAGACCTGGAATGTAGGTCTTCAAATCCAGATTTTCGGCGATGAAATTGCGTACTTTCTCAGTTAACTCTCCCGCCTCTCTGGTAGCTTTGTCGATCACAACCAAAGCTCTTGGTCTTGCAACATCAAGGTAGATGTTTTGGCGATCGGGAGGATATGAAGGGTCAATAACTGAGAAAATAGCACCGGCTTTCAAGATACCCATGACAGTGACAACCAAGTCCACACCACGGTAACTATAAGACATGACGACTTCATTTCGTTGAACTCCACGCTCCACCAAATGATGAGCTAGGATATTTGAAGCTTCGTTGATTTGTCGGTAGGTGAATTCTCTCCTTGGGGAAGTAGCTGAGGCAGTTTCCACGACACAAAGTCTATCAGGATGAGCTTCAGCATTTGCAGTGAAGATATCTTGAATAGCACCACGGAAAGCAGACCAATGAAGATCTGATGTTGGATCTGGTAATTCGAAGTTTGTTGATGCCATGTTTGTTAGGTTTTTTTTTGAATGGTGGGGTTTGGAGGGGTAAAAGTTGAGCAAGATTTCAAATGATGCTTGAAATGTTCAGATTTGAGAAGGATTTCAACTACCTACTTCAAATCAAAACAGATTCCAATTACCGTTTATATGTTTCTCTACTCGAACTTTGTATGTTTGGATCAACGTATCCTCGAGGGGGGTTGAATCAGTCGTGGAGAGGTTTTCGTGATACTGTTGGGAGTGTGAATCACTGGTACGTTTTAAGACGATAAAATCAATTTATGTCTGTGAGATGTGGGAAGATAGGTTTCTAGGTATGAACTAAGGAGTAGCTTAAAAGAAAAAAGAGAAGAGCATAGGAAGGGAAAGGAAAGGAAGAGATATCGAGATATGTAGAGATCTTCTCGGGTTTTATAAAAAATTCAATTGTATGGAGAAAAGGATTGGGAGTCATACACACATGCATCCATCAATTTTCTGCCACTGCTCCAATACAGAAAAGTTGAGCCGAAGATCAACCGAGATTTTTCACCTCAAAATGTGACAAGTGAAGAAATCCCATTCCGTCATCGGACCATCACGTGGTCATTGTAGATACACCTCTTGAGTCTTGATAGTACATTGTATTGCGCACCATCGACCCTTGCCATTGAGATCTTCACAGAGTGGAGAAAGGAGAACGGAGAAAAGTTAATCAAGCCCTTCTCTTCTTAGATGGAACCAATCAAATTAGATGTGACCCTTGGTCTTTGCGGGTATACGCGTTCCACTTTAATTATTGGTCGGTGGCTCAAAATAGACTTGGAACCTGCACCTTGGAGGAAGAGGAGGCCAAGACACATGATTTTCTCCTATCTAGAATTATTCAAATGTCAAACATCTCCATTCTCGATTCCCGACAACTTTAATACTTTATTTCAATTTCTGTCCTTTCTCCACATTGTCTTCTTTCTAGATTCCTATCCATACTCAAACTACACTCCCTTGGCAGGTGAATCTACCGCAGCGAAGACTTTCCTCTCAAGAAAGTCGAGGATTCGGACGAAGTACTTCATTGTACGTACTTGCGTTTGATACACAGTCGGTATACGTCAGCTCATATAGAAGACAACTTTCATCAATCTTTTCGAGTCCAAACTTATCATTCAATTTTTCAATGTGGTACTAGAAAGCATTGGTCTTCTTCTTTAATAGATAATCTTTTTGTCTCTATTCTCTTTCTCATAATGCCTATTCAACGAACCTTCTTTGGGACACCCATACCTCATGTCCCCCCTCGTCGCATGGCCGTTCTTCTCGGCACCATTGCAATCTTCGCTGTTATTACATTAGTATTTACTCTACCCAACTCGATACCATCCGGCCCATCACTCGGCAGATTTACAGACCATCGCATGTCATTACCCAAACTTCCTAAACAATTACCTTCACCGAGTATCCTCAATCCATTCCGACAAGCAGCACATGCTCCACCGGTTCAGAAGAATAGTGAATACGGCGAGTCTAAATGGCATGCTAATTGGAATTGGTTGAGTCCATTTTCATCATCGGTGACTCTGGACGAGAATCGATCCCTACTACCACCTCTTGTTGAACGTCCAACCATTTACACATACTACGATCATACAATAGAAAAGGATAATGAGTTGAAAGACGCGGAGAATGCAGTCTTGGTTACTTGGAGAAGGGCATGGTGGGCGCAAGGCTTTAAACCCATCATTTTGAGTCCTGCGGAAGCCATGAACAACCCATTATATCCCGAGTTACAACGGCTTGAAGTCGAAAATTCCCTGAAAACAGATTTGACCAGATGGTTGGCTTGGGAAAACATGGGAACCGGATTACTTTGCAATTACCTTACGCTTCCAATGGGTCCCTACGAAGACCAAACTCTGAGCTACTTGAGAAGAGGAGTATATCCATTATTGACGAGATACGAAAAAATGGGAAGTGGTATCTTCGCGGGATCCAAGGCGGATATCACAGCAGCTGTCAAAGTGGCTTTAGCAAACCCAAGTTTGAAAGATGCCAAAGATTTCATTAGTGCTGTCCCAACGGATACTTTCGAAATCGACCCTTCCCATGATTCCTTAGCTTTTTATCAGACCAAAACCCTCGAGGAGAAATACCCACAAGTCGCGAAAGAGTATGAAGCGAATAAAGCAGCGGGTATGAAATTATTAAACAATCTGATGATATCTCATCTTCATCAAACATGGCAAAACATCTTTACCAAAGGGATTTCCGTGGTTAAACCGGAACCAGAACATATGTCGTATGTTGTCGAACCAGCTTTACAACTTGCTGAATATCTTGCACAATGCCCCGATTCGCCAATGCCAGCATCTTGCCCTCCAAATCGACCAAAGTGCAAGCCGTGTGTTGCTTCGTCTCCGATGACGATTACTACACCTGCTTTCTACCGCAATACATCAGGTCTTTATACCATTGGAACTGTTCCCCATCCTTACACAATGTCTACATTGACCAGCTTCCAAGAAAGTATTGATGTTCCGTGGATCAGACGAGAGTCTCCTCGTGATGCTTGGCTCTCCACACTTACTAAAGAACTTCTCGGTACAGGTGTTTCGGGTACTCCACGAATCATTAAATTCAAAGAGGCAGTCGCTAGTCCTCATGGAACGTCCCATTCCCTCTGGCTCACAGCCGAGAAGGAAGTTCCCTCAGATCTAGACTGGCATTTCGGCTTCACCATCCCTCGCAATGCAACTGACACAGGAAAATCAGAAACTCCAGTCCCAGGTCCAGAACGTAGACCAAAACCAGTTCACGATCCAAAAGACGGGCCAATACCCACTGAGGAGGATAAAAATAAGGAAGCACTTTTGTTGCAAAAAGCAAAAGCATTTGGTGGGAGCACTGCAAAGGAGGATTTGAAGATCAAAGGGGCTGTTGAGGCGTGGAACCTAGCCGATACAGAAGCGTGGAGATTTGCAAGGGCTTTCTTGGCGAGATCAAGAGTCGAGAGGTTAAAGTGGGAGGAGGAGGAGAAGAAATATGCTGGTGGTGCGGGGGCTGAGAGGGGAAAAGAGAGTGGATGGGGCAGATGGTTTGACGACAAATAAATGTATCGTTGAGAATTTGCAGAAGCTTTCTGCAGTGGAAGGATATACACAAAGAAAGTCTTTCATGTTTTGTGCACTTAAGCGAATCGAAGCGACATGTGTATGTCAATATTTTTTTACTGTACGATGGATAGATGTGGGGATATTGCTCGGAGTTCAGGGGTATGCAGAGCATTTGTGTACCAATACCATGTCAATATGAATGCCAGTCAGTACCAGCGTTTGTATTAAACCAAATATTTTAGGTTTCAAAACATGTTATCTTATTTTCACAATTAAAGAGACTCGATGATTTATGTATGATTTTATTAATATTCCTTTAGATATAAAGTCCCGCTCGCTACGCTAAAACGTTCACTTCAACTTCATTAACAGCAAAAACTTCCATCTCCTCCGCTCCGCTCTGGGTATCGCCGTATCCATTTATATCCATATAATACAATCGGTCGTTCGTAATTCGTGATGCATGTATGCAATTATCCATCCATCCAACCATGCGTCCATGCATGTGAAAAGGTAAAAGGGTATAGTACAGTACAATGTGGTGTGGTGTAAGATAAGAGAGGTAAGGTAATTTAGTATACAACAGTGTGATGACTACCCTTTCCATCAGTTCCTCTCATTCTGCGGGTTCCGGCTGCCTGTTTTCTTTGTTAATTTATATGTTCGAAGGAAGTGGGAGAGTGGAGTTGTATAGAGATATCATACCTTCAAGCCGGGTCTCCTGGTCAAACTTCCTCTCAATTTCAAAAGGGCACCGCTGATCTTGTCACCGACGCTGGGCTTGCGGTGGTGGTGGTGGACAGGCTGTGCGGTGGCGCCTGCGCGACGACGGTTACCCCATGTGCGTTGCTTGCGGTGGTGGGTGCTGTGGGTGGTGGTGTTTTCGTAGGTGCGACGGTGGGTTTTGGCGCCGCGGAGACGGGAGAGGAGGGAGGGCTTGGTGGTGACGGTTGTGGTTGTGTGGGCCATTTTAAGATTTAGGTCTTGGTTTGGTGGTGTTCTTGTGGTGGGTGTTTGTGGTAGTGTGTGGATTTGTGAGAGAGGTGAAGGTTGTGGAGTGTGAGATTGTGTTTCTTGTGGTATTGGTATGGAAGTAGTAGATTGATTTCGATAAGTTTTGATAAAAGAAGATAGAGTTCTTAATGCAGCTTTATCAGGTAACTGGTCGTCGTTTTTTATTCTGGGTACGATTTGTGTTTGTGAAGATGATGTTAATGGGATTGGAATTGTAACATGAGGGGACATTTCGGATGTCTTTATAGAAAGCGTTTGATGAATGTAGGAGTTCCTGAATTCAGGGAAATTGTGGGTTTAGGGACTTCAAACTGGGAAGAGTTGTTATCTGGATGTAATTTTGGCAACAGAGGTGAATGTGTGATATTGATAGAAGTGATCATCTATGTGATGTACATACATATGACGGCAAAGCAAGTTGTCAACGTTGATAAGGGAATATACAGGTATCAAGTCCTGGTCGGTTGCACGTCATACTGGAAGGGATTAAATAAATTCACGCGAATGAGAAGGAAGCAAGTTGTCTTGAGAGGATTATTTTCCGGAATTAGGTTGAAAATTGCTGGGGAAATGGTCTTGGCTGACGGTACTTCTGTCCTAGTTCTAAAAAGAATTTTCAGGGTCCTGTGGCTCATAATGTTTAAATTGCCTAGCAGGCAGAGATGACAGGATGGGGTTGATGGTTGATGGTTGATGGCTGATGGCTGATGGCTGATGGCTGATGCCTTTTTGAGTTTGGTGAGAATCGAGAGAGAAACTTGATTTTATGGAGGATTGGGGATGACGTCGGTTGGTTGTGGCGGGTGGCTGTGCTGAGAAATATATGTGGCTGGTGCGGAACATGTTGGATGAGAATGGGGAAGAAAAACAAGAACCAAAGAACCAAGAACCGAAATGACAATCAGATGTACCAACAGAAACTGGCAGGCAAGATATAAATAGATGCAGATACAGATGTAGATACAAATACAGATACAAGTGAACAGTGCAAACAAAGAATTGAGAAAAGAAAAGAATTTGTTATTGAGACTATTTAGACGATAGCAATAATAGAGGTCCCATGAGTAGCCCAACATATCTGAACAACGGTAACGTATAAAACTAGATGCAGACTCATTTCATGACTGCATGAGGTAGAGAGAGATACCTACTCGGTAGTGAGCAGATAATCCATAGCTGTGGGAGTACAAGATATGTGCCTAAAAGCATGCGGATTTGATCTTGACATTCGTTTCAATATGCCACGTTGAGGTCTGATGTATGAAACTAAAGCCATAATCATAATTCGTGCGATATCCAAATGTAAGATCAATAAAGGGATATCTGGATCTCTTATACTTTAACAGTCAAAGGTTAAGTAACAGCAATCCAGTCGTCAGTCGTCAATTTTACATGGCATTTCACAATCTCGATGTTCATCCGACGAGCCAAGCCTTCTCGGTAATGCTTCCGGCTCGACCCCTCCGATTACGTAGAAAGTCCGGTGGGCAAAGTCTGATGCAAGTTGAGCTCAGTCCGACTTTCTCAACCAATGAACTTCTATGCATCTAAACTCTTACCTCACTTACCTCACTTACCTCACTTACATCACTCACCCATCATGAGAGACCATTCTCGATCCCATAAAACTCCTTACATCATGGATCTCGACCCGAAAGGACCGAAATCTGTAGGAGCTACCCCTCCATAGAGTGTCAAGCATTGATATCATAATGTGCTTAACCAATCGCCCTCTTTTTGTATGGAGCGTTTCGGAGCTTTTGGTCCATTTTCTGATCGAGAAGTGTGTGGTGATCGTCACAGAGCTTTTGGAGAAGCTGCATCATACGGTTGATGAGTATAAGAAAAGATGAAGTTCTGCGTAAATTGGTTGAGAATTCTTTTTCCATAGACAATCATCCTTTAATCACTTTGCTACCATCAAATTCAATCATCAAACTTACTCAATCAACCCCATCTAAACACATTCAAACAATCAAATATGTCTGCAAGCAAGGGTCATTTCGAGCAGGGTACGTTGTGAAGATATCCCATCCCCATTTCCCCTCATGTTCGGCTCGACAAACTTCCAATACCCCTCACACCACCGTATCACGTCAACAATACACTGACATGAATATCTTACAGGTCATCAACCTCCCGTGTCCCACCAATCGTCCGCTCCAGGTCATCAAACCGAACTGCCAAAAGAAGCCATCAACGACCAACTCCCCACCGATGATGGAGGCTACCAACCATATCTCGCCGCCGGTAAACTAAAGGGCAAGAAAGCCTTCATCACCGGTGGAGATAGTGGAATTGGTCGTGCCGTCGCCATTTTATATGCCATGGAAGGAGCAGAAAGTTCCATCATCTATACACCCGAAGAAGAGAAAGATGCACAAGAAACCAAGAAGCTGGTTGAGGCCAAGGGAGGAAAGATACATTTGTTCTCGGCAGATTTGAAGAGCCAACAGGCTTGTAAAAATGTAGTCGAGAAAGCTAAGGAGGCTATGGGAAGAATCAACATTTTGGTCCTGAATCATGGTACTCAGATGATGGTGGAGACCATTGATGAGCTATCTGAGTATGTTTGAACCTCTCCTCCTACTTGGAGAATGTTTACATGATGCTAACGATGAAAATAGAGAGCAATGGATTAACACTTTTGATGTTAACATCCATCCATTCTTCTTCCTTTCCAAATACGTCCTCCCACAAATGTCCCGCGGTGATACAATCATCACCTGCGCTTCCGTGAACCCATACGTCGGTCGCCCAGATCTTCTCGAGTAAGTTTTCCCACTGTCCCTTTCTTCAAGCCCGCCACTAACAATTCTCCAGTTATACTTCCACCAAAGGTGCCATCGTAGCCTTCACCCGCGCTCTTTCCAACCAACAAATCAGCAAAGGTATCCGCGTCAACGCCGTCTGTCCCGGCCCCATCTGGACCCCTCTTATCCCCGCAACCATGAACGAGAAAGCACAAAAAGAATTCACATCTCCCATGGGTCGTCCCGGTCAACCATCAGAATGCGCTACTTGTTTTGTATTCTTGGCGAGTGCGGATAGTAGTTTTATTAGTGGTCAAAGTTTGCACCCTAATGGAGGTGTGCAGGTTGGTTCTTAGACGAATGGGAGGCTTGTGCTTAATGAATGAGGGGTTATGATATCAATATAATGAAATATTACTTCAATGAATACCTAATCACGTCCTGTAGCGTTTACCGTGAAAATTATGTTGTCTTTCATGTGTAATCCTCAAGATGTCTAATCCCATAGCCAAATAAATCATCAAGTTGGGCTACATTACCTTTATTCTCGGTAGGCGGCCTGGCTTCCCTCGCCTCCCCTCTATTTACAAATACAAGTTCTCATCTTCGACTTCATTTACCAATGGCGATGTTGCTTGTGCAGAAGTTCAAAAAGATATTATGTTTGATGGCTATCTGATACCTGTATGTGTACTGTACCATGTACGTACAATCACAGAGGCTCGTGATTTGTTATGCAATTCATATGATATTACTACACAGAAATCTAAATTTCTAGGGAGATCCTCTTGTATCAATAGCAAGGTTCTATCTCGTTTTACAAATTATAGTCTGATATATTAAATTGCACAGTGTACTCATAAATTCAAGCCTATTAGACTATATTTTCCCTATCCTACGCCCCATCCTCCTTCTTCCCACCTCTGCCATAAGCTAAGCTTTCTTCCACTCAAAATGTCTCTTCCCAGTCTCCGGTTCCCCCACCTCGTCGTCCAGCTTCTTACTATCAAACATGTGTTTCCCAAAATAATCCAACTCCGCCTCGTAGAACTGCGTCGGCAATTCCATGTTCCCGCTATACTTGAGATACTCCAGTGTAGCTGAGATACTCGGCGTGATGGCATTGTACTCTACGCTTTTGAGTACGATGCGCTTAAGGGGTTCAAATCCGGAGGTTAGTTCGGAGACGATGGGAGAGGCGTAGAGAAGGTCTGGGGTTTCTGATTTGGTGGAAGAGGAGGAAGAAGTGTAGATTTGAGAGAGGAGAGAAGAAATGTGGTCGCTTTGAATGATACAGCCCGCGCGCCAGATCTTGACGATATTGCTATAGTCGATGTTCCACTTATTCTGACGGTTGGCTTTATCAATGATACTCATGCCTTGGACATAAGATGCTAGACAGGTTGTATAAACTGCTTTTCTTAAATCCTCTATGATACTTTCTTTCTCCTGCTCATTCTTATCTGTGATCTTTGAGGGTTTGAATGAATCATGGAATGCTTCGTTGACCTGTTGTCTATGTCCACGATAGGCTGATACGATGCGGAGATAGTGGGCAGTGGAGAGAGTTGGGGCTGGCACGTGAAGAGAAGTGGCTTGAGTGTTGGACCAGATGCCGGTTCCTTCTGATCCATCAATATCTTGGACAACTTTGTCTTGAACATCTGCTAGGACGTGGTTTCCGGATTTATCTTTTTGTTCGCAAATATCTGCGCCGATTTTTACGAGGAAGGTGTTTTTCTATCAATATCGGTTAGTGAGTGAAATTGATGGACTATAGGAGTGAGAACAACACATACCAATTCCCCTTGAGCAGACCACTTCTCAAATACCTTCCCAATATCATCATATCTCATTCCTAGATGTTTATTCATAAAAGTCCACGCTTCGCTAATCGCACTCATCATTCCATGCTCAATTCCATTATGAATCATCTTCACATAATGTCCCGCACCACCTTCTCCAATTCTCGCTACACACGGTGATCCATCCTTTGCTTTCGCAGCCATTTTTTCCAGTAAAGGCATGACGATGTTTAAAGCTTGTTCTTGACCTCCTGGACACATACTTGGTCCTCGTCGGGCAGCTTGGTAACCTCCCGATACACCACATCCGATATAATACACACCTTGTGCGACCAATTTTCCCTGTCTCCGTTGTGTGTTATTCCAATTTTCATTCGAGCAATCGATTATTATATCTCCTTTCTCTAGATATGGATGAAGTCCCTCGACGACAGTATCCCCTACCGTTCCATGTGGTAGGGAAAAGAATATTACTTTTGGAGAAGAGAGGGAATCGCAAAGAGATTTGTATTCAGTATGTTTGGATAGAGTTCCAGAAGTGATATTTTGGTTTTTGGCAGATTGGATGAGGGAATCAACGGTGGAAGAGGAGGGGTCTTGAATAGAAACTGAGATTCCCTTTTCAGCGAGGAGAAGTGTCATTCCTCCTCCCATGGAACCGGCTCCAATCATTCCTACCTGTGGATTGTTAGATACGTTTTGAAGATTAAGATATGAAGTGGTGATAACTTGCCTTTGTGATTTCCATGGTGACTGTGTTTGCTTGTGTAGCGAGGCAAATATAATAACTTTGTTATTAAGAGAGGTATGATATGAGAAATATGAGAGTAAAGATCAACAAATTGATCAAAAGAGATATGAAAGGAAAGACATCATGGAATATATCAGACTTAACTATTCAATTCTAATCCAGCTAGAAGACACCCTGCATTGATTGAGTGCCTATCTAGTATGACGGGAGCTCTTCTCCGAAGCCCTTCAACGTCACTAATTATGACGTAGACGTATATTTTATTAAGCCAATTGATATCGAGTAGTCGGGCCTACCTTCTGATGCTTTAGATAACAGGACGCATCTCGATATCGATGCTCACAAACGATGAGTTGTGCGCTCTTGCTCCTTTGAATACCCAATTGGAAAATTTTGAGATATATACAAAATGCCAAGATCAAGTAACTATACATCTATATGTTATGTTTGCTCTATCGACGTCACTTGAGATGAGAGGGTGCTTATGTAACACAGGACATACATCCGCCGGTAATCCACCGGTGATCTTGTAACTTACCCCTTCATTTGGGAAACGAGTGCATATGATCAACCCCACTCTTTCGACGGAAATACAACCTACATACCATAACTAGTAATTAGTAAATGTCGACAGTGTATATAACCTCGATCTCAATCCCTTCAAACTTACCTTGTCCCCTTCATCACCTTTTAAGCAAATCAGCTCACGATATTCCCCATCATTCAAAACACAATTGATCGTCATAGAATTCTCCATCTCTACCGGTAATTCAGAAATACCTCGGTTCACGTCTCGAATTTGGCCCCGCGAAAAGGCGGGTACCTGACATCTTCCTCATGCGTGTTCTGCGTAGGGCTTTGGAATGTCAATTCACATAAGGTAACCATACAAGGTAAAGGAATTGCGTTTTCTCACAAGGCTGTTTATTACTGGACAAGTCGAGTACTTAAAACTACTTGAGATGTGTCACATATGTTCATAAAAACGCCAGAAGGGAAAAGATCCTTCTGGCCGATGAATGAAGTGTGGTAAGCTGGAGCTAGTGGTAATGGCAGTGGGAGGTACGGGACGAAGCTTTAATGTATAGTAGTTTGACAATTGGCATGTGTTAAGATCTTCCTTTTTGTCTTTCTTTCTTTCTTTCTTTCTTTCTTTCTTTCTTCGATTCGGTTCCTTCTTCCTCCTTGATAGAAAACAATCCCATCCAATCCAACAACAGATTCTCTACAAAGAAAACCTACCCAGTGCATTCCATAGCTATAGCTATTGGAAAGAGAGAAGCAATTGTCCTTCAATAAACCAGCAAGCCCGCTCAAAACCCCACCATAAATAACCTCAGAGTTTCCCAATCCGGAATTCCTCCAAAACCCTCCAAACCCCTCAAATCCCCAAAGATGGCACCTGTCAAACCCTTTTGGTCTCAACCTTCCCACCCACATATCCAAGAAGTAATCTACGGCGAGGATGAAAATGGATATACCACCAAATCCATCTCCAAAGTTTCTCTTCCTCCTTTTGCTGTTTTTGCAAAATTGGTATTTTTCCCCACCAACATAACTACTGCCCGAATCCATATCTTGAGTAGTTGCTAACCACAATCTCAGGAATTTCCACCATGTACCGATGCCCCAGAAGCTACTTATGCTACTGTCCAAACAGGTGCAGACACACATTTGAATCTCAATTCAGATTTATTGTACATCAATCATTCCTGTGAACCTTCTCTCGTATGTTTCCTCTGCCTACTCCCCCCTCTCTCGGTCCTCGGTCCTCCTCTAAACCATCCCCGTAGATCTTTGACGTGCAAAACCGCACCATCCTCACCTCCCACACCGGCCTCACTGTAGGCCAAGAACTAACTTTCTTCTACCCTTCTACCGAATGGTCCATGTCCCAGCCATTTCCCTGCAACTGTGCTACTGCCTCTTGCGTGGGAGAGATCAGTGGGGCGGGACAGATGAGCGCTAAAGCTTTAGAAGGAAAATGGCTGAGCGCTCACATTCGACGGGCTTTAGAGGAGAAGAGAGATGGAAATGGAATTGGTAACGTGATGAAAAATGGAGAGAAGAGTATCAATGGAAAGTTAAACGGCGTTAATGGAGAGAAGTCAAATGGAGAAGTTAATGGAGAGGGAGAAATAAATGGACGACGTGGCGTCACGAGTAGGGAAATGAGCGGAGAGATGGGTGGGGATACTTTGTAGACGACGCGGGGGTGATTGAGAGGAGGTTTCCTTGCGTTCCAGTTTTTGATTTTTGACTTTTTAGTGTTTTGTCCTTCAACAGGATTATGCGAGTTTGGTATGTTGGGATTTAACATCCCGTTGGTATCACATCACATCACGTCATATTATATCGGTATACAACTGTGTTGTTTAGCAAATTACAAATTTGATTCTCTTCTGCCTATCTATGTACTGTGATGCAACCCGAGTAAGTGTCCCTCGTGAGGATAGAGATACAAAGCCCTAGTTCCACATCATGCCATTCAGTAGCCATATACCAAAAGGCGAACCTAACGAAAATCAAAACAACGTAACGCAAATAGTGTTGAAGTAAACCCTTCCCGTTTCAAAGCCTTTCGTCATCGTTCGTAAGTGAGCATGGTCCAACTGGTCAGCAAGTAGCCATCCTTGTTGTTCCCAAGCCCTGTCTCATCTGGTATATGAATTGTCAACGAAGTCTCAGATAAAAAAACATATCATCAGCTGTGCACCAGATGCTATGCGATCAAGTCCCACTTGAAAGCCGTCAAACATCCACCACGATCCCCGCCTAATGCACTCATCCCAATTTTCGAAGCACAATCTCTCATAATCCTCCAGCATATTCTCCCACCTTCCCTGCAAATTAAGTATCCATTCAAACATTATCACCATTCCCAATTGATCAGACCAGATGTGAAATCGGGCTGTCTATTTGTCCACACCGTTGTCTCACAACCCTGACCAACCAGGCAAGATGTGATGGAAAAAAAAGCACAAAATAAACTCACAAAACGAGCAAAAACAAGCTTGTAGATATCGTTCTGGGTTATTGGCACATCCTTTCGTACCGTGCATTCCATTATTATCCTCCAAAGATATAAGCAAAGTGCGGCATCAACATGAAATAAGAAACACAGCAAGTCGATCAACTCGGACGGTGGCTTCTGGAAGCATAAATGCTGCTAATTTTCAATCGAAATCCGTCCAAGCAAGACCGTCTGCTATATTTCGAAAGCGAAATATTAAGATAGGAGCACAAGAAAACGGTCGCATAAGTAATTAATCAGGTAATAACAGCAAAACTCCGAATCGAAAACCCCGCGACAAAATTGTAGGATGGGTATCTTAACAACGTGTAGTCTGAATCGAGTGAAAGTATATGAAATCTTAGTGGGATGAGTTCTAGTGATGTCTCATGCCGACATCATACATGGTCTCGTCCCATCTGAAATCGTTGGTTAGCAAAAAGAAGACAAATTTCTTAAAATTCGATCAGGTCGCCATTGCCCACATTATCGTAAAATGTTTGGGGTGGAGAAGATTCTTGAACTGACTGTAATTCATCCAGATCCATCATCGAGTCATCTTGGTCCATTAGATTTCTAGGCTGAGCAGAAACTCTTACCTCCAAACCTTCAACGCCAAGGGTTGGGGATGATTGGCTCAATGATATGGGTCTAGATGATAGGTTAATTAGAGGCAAGGACGTTGATGCCCTATTGAGGGTCTGTAGTTTCTGTGAGAACTCCTCTTCCTCCGTTCCATGCTCTGAGCTTTGCTCATCCTCATCCGATGTGAGAAGTCCTTCCAAGAGCTCCTTATTCTCTTGATCGTCGGTCTTACGCTTTTCACGTGAAGCAAAAGTTTCTTTGTTGATGTCTTTGCTATCCTTATGCTTGTGGTTACGGTAGAGAATAGGTTCTGGGTCAGGGAAATATGGAAGACGCCTGCTTAATTCTTCCAATCTTGCCTTGCTTGGAGACGGGTTCTTCTTCCACTTTCGATTGAGAGGAGCAAAGCCTGAATCACTTGTAGATCCGGATAATGTTTGCACGGCAGCGACGAAGTTATTGACTGTCTTCTCTCTTAATAATCCAACATGCTGAACAATATTTCGAAGGTGCTCAGGCTGGGCCTGTTCTCTGAGCTTGATCGGGCTACCTGCCAGCATGCCTTGGTAGACTTCACTATCTTCAGCAAACGTGTCGTGGTCGAGGACAGATGGTGAGCCTGCGTCCACTTTGTGCATTCTCCTGGTCCTGTCTGGATCAGTATGGTTACACACTAGCCGCAATCTTGGTGTCGATTGGGCCAAGGGACTAGAAGTAAGTAGTGAGTCTAGATCATCGAAGTCTCTGTTGCTTTGGTGGGCTGAAGACTTCTTAGTTGCGCGATCGATACTTGGAAATTTTGGCGCGGATCCAATTTCAGGCATCTGGTTACTGAAGGTTGAAAGTTGCATAACTTGCTCACTTGAACTTGGTGGCTCGGTAAATGGGTCTGTGAGTGCAGAATTCTGACTGTGGAAAGATCTTACATCACTGTTAAGTGGCTTTCTGGGAATTTTGAGATTCTCTGTCATCTTTTGCAGCCTGGAATTTTCCTTCAAGTTTTGTACTATCAGAGACAATTAGCTTCGCCAATTTTGGATGAAAGGGATCATCATTTAGGCCTACCTTCATTAAGTCTCAGGTCTGTGCCATTAAGAGATTCCGAGCGTCTATCAGGTTGTTCTTGAATTGTTGGTGGGTTGACGAAGGGCGGCTGAACCAAATGATTTTCTTGGCTATTATCATTCTTCCTACGGCGAAAGCTTCCTTGTAATACATTTTTAACCTTAAGAAAAGTCCCGGCCTTTAATCTTCTCTTTTTTTCGACGACCAAAGTATTTGTCGATCCTGGTTTGAGTTCTTCCATTGCCTTGAATGTTTGCGCAACAGAAGTATTAATTGTATTTGGATCAGAAGGACTGACAATTAAGCGTGATTGCTCGTCAAGACCGCCCGATGCCCGAAGAATTGGTCCTTTTGGGAATCTTCGAGTTTGAGACTCCTTGGTTGGGCTTCTACGGCGAGATGTCTTATTCAACGCGGTCTGTCTCTTGGAAGATTTTCTAGGAATAGGGGGCGCTGGATTCTTTCTTGAGTGCAATGAAGGTTTGGCGGTCCCATTAAAGTCAGTATCGGTGACTGTACTCTTGCCCGTGATACACATCTCGTTCTCACTAAAATTGAGACTGGGCAATTGTGGTAAGGCGTTCTCGACGGCCATGGGCTTATCGCGTGGCTCATTGATGGCAATCTCATCTGTCGATCCACCATTGTCCTCACTCGGGGTCTCTCCGACTGATTGCTGTTCTTCGGTGCCGGCCGGAGAGTGAAAGGCCGACAACTGGCGCGTGCTTGACTCTGTTGATAGTCTTGTATTAGCTTTACTTCCAAGTTGATAGCATCTAAGGTAATTTGAGAAACACAGTAAGTTCAAATCGGACTACTGGACGGTGGGATGGCCAAGCGTGATTGAAGACGTGGGGACATGATTGAACATGAAAGTGGAGTACATGCGTGTAAATGAATTGGCATTTGAGGTTTGAGGAAATAGAATAGATCAACTTACCTCTGTTGCTAGCTCTACTCTTATTTGCTTTGATTTGCTGGTTGTTTCTAAGAGAAGCAAACGAGCCCATCAGAGCGTTTTTCTTCTTCTTCCCGTAAGTCTCCATGGTGGGGAATTACGGAGATTTGTCGTGGGCGAAAAATTGATCGTATGCGGGATGCGATAAATTATAGTCGGGAAGGGTAGATAGAGGCGGTGACAGTGGCTAGATACTTTTGGTAGTGAACGATGTTAGTTAAGGCAAGATCGACGGAGCTTGAAATTGATGGCAGCGAGGGAAGGAGGGAATGGATCAAGGGGTAGCATATAGATTTAATTGGGATCTCATGAAATCTTCAGAGATCCATTGATCGTGCAAACGTTTCTCATTGATTTTCAGCTTGAGAATGATGTTTGCCGAAAGTGCGGATAAGAAAGCAAGATTTCGTTCGTTATAGGATCGAACGCAGAGTCTCTGCGTTCGAAGGACGAAAAACAACAATGGTTGCATGTGCGATATCAGCGCAAGGCTCTTATGCGCATGATATCGCAGAATCTGCTGGCAATAATGGGGTTGTTCGAGTGAGGATGCGAAATGGAAGAGTAGGGGTAAGATTGTCGCGATCTTACCTCAAAAGAGTTGGGCGATTGTCTTTGATGGGAGCTGTAAAAGGAGCACTTTCGTCTTATCAGTTTAGCAGTAGTTTTGGAAATGTGGTAGCTTTGCTGCGCATTTGACAATAAAAGTTGTGCTGAGAATGTTGTATGGTAATGGTGTAGGTTTGGTTGGACAAGATGAGGGGAATAATTTGACAGCGTGGGGTAAAGTGATTCTGGCAACCAAGTAAGGTGAACTAAGGTGCCGAGCCGGGTATGTGCTTGACGGGAATATCTAAGGGCAAAACTCAAATTTGACAGCAGTGAGGTTCTGTTAAAGGAATGGTGTTAAGAGTGTACTCCAACGAAGAATATTACCAGTTTGAAACCCCGATTAGATAAGAATATGTTCACCCGATTCTATCAACAGAATAAAGTGCAATACGACCTGAGAAAGGTATCAACCTGGTTGTGTTGCTAAAGGAAGTATACAGACACTAAGCAGAAAGCTTTCCAGAACACCCTTCTTACTAGGCTGACTTACCCCAGACTATTGTCGGAGGGGAACCAAACGTTGGAAACAAAGCTAGCCGACCTGTCCTACTGTACCTATCTGGAGGATCAGCAGTATTCTGGTTTGTTTTCAGCCAACTGGAATCAATAACTAATAGAGTTCCGTTTCGTTGTGGAGCACAAGAAAGGCTGCGTACCTTAAAAAGCTACAGCAACAATATTACTACGAAGAAGCCAAAGCGACTGCCGCATTCTTCAATAGACTTCCACAGAAGCTCCAAACAGTTGAAAAACGACAGATCCCACAGCAGTAGCTTGCGTATCGAGTTACAATTAGCTGCGTCAACTCGTAGTGGACACCCCTCCGCAGAATCAGAAGAAGACAAGAAGACTTTTGAAGCCACTGCAATATCCCTTTAAGTTACATTGGCTGTAGTGGTCGTTGGCATACCCAGCATCTCTCGGTAGAGCTTCAAAGAACACCGCGCAGTATTTGAAGCCTTCGAGGGACCGGAGGTTCTCTCTGGCAAAAAGGCATACCGTCTACTGGCCTAAAAGCCGTGGAAATGGCGTACAATGAGAAAGATCGAGGCCTAGCCACTTCTTCAACTATCTTCATACTATATTATGTGAATGTAATTAATACATAGCTTACCAAAATACCATACCACAGAGGAACGCTCAACAGCTACAAATACATTCCCACGCCCTGCAGAAGCAGCAAAAGTTACTCCGCCAAAGACAGCTTTGTTTCGACGAGCAACAATCAGATAGGAAGATATCCGGAAAGGCATTACACCCTACAGCAGCATTTTCGGGAGGACCAAGCGGATAGGTTCTTCGTTGAAACATGATCAACAGCAATTGAATCAACATATCTGTATATCTATACACCCAGCTCTCTACATCTACTTCTGATCCGTCATTTTGGACATCGACCGACTGTATCTTGCCGATACTTGACGAATAACCACACAAAACTCACACCATCATCAACGATACTATCACACATCATTTGCTTGCGTGGCTACTGCGCGCTTTTAAAAGTTTGGAGTCTTGCCAGGATTTCCTCAAGCTTTCCCAGACCCAGACCCATTCGCACTTCACATCAGTATGAGATAACTAGCTGACTCTCAAATTCTACCAGAAACCCTCCCTCGCTCTACCCCGACTAGAGCTCATATTATACTTTGCATTAGGAGCAGGCTAACAAACGCTCTCCAACCTCGGATCGTCGACCAAAATGTATCGAAACCACCCAGCTTTTATGTTCCGCTGCCTATACAATAAACCATCGAAATGCCTGGCACACAGTCTCATATAAGCGCACAACAAAGCAAAGGTATAATGCCGGAAAGCCTTATTTCGCTACTACACATACTTCTGCGGCGAAGCAACAAACAATTGTTAGGACTTTACACTTGAAATGAGCTCTACACAAACTTCAAGCACATTTATTTGCGTTGAGGGATAACACCGACATGGGACATATACAATGGGCATTCTCTTCTCGACCTCTCCTTTGAAACATGGGTGTGGCACATGCGATACTTCTACTTGAATTATTCTATCCCATTGTGCACAGCAGATGTTACATAAACTCAACTAAACACCAAAGCCAATTCATCATATTGTACAATCGATGGTCCACCTCTGTCTCTAAGCTTACAAACCTGTTGTAACTATTGGAAGGGACATGGGGAAAGTTCTCTAATGTTCAGTCCCATCCAGAATTTCCCAAATCTCAAGGCAAATCTGTTGGAAAAATCCCCATGAGTAAAGACCAAGGGTCATAACTAACCAATTGGCCAGTAATTTGTACTAAGAATGTCTTCAGGAAAAACTCAACAGGCTTTGGAATGATGCATTCATGGGTAGCAATTTACTACTCAAAGGATATGTGCTAGTACCACATCTCTTGTTATGGTATAAACATCCAAATACAACTATCTCTTCAGAGCTATTCACATCTAGAAGAAATGAATATTGTCATTGTTTGTGTTGGTTACTCGACCCCTGATTACGCGAGTTCTTCAATTCAGACCTCTAATTCGAAGAGGCAGAAAGTGAGTGCTTGGACCAAGCTCTTCAATTTTACACTTCAGCTGACCTGACCATTCACACAACATCTTTTGTACCCTTGGCCAAAAAAACCCCTTGCAATCATTTACTGGATGATATAAAAATTGAGTTATTGTTTACTTTCGCTCTACCTTTGTCTTTCTATGCTGCCATGCCAGTGCAAATGGCTAGTCACTAAACTATGATTTTCTGTCTCAACTTCTGTCTGGATTCACACGCAGACTTTCGAAAGTAGAGTTGCAACTCTATGACTTGATTTATTCAACTACCTTTTGGTTGTTGTAAACAGCTTCATGTTGTACTTGTCAAAAATGTTCTCTAGTTCAAAACTTTGTAAACAGAATCTTCACGCTTGAAATACACATATCATCATGTTTCTACTGCTTGAAGTGTAGCTTCCAGAGCATTAGCAAGTAGCCATGTTGAGCTTTGGTCAAGAGTAAATGCTCCTATTTTAGGGAACATCAAACTCCTCCAGGGCTATTCTCACCACAATACCAATGCACAACTGGGGCTATCAAATATCTTGCCAAGTGCCTGCCCTTAACGGGCATAACGTTTTTGAAATCAGACACTAGACAACGTTATAGGAATGGCAGATACGTTAAGAGAGTAAACAAACCAAAACTGCCACTCCAACGTTCACCAGAATTTGACAGAGTACTACACTAGCTATCATCTGATTTGTGGGGAAAACATGCAAATGATGGAGAAAAGTATTATTCATTTTTTGCGCGACTGGCATCTTGGTAGATGGTTATCATATTATTCCCATTCCAATGGTGTTCCAACGATTGCGCCATTTAACCCATGCTCTCAGTACACATCCAGTAAGTGGGAGTGCTTACTCCGCCAAAGCTGCTCCGGTAATGTATCTCCGGAAACGATTTTCCGCGGAGACTTTCCATATGTAGGAACAGGAGCACTCCTCAAGTGCTGACAATGCGCACAAGGGGCGTGCTGGCACGTATGATTGGGTTGTGTCAAACTGAAGGTATCTGGGGTTGATGCCACCACGGCCGAGCCAAGACATATGAAAGTTGAAGGATGGGACCCGAGACTATCGAGCCGTGTGGATGGGCTTCCCTCTCTTATAGTGACGACGATTGATATGGCTAGGAAAGTATACGAAATATATGCGGAATGGGAGACCGGAGCTCGGAATAGGGCATCTTGTTTTTGTGGATTGAGGTTGTTTTGTATTGTATTCGGCTTTGATTCGGATTGTTTGCACAAATGTGGTAATATTATTGTCATCACTACGGAGAACTATAAGGCTATCTACTTCTTGGGTATTCTCGAGTCAGGTCTTGAGCTTTACACGCCTTATTCTGCAATGTGCACTTATGATCTTAGACAGTAGAATATCACCCCTTTTATGTTCATTGGTTAACAAATGTGATAATATATTAGTAAGGAATGAACTATCAAGTTCTTTTCTTTCTTCCTCTATCAAAGTAAACACAACAGACAACATTGGTAATCTCATAAAGTTGTTTGAAAATCTTCCTAGGCCATGAAAAGATCTACTCAGCTACTCGGCCACCGTAGCTATCAGCTGAATTATCTTATCGATTATTGGATAACACCAGCATGGATAACATTATCGGGTTGCCCACTGAGATGTTCGAAACACGGAGTGGCTAGTAATCATGTTCGGAATCTGTTCTATTTGAATCTTTTTAAGTTCTCCAGAAACTTCCCTTTCTATTTATTGTTTTCATAGAAAGTATTTTTTTTTGGATTCATCATCTTTGTTCTAAACTTTCATCCAATCATAATTGCGGAATTCATAAACCACACGATTTTACCCGACTCCGTAATTTTTTTAACTTTCATATCTCGGTCTGGATTATAATCTCCGTCCTCCGCCACCTTCACATAGTTTATATCAACTTGAATCGGCACTTTCGAATATCGGTCATTCAACTCTTAATACATTCACAACCCTTTCACTGTATACCCAAGATGTCTTTCTCTAGCCTCGTACAGGACTTATCATTCAGAGATGCGGCCAGCGAGCGACGACCACCAATTCGAGGACCAGGATCCGTTTCGACTTACGATGATCGTGCATCATATGTTTCCAGGGCCGACTCTCACGTCTCTAGAGCCAGATCGTACGCAAGTACAGCTGCGACTAGCGTAAGCATATCTGGAGATATTGGCAGTCAACTGCACGGTGGTTACTGTCATCCTTTGGCAAGATCATGGCAGGCCGAGAGACAATTGACCAAGGTAAGATTTGCATTACTATGTATATCTCTTTCAGCTTCTGACAATAACCACAGTCAATGCTTATCTACCCCCTATTCATTTCCGACATTGATGACGAAGAAACTCTTATTCCTTCCCTACCCGATCAACATCGCCGAGGTATCAACAAAGTTGTCCCATTCTTAGAACCTCTTATTCGCAAGGGTTTGAGATCTGTTATATTATTCGGTGTGCCGATTGCGCCTAACGTCAAAGATGCTCTTGGAACCGCTGCAGACGACCCACAAGGTCCAGTCATTGCCACAATTCGACTCCTCCGTCAAAGATTCCCGCAACTATTCATCGTTGCAGATGTCTGCCTTTGCGAATACACCTCCCACGGACATTGTGGTATCTTAAGGGACGATGGTAGTCTCAACAACCAGTTATCCGTTGATCGCGTTTCGGACGTCGCAATCGCATATGCTCAAGCTGGTGCTCATTGTGTAGCTCCTTCAGATATGAATGATGGTCGCATTCGTGCTATCAAACTTAAATTGATCGAGGAGGGTATTGCACACAGAGTTGTCTTGATGTCATATGCTGCCAAGTTCTCTGGTTGTTTATATGGACCATTCCGTGATGCAGCTGGTTCTGTCCCTTCATTTGGAGACCGAAAATGCTACCAATTACCACCAGGAGGTCGTGGTCTTGCTCGCAGAGCCATCGAAAGAGATATCGGCGAAGGTGCAGACATTATCATGGTCAAGCCAGCAAGTCAGTATCTTGACATTATCAGTGACGCAAAGGAGATTGGAAAGAATATGCCTGTTGCTGCATATCAAGTTAGTGGAGAATTCGCGATGATTCATGCTGGAGCAAAGGCTGGAGTTTTTGACTTGAAGACAATGGCGATCGAATCTTCTGAGGGTATTTTGAGAGCTGGTGCGACTATCATTGTCAGCTATTTCACACCACAATTCCTTGACTGGCTTGAGTCATAGACGGGGGTTATTATAGATTATGGGATTACTCGGCGCATTTGTCTAGGCTTGTGAATGGTGTTTGGGATAAGATATGAATAAAGGGACTGGGCAATGGAGTTAGACAAAACTGCTGTCAAAATACCATGAATTTAATGCTATACTTAAGAACTCAACTTTACTACAACTCACTGCATTACATCTTTAATCAATGTCCCTGTTCCTTACTCTTGCTGCAGCGACTTAGATTTTTATATACCATTAACCTTGTCGAGTCCTTGGCTAGCGGGGTCCCCTTATTCCTCGGCCGATTGCGGGGATCCTTGATCGGCTAAAATGGCCCGGATGGAAGGGCTGCGTAGCTTTGTGCCGAAGACAGCCTCGTGAAGCTTGTGTTAAAGCTTCGAAGCTGTGAGTCAATCAAACCTTTAAATATTCAGATTCTTTGGGTCACGATCTTCAGCATCTTAACTTTATCTCAATTCATTCGTTTCGTGTAGACCCTAGAAATCCAACAATGAAGTGTTTTGCGCCCAGGCCCATTGCAAGTCGTTCGACTTTCTTTCTTGAAGATTGCGCATTGAATACAAACAAGACAATCTATCCTGCGACAACATATCGATTGCGACTATCGGGGCAAAGAAAAGAGAGGCGATATGCTTCATCAAACAAATCTTCGAGGCCGAGAACTGCGCTGTTCTTTCCCGGTATGATCGCATGATATCGCATGTCTATGGCGATGTTGGTCTGTTCGTATTCACTAACAATCAACAGGTCAAGGAGTCCAAAGAGTCGGTATGTTAACGCCATGGCTCGAAGCTTTTCCCGCTACCGCTGGCCCCATAGTTGAAGAAATCGATGATCTTCTAGGCTACAAACTCTCATCTATAATAGCAAATGGGCCCAATAGTACCCTGACAGCTACGGGCAATGCGCAACCTGCTATTATGGCGTCTTCCATCTTGATTTTACGAGTTTTAGAACGAGAGTTTGGATTCAAGACACACGAGCGAGTTGATTTTACATTGGGACATTCTCTGGGCGAATTCGCTGCGTTGGTTGTTGGGGGATATGTGGAGTTTGAAGATAGTTTGTACCTCGTGCGCAAACGGGCAGAAATCATGGCCGAATGTTCGCGGAGAGCAAGCGCAGAACATGGAGGTGAATATGGGATGGTTGCTTTGGTTACGGAACCTGATCACCTCTCTTCTTTAATCGAAGCTATACACCAATTTCTAGGCCATATTTCTGCTGGTTCAAAGTCTGAGAGTGCGGAGGTCCCTCCTATTCAACAGGTGCTAATTGCGAATATGAATAGCAAGAATCAGATTGTTTTGAGCGGAAATATTGGAAGGATAAAGGAGTTATTGACGCATTTAAGACAATTTGGAGGGCATGATCCTAGGGCCGTCAGATTAAAGAGTGATAGCCCTTTTCATAGTCCATTGATGAGGCCTGCGGCAAAGTCTATGTTGAAATTATTGGAGGGGAAGAGTAGGGTGAAGGGAAAAGAAGATCAGGACTTGTTGATATTCCCTGGGACAATGGATTGCATAAGTAATGTCAGTGCAAGACCGTTCCAAAGTAAAGAGGAATTGAAGGACTTGTGGTCGAGAAGTTGTGTTGAGACTGTCAGATGGTGGGATTCGATCAAATACTTGGACCAGGAGAAGAAAGTTCGGAGGTGGATTGGTATTGGACCAGGGAAAGTTGGGAGAAATCTGGTAGGCAAGGAAGTTGGGATGAGGGGAATGGATACCTTAAAGGGAGGTGGAGTTTGGGGTATTAGTGACCCGAAAGAGATTGAGGAAGCTTTAAAAGCTTTGGATGAGACGGAATCCCTTGCTGTGGAGGAATTGAAGTGATTGGCTGCTTGCAATCTATGTTTCTTTCTTCTCCGGGGATTCATTAGGAGGAGAGACCAAGTCGTCTATAATCTGTAAGAGGAAAGAATTGGAAGGATACGGAGAATCCGAAAGATTAATGGCGTGGAGGTGGTTTTCTGATCTGAGTGAGCGCTTTTGCACATCTTGGATAATAGGTCTCATGACGAGGCTACGAGGCTGGATGGATTTTACAATATCCAATAAGTACTGTTATGAATAATTATACATCATCAAGATCCCTTCAACTTCTCCTTGTAAATCTGAACCCTAGGCCCCAAAAAATCAGCTGTAAATATATGTTGAAGTACGTCAATCTGAATATCTCTTGCTTCACTGTCGCGCGGATCGCAGCCTTGCGAGTTCTCGGCAAACTACAATTGCATGTCCCATCGCAAATCGCATTGCATTACAACTCATTACCTAAAACCTATTGAATTGCCCGCGCTCTTCGTTCAATCCAGAGATAGATAGTAAAGAATCGCGTACCTTCAACTATGACAACAATTCCTTCAATAGCCTGTCTAGGCGTCATAGGCAAGAATGTACGTTGTCCAATTCCCCCTCTGTCTATCCTCTTCTTATTCTCCTTCCCACCACCCTCCGAATTTCATACGTAATGTAAGATCAACTAACACCCCCAGAACAATCCACTCCACATCTCCATCTTCCCACCTCACTCACCACCCTACCCAACCTCCTCCTCTGCCTCCACCCCCACCAAATCTACACCTGCCGTCCACGAATCCCTCCGTACACCTCTCCAGTATTCGCTTCTGCTAAGTTCCACGCTCGACATATTTGATTCGCGGAGTCGCATTTCGGGGAGCAATTTAACGGGGGACTTGGGGCTGCTGTACGCGGTTGATGAGAGGTTGGCGGCGTATGGGTTCGAGACGAATACGGGGGTTAGGTTTGTAGTCTTTGTGGATGGGAGGGGAAGGGTTGTAAGGAATATGGGAGGGAATGGCGGGGGAAATGGCGGTAATGGGAATGCAGAGGGGGGTATGGGGGGAGGAGGTGTGAGGGAGGGGGATATCAAGAGTGTGAGTTTTGAGTTTTGTTTCTATTTTGTTGGTCGGGGGAGAGGAGAGAAGAGAGATGCGCAACGGGAACAATTTGGAAGAGATTGCTAATGGTGCAAATAGATATTCAAAGCGATGCAAGCTGCATATATCCGGCTCCTACAAAACCCATTCTACGATCCAGATGAACATTGTCCAGTCAATGGGAAGGGCGGGAAGAAGATTGTTAGTAGGAAGTTTGTGGAGGATATGAGGAGGATTGGAGAGGGCTGGGTGCCGGGGAGTGTTTGATGGGCTGTTCGTGTAACCGTGGAGGTTTCGGGGTGTTGCGTAAGGAAGAATAATAAGGTATCGATAATATGCACATATGCACACAGAGAGATGTAGAAGATGGCAGAAAGATAATTGCACAGGAGCAAACCTTGGAGTCGGGAGCTTTTCACATTGAGACGGTCAGCATGGATGGAGTTTGGGAAATCATGTGAGTTTTGCTAGCTGGTAAAATCGATGCTTTATAGATATTATGTTTTTTTGCTCTTGCATATTTGCTTCAAGGTCACGGATGACCATCCAGATCTGTTGTGAGAACTGACATGACCTCTTTATGAAGCGAAGCAAGCGCTTGAGCTTTTTTATTTACGTATTTCTATAATCCTGAGCGGATCCTTGGGAGAATCAGTGAGTAGCTGAATCGTAGATTGAATTAGATATTCCGCTGTTTCCCAGATGTGTGAGGGAAGATAGGTAGAATACTTTTTGGTCGATCTCACACATTGGTCTGACATGGATACTATAAGCAGGAATTTCTGATATGGTGTTGCGCATCTATCTATTTCTATTATCAGTCAAGATCTTCAGATGAAAACAGAGTGTATTCATACAACGGGATGCACAACTGCCAAACCCGAAGCGGTAGATCTCTCCTACCTAGATAGTCTCATCTTTGTCGAGTATCTCAAGCCTCAATCTACCTGTCAGGCACAGGAGGAAATCACAAAAAGCTCAATGGGTATCGCATCAATCCGCATTTGAATAGCCGAAGCCACATTTTTCAGCGCTGCCCCTGACATTGACATGTCATTCGATATTAGTCCGAGGTCAACAAGTCACCCAATGCCATATTTATAGCTATATACTAGAGCTTAGAATCCTCCAAATCGCTTGAAAATGTAGGAGGAACATCAGCAACTACTCGCTAATCGCCAACTCCAAAAGTATGGCTGTTACGATTTCACCCCTTTAAAATTATAATACCAGCCCTATTCTCTCCACTTCCACTTGCACTTGCACCTCCGATATCCCACTCCATCCAAATGAACAACCACAACCAGAACCACAACCACAACCACAACCACAACCGAATATCATTAGTGCATCCTGACGAAAGGTGATTCTCTCACCTCCGAGCTTTCTTTTCATAACGATCCCCTCCCCTCCCCTTACACTTTGATTTCCTAACACTGCTCGCCCATCCTCACCACTGTGCATCTAAACCAGAATCGTCTATACAAGATCTAGATCTAGATCTCGCTTATATTCACCGTCCCAGGAAGGAGAATAAGAACGCAGCTAGAAAAGCATACACGGGTACTTTACTCCATATTGAGGATTTGAAGAGATGTAGATGATAGCGACTTGAGTTAATACCTGCCAGATTCTATTTTTTTGGGTAAGTTCCACATGGGGACAATGCGGATTATAGTATGTATAAATTTCCTGCATCGAGTTTTGCGGCTATATATTTTGTGCGTTTATGTTATATACACTGGGGAGAGAACCTTTAAGTAAAATACCCATGAAGAGTATCTAAAGTAAGAGTGCTCATAGGTATGACAAGCTAGGTATTTGTTAGTGCTATTTCATATTTGGTACGGACCCTGCCCATACATGAAGCATCCTCTTATAGCAAAACCGCAAATAGGTGTGTTTTTTCTTAAAGTGAAAGGGACAGTAGATAATTTCAACATGTGAATTTAGTGTTGAAATCAAATTAGGGACTAGCGAGATTGGGGAGATTTGTGAGAATGAGCTCGAAAGACAGTAGAATACTCCAACAATTCGCGAATCGACACAAAATTTAATGTGCAAGTTAAGATTTCATTTCATAGCATACTTTACTAAGTTGCTTCATAAACATTGTGATGTGTTACCATCATAAAACTTAAGTCAAAACCTTGAGCCATAGCTCGTAACAGCAAGCCATCATCGGCAACACCAAACACCTTCGTATACGCCAAGCAAAGGAAAGTTTATTCAATGCGCTTTCAACCATGCCAGAATTTGATCGTACGCCTCAGCCTGTGCCTGCTTGATGTTCAATTGCTCGTAATCGCCGAATACGGCAAATCCATGAGGAACTCCCGAATATGTTTTAAATTCATGTTCGATGTTGTTCTCATTCAGGTATGTCTTTCCAACTTCTTGAACGTCATCGGAAAACAATTGATCATCCTCGACGCAAACAAATGCCAATGGAACCTTGGTTCCTTCCCAATCCTCCTTGCCGACTAATGTTGCGTGAGCGATTGCGCCAGCCTTGATGTACGGTCCTTTCTTTTCGACGGCGGCTTCCTCATCTTTCGCCGGTTGTTGGCCCCAGTGAACGGCGTTTGATTTCTCGCCTGCAATTAACAGAGTCATTCTTCCACCTAAGCAATATCCAACAGAATAGATTCCTCCTCCATTCGCTACTGCATCTGCGAACTCGTCCTTTGCGGCATCGATGACCTTGTGGATAATCGGTAGAATCTTTTCGGGTGTTTGTCTTGCGAGCCACATATCTGCCAAGAAACTCTTTGCCGTCTCTGCGGCGTGCATCTTCAACTTTTCAATCAAAGAAGGATCCTTATCTTCGGTATAGGTCACGGAACCAGGTAATGGATCGTTATGGAACATATCGGGCATGATAACGAGGAAACCTTCACCAGCGAATTTATCGGCTTGAATCTGGTTGTTGACCGAATGCATGCCTGTAGCACCCGTAAGAAGTAGTAAAAGTTTCGATGGTGCATGAGGATATTCGCTGGGCTTGGAAATGTAAACGTCGACCCCTCCAAGTTGTGTAGTTTCTCCAGATGAGCCTTGTCCGGCAGCTATTTTCGTTAGTAATTAATATCTGTATTTTCTAGAAGATGTAGAATTAATGCGTAAGAGTACTGACGTGTTGGTCTATCCTTCACGCAATGCTCCTTGTAAAAGTTAGTGATATTCTTCCCATTCAGTGTCTCAAAGACGTACACCCAAACTCGCACCGCTTTGCGCTGGTGTATCTCCTGGAATCGGGCTTGGTTCGACTTGAGGAACCTCTTTTGAGTCCTCCATAGCATCGCTCTCTGGAGCTCTGGTAGCGGTTTCTTCAGCCATATTGTGTGTGGTTCTGGATGTTTGTAGGAAAATGTTGTTCTGTCAACAAGAGAATGTATGGATGATATTTGGGTACTCAAGCTTGGCGGCGGGCGGGAGGCCACGTGAAGAGGGGCGGATGATAAAGAGCGGGGAGGCTTCGTGTTAGCGTGATATTATTAGGCTGCTAGCGCGGCGAAGCACGTTCCAAGACGCGTGAAATTCTAAAATCAATTTACACGAACCGCGACTCATCATCAGTAAGGAAAAGTTGACAAGTCAATAAATCAAATACTTGGTATACATTCATTTTCAGTAGATTCAAGAATAATAAAGTCGTTGATAATAATGGAAGCTGCAAAAGCTCAAATTACTCAAGGTGCTTTGAAGTAAGTGTTATACTCATTCAAATCGTCTTTCCATTGCTAACTTTTGGAAGTGCCATCTTCAATGATACTGATCGAGTAATGAAAGACTTCCCGGTACCAGTATGCCAGGTAGTACAAGTCAAACCTATGGGTTCCGGTGTAGATGGACAAGCCGAAAGATTCAGACTTGTTGTGAGCGACGTTCAAAACTTTGTACAGTGCATGCTTGCCACTCGTAAGTAGACCTTGTGTCCTTTTACCTAAACTCTGCGAGAGCTATTTGACTGATGGCGGATTAGAGGCAAACCATGTCATACACGACGGAAAGCTGACAAAAGGCTGCTTCATTCGTCTGAAAAACTATCAGGCGAATGAAGTCAAAGGAAAAAGGTTAGTAGACTTAGATGCTCTAATAAGAAGTCGGTGTCTAACACTGCTCTTAGAATTCTGATTATTCTCGATATCGATGTCATCGAAAGCTTGGGCACTATGGAAAAGATTGGAGAACCAACCGCGGTAAAGGTCGAGGAGGACGTTAAACCAACAAATACTAGTATTGCCGGAAGTGGTTTCTACGGAAACAAACCCCAACCTCAACAACCTGCAGCCCAAGATCGTGCACTCCCATCCCGCAACGGACCCTCTAGCTCCTCATCACACGCCACTATATATCCCATAGAGTCTTTGTCGCCATATGCCCACAAATGGACAATCAAAGCAAGAGTTACAAGCAAGTCAGATATCAGAACATGGTCCAAGCCGAACAGTGAAGGAAAGCTCTTCAGCGTCAATCTTCTCGATGAAAGCGGCGAGATCAAGGCTACGGGCTTCAACGAACAGTGCGATGCTTTATATGAGATTTTCCAGGAAGGTAGCGTCTATTATATCACGAGTCCATGCCGTGTTCAAATCGCCAAGAAGCAATTCTCCAACATAAATAATGATTATGAGCTTATGTTCGAACGAGATACCCTGGTAGAGAAAGCCGAAGACCAAGATAATGTCCCTCAAGTACGATATAACTTTTCCAACATTGGAGAGTTACAGTCTATTGAAAAAGACAGCACAGTTGATCTCATCGCTGTGCTCAAGGAAGTTGGAGAGATCTCAGAAATTACGTCGAAGACGACCAGTAAACCCTACAGCAAAAGAGAGTTAACATTAGTTGACGAGACTGGATACTCTGTACGATTGACTATATGGGGCAAGACAGCAACATCTTTTGATGCCAGTCCAGAGTCGGTTGTGGCTTTCAAAGGTGTCAAAGTTTCCGATTTCGGTGGTAGAAGTCTGAGTTTGTTATCTTCTGGCTCTATGTCCTTTGACCCAGATATCCAAGAAGCACACAGACTCAAGGGGTGGTATGACTCCCAAGGTCGTACTTCCAACTTTGCCTCTCATAGCAATTTGGCCAGCGCTGGAGCAGCAGGAGGCCGCCAAGATCCCGTCAAGACCATTGCTCAAGTCAAGGATGAAGGTCTTGGAATGTCTGAAGAGAGCACAGACTACTTCTCTTCTAGAGCCACTATCGTCTACATCAAACAAGATAACTTCTGCTATCCAGCTTGTCTCAATGAGAACTGCAACAAGAAAGTTGTTGACCAAAATGATGGCACCTGGCGTTGCGAGAAGTGCAACCAAAGCCACCCTAAGCCTGAATATCGCTACATTCTCGCCTTGAATGTCAACGACCATACCGGTCAAATGTGGCTAACGGCATTTGACGATGTGGGAAAGCTAGTCATAGGAAAGAGTGCAGATGAGCTGATGGAGCTGAAAGAAAATGATCCACCAGCTATGGAGAGAGTGTTTGAGGATGCAAATTGCAAGATGATGACATTCAAGGTTCGATGCAAGACTGACACTTATCAAGATCAAGCAAGGTATGTCAATTCTGATCCCATACATATCATCCTTGTGGATATGCGACTAACTATTCCCACAGGGTCCGATACTCAGTCATTTCAGCTTCAGCTGTAAACTACGCTGCCGACGCTTTGAAGTTGGCGGAGTTGATCAAGGCGTACAACATTGATTAGAGGTATATAGCTTGACTTGTAGTGTTTATGGTCTGAGAAGAATAATGATGGCGTGGGAGAGGGAAGAGACTCTTTATCAATGATCATGATGAGTTTGATGATGGTACTTCACACTGTTTGGCGTTGCGTAGTCAATGCTCGTGTCCTTTTCAACATCATGATAGAGATTTGTACGAAAAATATGAAAAACCATCACCACAAACAATGCATGTTTATTTGCATGCTTACTCGTTTCAAGATTCATAGATTCATTTTCTATATTTCATGGATTCATTCCTGTCGTATCTTCATAAGACGCCACCTGCCCATACGCCACTGCTTCCGATTTCTTCGAAAGACTTTACTGTGTATTAACAATCCGTCCATTGCCTAGAGCAAACATCGCTTTTCGCGATTGATCCATACCACATGTTCCTAGAGAAAGAAACCAATGCCCACTTCGTCATGAACCACTAAATATCCCCGCTACAACTGAGTTAAGCTCACTATGTCTCCATCATTATGTCCTCGTCTTCAATTAAAGAGTTCCAGTCCAAGGGCTCTGCTGTTCCACCAGCGTTGGCAGCATTTTTCTGCTTCAACTGGGCATTCTGAGCACCGTCAATATATCGCTTGTCATGTGTCAAAACTCGATCCGTGACTTTGATTTGTTTGCCTAGTGATTGGATACGCCGAGTCGACGCCACTAAATCATTTTGAACCTGGGTTTCCGAAAGCACTGGACCGGTTGTCGAGAACGTAACAACTGCATGGCCAGATTGATCTCGAACCATAGTTGCAGGTAAAGTGCTTTCAGCGATCATGCTCTGTACAAGATCTTCAATCTGTTTGATTGAAGTTAACTTTGCACCAGTTTCTGCGCTCATTGTAAGACCCATGATATCCGCAGCTCCAATTTTCGAATAGACGTTGGCAAGATTACGGATTTGAAACTTTTGATAAGCAGCCAGGACACAGCAAATTAACCCGAAATTAGCATCGTCAGACCATACTTGTCGACCGAATTCGGCCTCGCTCTTTAACCGTGCCGCTGATCCAGTTTCAAAGATACCGGCAATAGCTTCGTATGGCTTTGCGATAATGTGGTATGTTTTAGCGGCAGCCGCAGAAGTGGTCTTTGGAAGTTGGAGGACCTTTCCATATTGAAGAAGTCCAACGAGTAACCATTTTTTGTAGGCCTCGACCATGACAAGGCTCACGCTATTATCATTTGATGGATATATTATAGCATTCTCCAACATCTCCAATGCAGCGTCCCATCTCTGTAAACCAATGTAGATTGATCCACTGTAATAGAAATACTCTAGTATCTCGAGAGGACTTAGTTTGGTGGAAAAGTTCGATTTGATAGTCACATATGATTGTGCCGGTAGGTCGACTTCGCAAAGATAACGTGTGTATGAAACGGGTTGCCTGGCAGGTATATAAAGGATAGGTTTGTCAATGAGTTCTGTAATGGCAGCGAAATAACGTGTTTGGAGAGCCAACCGGACAAGATATATATGGTTTGAGGTAAGGACCGATCCTGAGGGGTCGATTCGAAGTATGGCTTCTCTAATTGGGGGAATGGCAGCGCCTGGCTATGCAGACTTTAGTATTATTTTCTTCCATGATACAAGATATATTTCTACGCACCTGATGTTGTTCCGAAGCAACTTGCGCTACAAATTCCATGACATCTTGTATTTCTTTGCCAAGGTATCGGATCTGCCTTTGATCGAAACTATGTAAAAAGACTGTCGCCTTCTCCCATAAGTCATTGACGTTGATTCCCTTCTCGCCTCTATGAGCTGCAGCGATGTGGGCTCTAAGAACGTAGATATATGGAACTGTATTCAATGAGAGGTTGATCACCTATTACAGACTTATTAGCTCTTGTCCGACCACAATTTCAATAAATCTGCGCACATCTAAAGGACTTTCATCACCTGCAGTCGACTGTAACAATGTCTTATCGGAGGTCTTCTTTAAACTTTCGATTTGTGATGTGATGCCAGTATCATATTGCAAATCCGTGAGAGGTACCGAGGGCGCTGGATGAGGAGGAAATAAAAGCATGCGGGAGAGAAAATTGTCCATCTTGAAGGCAGAGTATGCGACCAAATAATGAGCGTTTGTGGGAAGTCACTCGATTGATTGCTAGGTACACAGCTTTTTAAGGACTTGAGCTGGTCTCGAATAGATGCCGTGTGGAATAGACGAGGTAATCTCAAATTTGATGCTAGGAATATCAAAGGTAGCTACAGTATACTACTATCTTTGAGTCCCAATTCTAAAGGTATTGGGTGAATTCGAGAGACGAAGTTGTGAGAGGCTACGATGTTGCCTTGGAACTCCAGAGCTCCCACTTGTTTGTGGGGTTGATGCCCGCTAGCGGCCGTCTGCTCCGGTCATAATCACGTGCTGTTAAAATTTCCAGAAATCAGTCATCGCACTGAGGGTGGAACAAGGGCATCATTATTTGTTATGAAGACTTTGTCGGGTGAATCTATATCACATTCTTGCACAGTTAACAAAGCTTCAGTGTCTGTAACCTCGACTTGCATCTTCTAAAGCCTTTCGTCCTTTTTTTCAGCTTGAATTTTGCAAAAACCCATGTCTCTCACAAACGCAACCCCAGCAGAAGCTGCGAGCGGGGCTAAGACTGCTTCTCACGTTCTAGCTACACTTCCAACAGCCTCTAGGAATGCAGCTCTAACGTCTATTCATGATGCACTTCTACAAAATAAAGCGAATATACTAGCAGCCAATGCTCGAGATCTCGAATTGGCTCGGAAAGAAGCCGAAAGTGGTCGTTTAAGCTCAAGTATAGTTTCAAGACTGGATTTGGGAAAGAAGGGAAAATACGAGGATATGTTGAAGGGAATTTTGGATGTCAGAGATCTTGACGACCCTGGTATTGACAAATTTTCTCATAAGGTGAATGAACGCTGATCGCTTCGTACAGTTGGGAAAGTTACATTGCGAACACGACTTGATGATGGTTTAGACCTTGAGCGAGTGTCGTGCCCCATTGGAGTCCTTCTGATTATCTTTGAAGCACGTCCAGAAGTCATCGCAAACATTGCTTCGTTAGCAATCAAATCAGGAAACGCCGCTATCTTGAAGGGTACGATAAAATATTTATGTCGTCGCTCAAATGATAACTAATGTTCTACAGGTGGAAAAGAATCTACCGAATCTTTCATTGCTATCTCTACCGTAATCTCAGCAGCTTTACAATCGACAGAAGTCCCTGCAGCTGCAATCCAATTGGTTACCACCAGGGATGTAATTCCTCAATTATTGGCATTGGACCAATATATCGATCTCGTTATCCCAAGAGGCTCGAACGAATTGGTCAGATATATCAAGGAAAATACCAAAATTCCAGTCATGGGTCACGCAGATGGCCTTTGCTCGATATATCTTGAGAGAACGGCCGATCCAGCAATGGCAAAAAGGGTTATCGTTGATTCGAAAACTTCATATCCAGCCGCATGCAATAGCGTGGAGACTTTACTCGTTGAGCAAGCAGCACTCGAGACAATTCTTCCCCAAGTTGCAGAAGCACTATTAGAGAAGGGCGTTTCTTTACTATGTGATGCTTCGAGTAAATCAGCTCTTACTTCAAAACTTCCTTCTAATCAAGCAGTCTTGCTGGAAGATGCAGTTGAAAGTGATTTTGACACGGAACATTTATCCCTTGTTCTTGCCATCAAGACTGTTTCTAATCTCAACGAAGTCATTTCACATATCAACATTCATGGTTCTCATCACACAGATGTGATACTCACGTCATCTTCTGATCTCGCCGAGCGATTTATGGCTGGCGTTGACTCAGCAGGAGTTTTCTGGAATACGTCCAGTCGCATGGCTGATGGCATGCGCTTTGGCTTCGGTACCGAAGTAGGAATATCAACAAACAAAATCCATGCACGGGGACCAGTCGGTTTGGAAGGTCTTATGATCTACAAATACAAAATTCGCGGAAATGGTCACATGTCAGTTGAATATGGTGAGGGAGAGGGTCAAAAAAGGTTTAAGCATGAAAATCTCTTGATATAGTTTTCTCGCATCATAAAAGACACTCATGTTTGCAAATGCAGGCGTACATCTTTCTTGGCGCATTCGCGTCGTGTTCAGTTTCTGATTGTTGATACTTGAGGTGTCTGAGAAACTCGAGACGAGCGCATATACATGGATTTGATCTGTTGAACGCGTGATGGTGTGCGTCTCTTCTCTTCACCTCTTTAAACCCCCAAGAATTTGGCCCAAACACCGTTTCCCCACTTATCCTGTCACGGTATCAACTTCCTCTTATCTCTTGGCGTATTTATCGGTACTACCTTCCCAAACCCGCCAATATCTTGGCTTTTTGTCTTGAAAAGTCCATATTTTTTCCAGGATCTCCTCTTAAGCTTTGTGCAATTTTCTCTCAATTCTTCCAAGTGGATTGACTGGTGGATACATTCTCGCTACCCATGTGCATGCTCGGTAACTTAAAACGAACGACCCCTGAAGCCCCTTGACACAAACCATGTAACAAGATCAATATTACCCAATAACATTCAATTCTAGGGATGACGTTTTGATGTTTCCCATATCTTTCTTCTGTGGTCAACCTTTTCTAGCTGTGTATTTGAGATATGTGAATCTGAAAATATAGGGATATTAATCTGTTTGTCACGTATAAGGCATCGAGCGTTACTGGCTGCCCACTTGGCGTTTAAGCTTAGAGAAAAGGATTGTTTAAAATCTGAGCTTCTCCCGTGGTTTTTGGATGGCTACGGCCGGCCGCAGATTACTTCAGGAAAGAGTCTTAGATATTTTCGATTCAATTAAGTTGTAATATCTTTTGATAAAATAATTTTGAAGAGGAAAAGTTATTGAAGAAAAAATGTTGTTCTCTGGTTTATTTATCATGGCGGGATTGGGGGCCGTTGTGTCTGCGAGGGCAGTTGAGAAGAATGAACGTAAGTAGTTGGAGAAGTTTGTTCAGTCTAGGTTCCCTTCAATTGATTTTCCTGGGACTTCTTTCCCATTTAGAAGACGTCAAAAATATAACCAGCAGCTAACAAATTTATTTAGGATCATTTCAACGACCCATAAATGACCCCTCATTACCTCGTCCAACTCCCTCCTCGCCTCAATCCTGCATTTTTATGCCATCTCTCCCGATGCCACCTGTCTCCTTCACATCCAGTCTACCCACATCTCTTCATCATCATCTCCCAAATGTCCTCCTCTCCCACTCATTCTTCAATTCAAAATCACCAACTTCTTCTGGCTCCGCCGCCCCCATGATCTCCACTCTTTCTCTCTCCGAAGTAACTGGCGATGCTTCCCTTCAAGGGATTTTCCTCGGCCTCGTCTATACTTCCATCGACAAATCTACCTCTGAGCCTCCTTTAGACTCTCTCCCCAAATCTCAAGCATCAAAACCAAAAGTAAAACCTCACTGCCGTCCTCAACTTCCCAAACCCAAAGTGGACGAACAAGACGATTTCGATAAATCATGGGGCCATATCAATAATCACGAGATTCGATCACCGGTTTTGTCAGTACCACAGTCAAGTCCATCTACAGAGATGAGAAGATGTTTTACAGAGGCGGTGGAAGGAGTTAGGGAGAGCGGGCTCGTGGAGGGGACGCTGAAGTTTCCTAAAGAAGGGGCAAAACTACGATTTTTGGTTTGGAGGGTCGATTGAATGATTTAGGTTGGGTTGAGAACATTTCAAGCCGGTGGGGTGTTTTTTTATGAACAGAGGATATGCGAATGGGTCGGAAACTAGAGATTCGAACGTCAAAGGTGTTTAGGGCTGGATTGGAGTTCGGGTATTCATGTCATCCCTTCGATTTTGATGTATATGATACGATGCGTATGGAACAAAATGAGATAAAATAGTATGAACAATTTTGTGCGATTATCAAGCGCCTCGCATAACTGCTGGGAAATGAATTACCTCATAGGCTTTGCACAAACTGTTGACATGCATGAAGTTTGTGTTAAAGAAGATATAAAAGAATTTCACATTGTACCATGATAGGGACAACACTTCAAGCCCTCACTTCCAATGAGTTCCCTTTGATCGTTTACAGGTGAATATATACATGTGGTTAACAATAGGCAGTACTTGGTCCGGTTCTCTTTCCTCAAGTTGAGAGAAAGTAGAAAGGTCTAGATGGATGAAAATGAACGAGTAAAGAATCCATCTCCGTTTAAACAGCCCACATTGGAATGAATTGGTAGTACACACAAATATGTACAGCCACGAAGCTTTTCTTTTTCTTTTCTTTTTTTTTTTTGAACAAGTACATCCATTAATTTCGCATTATTCCCTCCTCCGCTACTCGCCTAAATTCACTCGCTGCTTGTAATCCTCGAATATCTCATTCTTCACTTTATAGGTGTGCTATGTGGTATTGGTTCAAAAATAGGATGCAAGAACGATGGGCGAAAACACATCAGGACTGGGATCAGGCTAGGAAAAAAGCGATGAGTCTTGCTTTTTGTCAAGAAATTCCACCCGGTAAGCTTCTTGATTCAGCGGCCTATGAGAAAGTGAGCAAGCTTGTACTAGCTTCGACAGATAATGTCGGGTTGTGATTTATCTAGCGAATTCTTGGACCTCCGCAAAAGGATTCAATAATGACAACTACATGCCAATTTGCATTGCCTAGGTTGAAGTAACGTAATCATTTTCACCATCATCCAAAATTATCGCCGTCTATCTTAATCCATTGTCACGTTCTCCATTGTCACGCTCCTCTCTACACACCTCAATATAGCACCCCTTCTGTCTCAATGCTTAAACTTTCGATCAGAATCAGATGTCTAGTATTCACACTCAAGAGCCAAAGAAATCCCTTGTGCTTTGTTGGAGTAAGTAGAGGTATTCCTATCCAATCTAATAATAGCTCATTTCATACTTCTCTCGAATTTCTGGGGGACAGAAATTGATATGCAGACTATCATTCACAAAATTGTGTGAAAATTGAAGGGGTCGGAGGAGGATATGCGCGTGTTTTCTCTCAATACTTTCAGCTAGAAGTCAGTTGCGATATCGAAACTGACAGTTGGGTTAATTTGGATGAGAAAGATCACTTCTGTATGTTGGTTGTTGCGATTGCTGTTGTAGGTGTTAGGTACCAGGTGCTGGATATTAAATGGTGTACAATTGAACGAAGAGCGGCTCAAACAAAAATAGAAGAAAAGCCCCGAAAGAGGGAAGGAGCAGACATCTTCCATGGGAGGAGATGAAAGAGAAAAAAGCTTCAACAGTGATGGGATTTTAAAACTTCCTGTTTCCCCTTTTGCCTCTCAATGGACGAGGATTCCATCAGTGAGTGTATCTTTATTCCATATGTCTTCAAGCGTATCTCATACCGCATACGCTCTTCCCTCTTCCACTTAAATACCAATAAATCCATAAACCCAACCTCCGTTTCTACTCATTCTCACTCACTTCTTAGTCTCTAATCCATATATATCCAGCCGGGGGAAAAATCAGGAAACTCTCAACTAATCCCCCTCTCCACTCAATTTCTCACGCATAGAAGTTCGAACTAAACCTCTGATACTCAAGTATACAATTCTACTGCCTTCTCCTTTCCACTCTCCCAATGTAATGTTAAATATCAAATCCCCCCACAGAGTTACCTGCGAAGAAACTAAGCAGAAACCCTGCACTATAACAAAAACAATACAATACACTTACCAAACCCTCAAGAAAGAAGAACCAGGCGCATTCCGAGAGACAAGTTCAAGCTCCAAGTACCCAGGTATCCAGATCAACCCATCAATCTCCTCTCCTCGAAAAATCAAAACACATTCCACATCCCCAATCCTCCGAACCCCAAAATTTCAGAAAAATAAATAAGGATACTCAAGTAATTATCAGAAACTCTATGCCTTCTTCCTTCCTCCCTTCCTTCCTTCGCTTACGCCTACGCTTACCTACAGTAGGTATCCAAAGTATACTTCCTTGATACCATCATACCGAATCTCAAATTTACATAGATACCTAGGTATTCGAGGTAAGCAGGACGCGATGTTCATTATCATCGACATATTCATTCATTTATGCTTAATTTACTATTCATTCACCATTTTACGTTCACTGATCTCTCTCCACCCACCCCCCTACTCCACCCCTCTTCACCCATTCGATCTACTCCTCCTCCTCATCATCATCATCATCTCACTTCACTCCACTCCCATTCCACCCCAGGAAACCCATCTGCATCTGTATCCGCATCTGCAAACCATTCATTCCATCCGCGAATTACCCACCCATCTCCTTCTAATATATCAACATACCAACACACATCCCCACTGAATAATCTTGCACATTGCCTGTTCTCATTTTATCTATCTTGACACCTTGACACCTTAACACCTTGACACCTTGATACCTCAATACATTAATACATCTATATACCAATATACCTCCCTCCGTTTCTTCTCATCAAAATTCTAGATTTCTCGTCTTCCTATATTGATTCCCCCATCCCCCCTCTCCTCTGCATTTCATTTCATTTCATTTCTATTCCATCCGCATCCGCATCCGCATCTGCCACATCCTACATTCTACATCCAGTCCCTATATCGCAAGACACATCTTATATCACACATCTCGAACCCCTACATTCTACATACTATAGTACATTCCACACTCTATCTGTGCCTCCCTCCCCGTCCCCATCCCCATCTCCCTAGCCTTACTCAACAAAGTCCCAACGGCGAACGCACACTTTAGCCTGCCTATCTATGCTCTCCCCTCCATCTTCACCATCATCCTCACCATCCCGCCACTCTCGCACCTCACACCTCACACCTCCACTCTTACTTCCACTCTCACCTCTTACCTCCCGTCTTCGATTTCTCCATATATCTATATATCTCAACCATTTAACAATTTATTTCAAAGTCAAGTATTATCATGTGCAGACATAAATTTATGAGTATAGGTTACGAACACCAGAGAAAATCAATTTAAAGCTTCATATATCATCACATCACACATCATCACCAATCCCTCTTGCCAAAAAATTCATCAACAACTTTTAAATTTTTGTATCTTGTTCAGTTCAGTTCCAGTTGAATTCCAATAATACCCCCGAACCCATCCAATCATTCGTACCATCCATCCATCCATCTTCATCATAAAGTCATATCATTCAACCATTCCCATTCCATTCATCCCGATCACCGTTAACCCATTTGCGTTCAGAATTGGTTACAAAACATTCAAGCTTTGCACCTTTTCCACACATTCCATTGATATGGCATTCATCCATTGGGATAACCATCCTCAAATGGTAGAATCCATTTCATCTCCCTCCCCCATCAAGCCCAAGAAACTCACAACTGCAACAACTAACAAGATAAGCAAGGAAATGGTCATAAATCATAACGATAATGTATGTAAACGTTAAGCTCAAGAAGAGCTCAACAAAAAGCAAAGAAACCAGAAGTCGGTCCAGGAAAGAAAAGCTGAAAACATTAAACAAAATGATTATCTGTTCAGTGGTCCAGTTTTCCTTCTCTATTCATCCTTCCCGACATCATAAGAAAAATATTGAGACAGGTTCCTCGGTGCTGTAAATATCGAATAGAAAATGGCCCCATTCATTATTTTGGTCGTCCGTCTGAACGAAAACAAATCATTTAAGCCTTTCCCATGAACGAAAAACACAAAAAGCCCAAATCCCAAATATTTCATGTCGACGCCTAGGGTGTCATTAATAGGCGTGTTTCGTTTTTTTGTTCTCGAGTGTAAAATGAAAACCCCCAAGTAAATAAATCCCGCTTGCATGTGTATATCTTTGGGATCATTTCTCAACAGATTATTTCCTCTCCCATGTTTGCATAGCGTAAATTCGTTAAAGCCGTTTCGATGATCCGCATTAGGGTCATCTAAAAATTTCAGTCATAAACTCGTCGTCATTCCAGGTTCAAATAATTTGCTGAATCTATGTTCGGCGAATACAAAGACAATCGTGAAGATAAAAAAGAAATTTTCTTTCAAAGAGTGTGCTTGTGATTGTCGAGAATGCTTTTGTGGCGCGAGCCAAGAATAAAAAAAAACAGTGGATCATGATGAGAAAAGTCAGATCACTGGAAGAAAGTGCAAAAGTGTGCGTTCAAAATCATCGATTCGAGTTACCGGCGTCTTTGAGCAATGGTCGATTGAGCTCGGTTGAGTCCTGGATTGTAAGATGGTCCAGAAACTGAACCCTCCCGGATCGTTTTCCGTCTCTTCAAACCATCAGCATCGGCCATTCCTGGACCTCTACTGGATGGGCGACCATCGTCATCATCATCTCTGCCGCGCTTGTTACTCCCAGGTGCGCCATTCATGATATTTTGCTGACCGGCATAACCATTAGACATTGAAGCTCCAAGATCTGATTGTGGTGCGTAAACGTCACCACCTGTGCTGCCGTTAGCTGTACCACGTTCTTGACTGACTACATTATACAAATTACTCGACGGTGGTTGAATTCGTGGAGGTGTGCTGTAACCACCTTGCTGTTGAGCGTAGTACGTTTGTGGTGCTGACGCGGTTCTAGGAGTTGCTCGTCCGGAAGCTGGATTATTTGGTGAGCCAGTCATCTCTGGTGACAAATGGGTGTGTTCACCTGTTATTGATCCCACGGCTGGGCCATTCGAGTAATTGTATGGCCGACGACTTGAATCGTAGTTACCCTGGCTGTCATGGGTGTATTCACCGCCATCATGATCTTGATCATGTTCTTCCTCAACTTGGCCATTTCCTTGATGATGGATCATTCCATTTGAATCCTTTGGTTCATGATGTTGTGGCTCAGCATCTGGTGCTCTCGCCAATGGTGGACCCATTTCATTCTTGATGTATGAATTTGGCTGTTGCGAGTACTGAGGCATGCTTTGTTGAGGTGGTGGAGCTTGGGCGTAAGCATTCTGTGGCGGGGGTGCTTGGGAGTACATCTGTCTCGAGTCGTAAGGTTGTTGAGTTTGTTGATATTGTTGCATCGATTGAACCGCAGTTCCGGGAGGGGTGGTAGCTGGAGTTGTTGGCATTGAGCGAGCATTACTTAATCCAGTGTCAATTGACAGGGGATTGGTACCTTGCACATTGCCCATGGATTGCCCAGGCCACTGGAAATTGCCGTTAGAATTATCCATACTGCCCATTACACTAGATGCACTTGTGGGAGGGGTGGGGAATGTGTGTGATCTTTCGAGAGCAGGACGACCAACATTTGGATGAGGAGCAAGGGAATGCTGTGGACCTGGAAGGGGAGCGCCAATTGAGTTAGCCATTGAGTGATGGTGATGTTGGTGTAATGAAGGCAAACCAGGTGCTTGTGGATTCCGCATTTGGTTTTGCTCATTCTTTCGACGTTCTGCGGCTGCCATTACAGCATTCGTTCGTGTCTGGTTCGTTGGGTGGTAGAGAAGAGCGCCAATATTGTGAACAAATAAAGGATACAATAATTCCGTAATCTTTTCCTTATTTGCAAAATCCAATGCACGCTCAAAAGGAATCCTAGTATTTTGGGTTAGATATGCACGTGCACCTAGACTATCAAATTTTGCTTACCAAACACCCTTTAAATGCATAGGACCAATTTTCACAACGTGTCTCATTTTTTCACTTTTCAGGATACCGTCTCGTCGTCCACGAGTCATACCTGCAACATTCAATAATTTCGTGCCATTAATCATGTGATTATCTTGCCTAGTTAGCATAATTTGTTTGAATTGAAAGAGCTCAGCTTACCTTCACGTCTAGCCACGCAAACACCCTTTGCCTCTACTTGAAAGCACAAACTACCCTCGTCTTCCCAAAGGGTTGCTGTCACTCTGGGCTTCATTCCTGGTGGGGCAACTTGGCCAGTCTGGTCAAATTGTTGTGGTCCACCATAACCTTGGCTCGGCATACCAGGTTGAGTGGTCATTGCTGGAAGTGGTAGAACGTTGCCTTGACCACCCATTGACCCGGGAATTTGAGCCGATTGTGGAGATTGAAGTCCATTGCCATAGTATTGGCCGTATGGTGCTTGCTGCGCAGGTGAATAATGTGGAGGTCCAGGTTGAAGCAGAGGTGGCTGATGTTGAGGATATTGACTCAATGCACCTGATGTGGCAGTCTGGGGTGGTGGTTGTTGTCCAGCCGACATGTGTGGAGGATAATACATATCTTGAGGACCGTGATTCATGTTGTTTTGATATGGCTCTTGGCTGTAAGAGTATGCTGGGTTTGAAGGTGGTGTGCTGTAAGATCCTTGAGGGAGAGAAACAGGTAAACCACTGCTAGCTTGAGTGGGAGAAGGGGTTTTGGGTCCGTTTGAGGAACTCGCTGTGGTGTAAGATGAATGAGAACCTCCGTTCAAAATTGAGGAAGATCCAAGTGAGCTAAGTGAACCAACCCGGGGAGATGAAGTACCAGACGAATATGCCTGTTGCGGCGGTGGCAAAGGCAAAGCGGGCAACCTTTCATTCACGTACAGTGGTCGCTGCGCGGCGTGATGGTTGTAGTATGGTACTTCGGAAGGCCCCCGGGTTTGCACTTGCGATATCGACGGAAGATCCAGTTTTTCGGTTGGAATGATCAAGTCCTGAACGGACAATGATCTGGCAGACTCAATAAAGGGTCTTCCGAGAAGAGAGGTAAAATTTTACGTTAGACGACAAGATTTAACTTGTGGTCTATTCGTGTATGCGGGTGAAATGGGTAACTTTATTTTTTGGAGAAAGATGAAAGTTGCTGAACCAAGAATGGAAGAATGATGCTTTGGTATATTGACAGACTATCGTCGATATGAAAAATCAAAACAAACACTGCTTTTACAACGAGCGCGAAAGTAATAGGTCGTTTATTTTTCGTGAAATAAGATGCATATGCCAAAGGTGCAGAAGCAGAAAGATCTTGTAAAACCTCAAAAAAGACTCGAAAAAGAAGACGTTTGGCTCGTAGAAGTCGTTACAAGAGGACTTGAAGCTTTGTTGATCCAATTGAGGTGCGATTGAAGCTCCACGACAGGATCGTTGGCAGTTACGCGAACCTGCAGGTATGTATGCTGGTGCTTGTCGCTTCTTTGGAAGGAATCTGATCCGTGCTTAGATTCGAGGATGCGAACGTAAAAAAAATCGTGAAGGTCGTAGAAGATTTCGTGGAATAGAGAAGATCTGAAGTGCAGTGGAGGAGTTTTACTTTGCAAGAGGCGTGATGTGTACTTGTGGATAGGATGTATGTCGGTCAAAAGAATTGAGGATATTTGCCAACTCTAACGCAGGTACACCAGTCAGCGCTGCAGCAATTGCTATGAGAAACGATGCGCAAATCTACACGATGGGTGAATGGGGGGAGGTGGAGGGACGCGGTGGATGGAGAGAAGCGGGAAGCACTGAACATTGAAGATTGAGCATTGGAACAATGAGGTACATACCTTTTGTTTGAAGTTTTCTAGGGTTTTCCTTTTTTTGGCTTTTCGTTTTCCATGCACCTCTATGAGGTATAAGAAATGGGGGAGGTCGGAAAAGGGAGGATGAGAGAGTGGATTGGAGAGCTTTAAAAAAAAAAAGGCGCGGAGGAAGAGAAGAATAGAAACGAGGGAGGAGGTTGGGCGGTGGTGATGTGTGAGAGTGAGTGGTGGAGGTGGGTTTGTGGAAAGTTTAAGGGTATTGGTTGAACAGGATAGTCTTAACGAGAGTGTATGGGTTGGTGAGAGTAGCTATAGCCGTGGCCGTAGAAAAATAGATTGAATGGATGAGGTAAGGTGTGTCCAAGTGGTCAAGGTATGGGTTGAGTGTTTTGAGGTAGTAAGGTTAGTAAGGTCGTAATCGAAGTGGGTGAGTAGAGTGGAGTAGAGGAGAAATAGAGGAGAGTAGTTAAATTTAAGTGTATGTGTAATAAGTAGAATGAAGTAATAAGTGAAGCTAGATGGGGGAGGGAAGGGGAAAGCTAGCTTATGAATATGAATAAATAAATAATAATAATAAAATAATAAAAATAATAATAAAAAATAATAATAATAATAATAATAATAATAAATATCGTGGTGAGAGTAATCAAATTTAGATAAAACAACCAAAGATACAGAAGGATAGTTTATCTAATTAGTCGTTGATGGGGGGAGGTAGATAGGTAGATGATAGATAAATAAATAGATGAATAGGTGAATAGATGAATAGATGAATAGATGGATAGATGATTGAAGAGGAGGAGGAGGAGGAGGAGGAGGAGGATAATGTAAATAGATAATCTTCAATGTTGATAGATAGTCAATAAAAGAGTAGAGACATTCAAGCCAAGAACAATGTTCAATGAATGTTCTTCTTGTTCTCTTGTTCTGCGTGTTGCCTATGTCTCTCTCTTCTTCTATTTTCCCTTCTTTGCCTTGGTCTAGCTGGTCCTTCCTTGTAGGAGATGCACTGTTTTGGTGTGTCGTACGGTAAGGAAGAGTGGAAGCGTGCGGGTGGAATCGTTATGAAGGGTTATGAAAAGAAAACACGGCGTACACAACGGAGTAATAAAGTGTTCGATTTCTTGGTGGACCTGAGGGTAAGATAATGAATGATAATGATAATGATACCACTGTGGAGAAAGTCTTCAACTTGTCTTGTTTCTGTTCTCTTGATTTGTGGAGTGAAGGTTGGAGTTGTTGATTCTTCCCTTTCTCTCTTTTGAGGTTTCCCTTTTTTCTTAGATCTTTTCTCCCTCTCTTCCTCTTCGTCTTCTTAATTCAATTGGCTGATACAATACTGTCCTTTTTTCCCTCTTTCTCTTCTGCTTCTTCTCCCTCTCTTTCCACGTCTCAGTCTCTCAGTATCTTTCTGCCCTTTGCTTTGGTGGAAACTTTGGATCTGGACTGGGTACTTTCTAAAGTGGATGTTTGAGGCCGTAGCGATCCCGGAATGAAGCTAAGGGTGCGTGGACGTGTGAGAGTGAGAGTGAGAGTGTGAGTGTGAGTGTGAGTGTGAATATGTGAACACCACAGCGCCCAAATATCTTGCGCTAAAATAGGACTTTTCTATACGGACGTCGGAAGAACCGAATGAGAAGGAGAATGAGAATGAGAATGAGCTAGAGTGAAGTTTAATTTTGCTTGATGTGATGGTCTGATAGAGAATGAAGTGAAGTGAAGTTTGAGATTCATTCCAGTCCAATATGAATATGTACAATTCACAGACGACGCTTGTTCAATGATGCTTATTTGAAGTCTTGGATTCATGAATGATATGACATGACATGATATGTATGGTATGGTATGATCTCAGTGGGTTATTATTCTGGTCTATAGGAATGAAGGACAATTTGACTCTCATCCACTTCTACTTCTACTTCCAATTCCAATTCCAATTCCAATTCCAATTCCAATTCTGATTCTCATTCCCATTCTAATTCTGATTCTCACGGCTCCTTCCATCATATCATATCATATCATAGCATACTTCACTACCATCTCCATATCATCATGATAAAGTTTCCACTTTTAGTTTAACCTTTGCATAAGAGATATCATTTTTCTTTCCATTTCTTTCCCTTCCCTTCACTTCACGACTCTCTTCTCCTCTTTGCCATCTCATATCCTAGTCAAGCTTCACTCGAGGATCCAAGAGGCGATAACTACAACCTTGCCTTACCTTGCCAGCCTCCCTTGTCAAACATTTATAATAAATTATAGATGAAATAAAATAAAATAAAATAAAATAAGATAAAAATAAAAATCATTTCTCGTTTTCTGCCATGTCGCTAAAATAGCGTGAGCATTAGAGTTTCTTAGTTGGGTAGTAGTTGTCTCCCTAGTCGCACCTAGAAGATCTATCATCTATCTAATGGGCTGCGTCGCTCCTGCGAAAGATCAAAGCTTTTTTTTTTCTTTCGGTCGCATCCATCCATCCCCTAGTAAGTCGCGCCAATTCTTTAAACCTGGTACAAAAACTGGGGTGGTTGGACAGCACAATGGTTGTTACTCTAAACGAAGGGTGCGAGGATTGGTCTGACCGAATGAGAAGAAGGAGAAGAGGGAGGAAGGAAACGAGAGAGAAGTAAAGTAACAGGTGAGGGAGTTGACTGAGTGACAAGCCAGCAAATGGTTCAATGATACATACTAAACATATTAGACATACTAGACATACTAGACCAGTACCTACCTAGGGGCGAGGGACGATACAATCGTGAATCTCCTTTGTAGATACTCGTAGATAGTTGAGGATTATGAAATTATGAATACAAAACATGCTACAATACGAATGCTCATTCTTATTCTCATTATTACGTCTCAAACCTGCATACGTATGACACCCAAAAATACCGATTCAGTACCATCAACATATCTTTCTTCCATCCCTAGGTACATTAATCATGGTTACCCGTCGTGCTTGGTGTTGTTGTACTTTTCACTATATTTTGCTGCGTTGGTTGTATTCTACTTGTATCGTGGGGTATCTCGAAAATGTGAACGTGATACCTCTTAATCCCTACCTTCGTCTGCTCTACGGACGGAGTACATCGTGCCTTTTACCTATCGAGGACTAAATCCATCACGGACTTGACAAGAGAAAATGATAAACACAAAAAGTGCGAGGTGGCAGTATGGGGCCAATCCATCCATCAAAAGTGGCAGAGTCGCAGAGTGGCCGTGACCGTGGTGGCCCTTGAGTTCTGGCCGCTTGAAAACAATGGATACTAATAAAATACAAGGATTCTGGAAAGGCTGGCTGATTCTCAATCAATTGAGAGAGAGAGAAAAAAAAACAAGTATGAATTGAAACGAGGGTTTTTAATATATGATCGCTGACGGCCCAGTAATGATTGGGTGATATTGATAGCAGTCGTTCCGGTTCCGGTTCCAAATTATCAATGGGGATCAATTAACTACTGGATGAAATGAATGTGAGGGAGGACGAGGACGAGAACACGGGGGAGAGACGAAGAGGGAGAGGGAGAGGGAGAGAATAAGTTATTTTTACCTTCCCCTTCCGATGCTTCTGTTGAGAAGATGGTGTGGTGTGGTGTGGTGTGTGTAGTGTGGTGTGGTGTTGTCGTTGTCGTTGTCATTATGATTGTTTTACCTTTACACCGTGAAGGGGCAGTGATGGTGTTCAAGTCTATTCTCCTGGTGGATGTGAATGTGAATGAATGTGAACGTGAACTGCCCTCTGCCCGTGGATCGGAATATGAAATATCGATGCTTACCTACCTACCTGCCTTACCCACACTGACACAGTAATGAATTGCATAGAAGAGATGTTCGAATGTGGATGTGAAGAAAGGCTGCTTTAAGCATACTAGGTGCATAGACATAGGATACCTTCGGATCTTCGCCTTCTACGGTAGCTGATCTCTTCTTCCATATCCCAGACGAAACCTTTCAAAACGAAAAAAGAAGATGAAAAAAAGTGGCCAGGACAATGATAAGCCGCTCGAACCCAAGAAAAGACGGAACAGCGATGGGATAGTGATGATGAAGGTGATGATGATCTGATGCGAGTATTTACTGGTGGGGCATATTATGAACCAAAATGAAATCAAATCAAATCAGATTAATACCGGTACATGGATGATTGAGAAAGTGGCGAGCCCGTTCTCGCTCTTCTGTCTATTCCTACATCCGGATTATGATGGATGATCTTGCTTGACGAATGGATCTATCTCACATACCCATACCGTATTCAATTTTGACCAGGGAATTAACTTTCTTCAACAGCCATCCAAGCTCACTCCAAGCAATCTTCTTTGCATTTGAACCTTGCTTTACCGATCAAGCCTGCATCGCATTACCTGCTGCGACGTTTTCCCTCCTGGCAGCGGCGGCGTAGACGTCTCCTTCCGTAGCTAAATGAAGACATCCTGCTTACTTATTGTATATTGCCATTGCCCTTTCTCAAACAACCCCCAACCCCCAACTCCCAACTCCCAACCCTCAACATCCAACATCCAACATCCAACATCTAACCACATAATACACCACACACTACACTGTACTTACTTACCACCTACTATCTACACCTTGCTGCCGCGCAAGAAAAGTTAAAATTGAGCTGAGCCCTGGCAACTATTTCATTATGGGAGGGGCCGAAATGCACTCCAGACTTTTTCATTCAGAACCAAAGCACCGTGCCCCAATTCTGCACAGATTCTGCGTTCTGCACATTTCCGGGAGCGAGATGTACGGAGTGAGTAAAGTGATGAAAAAGTCCTATCGGAAATTTTATGCTGATGCTCATGCTCATGCTGGTGCTCATGCTCATCATGCTTATACTTCACAAATGGCTCATGCTTCATGCTCATCCAATTGTCCGACTTGTGTCCTGTGCGGTGGCCGGGCTTGATTCTTTCAAGCTTGATCGCTGTGATGGAAGGGAAAGGGTTCGGTAGGTTACTGCGATGCACTCTACAAGCTTGTTCCGCCTGCACGACGGGATCTCCTGCTTTTGCATATCGTTTCTCTTTGATCCCGTCCCCCTTTTTTTATTACTACGGTTTATCCTTGGAGGCAGAATAGCTGGAGCTTTCAAGCTTGCTTGGAAGTTGGAGCTTGAGCTTGGATCAAAAAATCTCTCGTGGATATGAAGGCAACACCAGTCACCAGCAGTGCACAACAACACCCCATCGAGGACCACCACACAGTGGCACATATGCACAGATGGGAGATCAATGGTATTGCCGGCATCGCATGGCATGGCATTGACAAATACTACCCAGGTAGGAAGATTGAAATTATGTAACGTAACCCCGTGACCTTTTTAGTATTAGTATCTGATGAGACCCAGCATTGATACTCTATGTACCCATAATCCGTACAATACTAATTTTATCTACCTACCTACCTAGTAGTATCTACTCTAAGTTCCAACCTCCGTATCGTATCTACCGAGCACGTACACGAGCCGCTGAACCAGTTCCAACCGCCGTCTTCTTTGCATAAAATATGAGAATCTTCCGTTCCTTATCACGACATTGCCAGATCTGCCACCAGCGCGATCGCATATCTAGCTTCGAACGCCTCATGAGCACTACATTCTACTTTTATGATCCACTAGTTCTCGGACTTTTTCAAGCCTCTTCATCATATTCTATTCTCCTACAAGTCCTTGATCATACAGTATCTGAGTGTCATTATTCCTATTGAGCTCTTTGATACTGTCTAAACTACACGGTGGTATACTCCGTTAACAATGTTCCGTCTTCCCTATACATATCTCGTAGATAATGCAATGCGTCTATTGGTTCCATATGCGTTAATCACCTAGCCCTTCATGCTTGCTCACTCATCCCTAACGAGAATGTCCGATAATTCACGGACTGATCGGAGCGAGCCTTGGATTTGGTTGGGATCACCAAAATAGCTAGCTTCAGCTTGACCTTAGCTGTAATGATATCTAGTGCGTTACGCCACGGGAATTCGTTTTTACGACTCATGGGATATATTCATCCCCTAGTTTCCTTTAATAGAAGGGAGACCAAGAGATTTAGTGGAAAAGGAAGTACGGGGAGAATTTCGATATCAGCCTCGGCTCCCGGACAACATTTTCGTAACGATTGCGGCTTGCACGAAGTAGCATCCTTCTTTCAAAGCGGCTTAAACATCATAGTATATCCTCAAGGTTCTTAAGGTTCTCAACCGGGTAGACGGTGGGGCGTTTCAATTGTCAATAGATGAAGAGGGGAAAAGAGGAGTTGCATCCCTAATGCGATAACAAGGTGGTAATTATTGATTATTGAGGTGATGGATAGTCTCATACTTGGAGAGTGATATTGATTAATTATCAATGTAGTAACTCAACGACAATCTATGAAACCACCAACCGCAAATTAATCCTCTCCTTGAAAAGAAGATTAACCAAACGGATTTGTTGAGGCATTATGGAAGTCTAGATGAAGGGAGCCGTTTTATCAAGCCAGTAAAGTATTTGACAACAAGTATGTTGAGGTTTAAAGCAGCGTCAATTGTAACTTTCCTCCTGCCACTTTTGCAACATCCACATATCACGCCTTCGGCTCTTTTTCCCGCCACTTTACCACCACCAGCTTTTTTTCTCTATCCTGAATTAGATGTATCAATTACTGTTGTCAACTTGTTGAGAGGGAAGGTCTCGACGCCAAGGATCTTGGGAACAGCCGTAAGTTACTCTATCTGTGAACTCTATAAACCGGGTTGTAACCCGTCCACCAGTACCGAGTAACGTAGTCGTTCGAATCATTTACTAATTTCACATAGACAACAACATGATGGTATGATCATACTCTATCTATTCTTCAACGATACCGACAGGCTACATTAAATTGACGGCGATATTACCTATTTATTAACCTGTCTCTGCAAGGATGGGGATGCCATCCGGTTTCCCCATTAGTAATGTAACACAGCGTGCACCCAAATGGGCAATTCAATGTCCTTGATCTTGTCATCTTCCAAGACTCAAGAGCAAGGTTTCATGGTCAACAACAAGGTTGGTGAATTACAACTGAAGCCGGAACAATGGCCGAATTAAACGGTCATCGGTGTCATTCAAAAACGAGTGGTCTTTGCGATAATGAAGATGCTGCCCCGTTCCATCCTTACTAGTATACATATGCTACAATGACAGGCTTCAGAGCAAGCATGTTGAACGCAGGGTTCCTTCCGATGTGAAAGGGAACTCCCTTCTTCTTTGCTTCTCCCGTGAGAAGTTGCGCTTGGTCACAATGAACGTAGCAATTGGAAGAGGCTCAAGCTGCCATGCCAGTGTATGCATTGGAATATTCTTTCCCCAACAGATAATCCGAAAGATGGGTGATGGTAAAGCTGCATGCTTCAAACAAAATCATACATACATAACTACATTGATTCGCATTAGCAATGGAACCTCTGGCACGGCTTACTTCCAGATTGCATTTTGTTTGCTTACAAGTTACAACCAACAATCCATGTACCGACATGCGCGAGTCAGGGTTGCAGGTGAGATTCTAGATCCCTTTCATATTAATTGTCTATCCAAAATTGAATGCATTCCATCTCCAGACAACAGACATCATGATGAAAATGTTATCATTTTAATATCGGGAACGAATCGGCAACCCACGCGCTGATTTGAATCGAAGCCCCAAGGAAACATACTGTTGGATGAATATTCAAAGGGTGGGGATGCTGTCTCAAAGCTCAAGATGACACCTAGGGTTTTCGAGCTCGTGAGTCGTGACCCAGGAACCTCGTCACACTTCATCTCGATAATACAATCGTGGACGAAGGAGACTGGTGGAACGAGCACCTTGTCAGTCTCGAAGTTAGCCATGCTTCCTCCCAGCCAACATTTTCATCTTGTCAATCCGCCTCGAATTTCGAAGGGTCATCGGAGAGATGCGAAATCAATTTTGTATCACATTTTCACACGGTGAGAAGGAAATGGTGAGATCTCGAAGTTGGGAGGCCAGCCAGTCAGTCAGCCAGCCAGCCTTCCGCGACCCCGACGCAAGGAACGGTGTCGCGAAAATAGTGCACAGCATATGATACCGTTACTAGAACTTTTTGCATCTATAGTCATGGGTTTTTACTCATAATGGGTTTCATTCATCAATTGTTTGGAGAAACTCATCATGTGCTTTCGACTCTTTGAGACGAGACCAAACGAAGCTTCCCAGCTCACTTGCGTCATCACGCATACATGCGTATCGATATCTAGATCTTGATTCTTAAGGTTTGATTAATTACTGACAGCTTGATCTTTTTTGGGCACTTCTTGCGTAAAATGATGTCGATCTATTTATCTCTGAAGATTTATCTTCATGTACTCTGTATGTATGTACATATCGCAAATCCATGAACCCGCCGATTTGCGGAGGCAGATGATGGAGATCTTTTCATTTCTGTAAGAGCAGTTCTACAACAGTCGGTTACGTCTGCTGGTTAATGGAACAATGCGGCTCTCCGAGACAGCTATTGTATGCCATGCTATGATGTGATTTTATGTTGTACAATGAACTGGAAATTGTATGCTGATGGGGAGGAAGAAAATAGTATGAGAAGAGGAGCAGGGCTCCAAATTGCACCTTCAAAAATTACTCAATTGGGATGGATCATTCGGTCCGCATGTGAAAACTCAATGGCGCCAAACCGATATGAATCCGAAAGATCAATTTCTGGATTCTGGATTCTGGATTCTGGATTCCGATCCATACTGGTATCAGTGTAAAACTCACGAGTCACGTTGTCTTACACCTTCAATTCTTTGTATAGACTATCCAGAATCCATTGGCAATACGTGACCCACGTATACCCATGAACTTCTTTTCACCGCCTCTCGCGAACACGATCCCAGCCATCTTGCTCCGCATCCAATTGGCTCCGTTTTACCTTTTTTTCTTCCCCCAGTCTCCGTGCAGCAGCCTGTGAGCAGCCGCTGCGCATGCAGAATGCAAGTGTTATGAAGGCAAGGGCCACCAGAAAATTTCGGCATCAGACCCTGCAGAGTTTTTGTGCGCAGTATGCTAGTATGGCTATCCTTGTTAGATGAGATGAACGGAGGAAGGAGGGGAAACTTAATACTGCTCGTTGGATGCTTATCGCGACGGGCGTCATCGAGCAATATCTGGTATGTCTCTGTTTGTGAGTCCTTCTTCGTGATTTAATTAGTTCACGACTTCGAATCATTTCCAATCTTCGCCCGTGAACACAAAAGCCCAGTAAACAAGGAACAATTTCTCTTACCCCATCACGTAAAACTGAGAAAAATCCTTATTCATAGTACATACGTACCTACCTTATCCTCTCCTCCCACAACCACACTCCATAAGGCTAGTCCCCTTTTTCACTTTTCTGCACACGCGGAAAACGGTCCGTCTTACACCATTTCCAGCATCCATGTCCTGTGTAGTTCTTGGCCTGCTTGTCTCCAATCAATTCATCCTACACTATTATGGTCTGTATGTAACGAGAAACGCACAACATCGAGAAGCAGCAAGCCCAAAGGTGTGCTAACGCAAGCCCCATGGTGAAAATCCCGAAGCGAGGCTTTCCCAAAGCGTGTCACCGAGTAGGAAGTACTGCTGCTTTGGGACTGGTGCGGGATTATTGTGGTTTGGGGGGAGGGCTTTGTGTGTTTTTTTTTTCTGTCTGGAGGAAATAAGAAAAGACTAGGGTCGATCATGGATGGAAGGCGAGAAGAGCGAAAAAGGCTCGGTCTACGACGTGGTGGATGGTGATTGGGGTAACGTTGTTCAAAGCGAGGACGAGAGCGAGTTATTTTTCATACTCCGTAGCCTGAGAGCCTATCCGCGAGTCTAGAGGGGAGGAAAGGTTTGTTCTAATTGTTGTGATCGACACTCGTTGAGGGGGTTTTGGGATGTTGTTCATATTCATATGATAATGAGAAACGATGTGATCTGGGAGAGTAAGTAAAGTGGGATGGCACGATATGAGTAATGAAATGTGAGTCTCGAAAAGAGGGGAAGCCACTTGATTTGAGCATTTCGGGAGTCTAAATGAAGTTCGAGATTTTCTCAATGTTTGGATCTGGATTCTGGAGATGCATGTTTACAGTTTACTGTACTGTACAGTTGTTGTGCATGCATACGGAGTAGGTACTGGATCGTGCAAAAAAGCTTAGACTCTCACGACGGAGTATGTATATACATACGTACGATATTGACATTTGCCCGCCGAAACTATAATGTCGATGCGGTAGAGATCAACAGCCTAGCTTGATGATGGGACTACGCACTACACTACGCTGCTGCACCGCGCTGAGCGTATAAATTCTTGGCGAGAATGGGAATCATAGGACAAAGCTTGAACCCTAGACGCCAGAATTCATCCCTGGGGGGAGGCGAGGAATTCCTCATTGTGTATGGTTGGTTCATGGTTGAGTACTGAATAAAAAAGTCATTAATAGCTACAGTATGATAAGAATCCACATCCAACATTTGATCATTCAACGAACTATACTATCGCCAGTTATTATTGATCTAGTGGAGTGGAAAACCCATAAAGAGAATTGATTAATTTATTCTTTTTGTTTTCAGAAGCAAAAGAGTGCTAACGTTAGCGGGGGACGGAGAAATGGCCGTTTAATTTTTCTTTTCTTTCCTCTTGTGTTGGCGATCAGAATGAGGTGGATGGCGTCTCTTAGCGTCTTCTACACCGCCTTTTTGTGGTTGAGAACCTAGAGAGGGCGAATGAGGGGTTCTCGCTCTAGCGACAACGAACCTTGGAAAAACGACTTTTTTTTTTCTCTCATTGTGCTATCGTTATCGATGACTGATGGATTTTCTCTGGGGCATCCAATTGATGGCTTTGAATTCGGAATACGACTGGCTCGAATTTTTTTGTCCGGATCATAAGCATTAAACATGGCGACTTGGAAACTTGGAAGGGCCATTATTTTCTTATCTCACTACTTTAGTCCAACAACCAGAGATGGTTCTAGTACGGTAATAACGAGACAGCCAAATCTTACGGGAATTGGGAGGGGACGTTTTGGCTATCGAAGCACCACGCTTGATTGTATGTCAGCTTCTAGATACCCATGAAACTAAAGTCTCATGGGGTTATAGACCGAGAGAAAGAGATCTGAAATTTTATACAGAAAGTTATGAAAGTACACAGATTGAGCTCGAGAATCGGTTGCAAATAGAAGAAAAAGACAAGCCCCAACGCTGCTGACACACAGTCGATCAAAATAATCAAAATCAAATAACTATAGCCTTAATATGGTATCAATATATTGTAATTCCCCAAGACCCAGTACGTGCTTATCCTCGCAGGGTAATACCCTTCTGACCCCAACAAAACCATTCGGAGATACTCCATATGTAAGTACCAAGAACTTCACATGGGAAGGACGTTGAAGGGAGTGGTACTTGCATCTTACAGTGGTGAAAGGAAAGATATTGTCCGCGAAAACGGGAGTATCCGTTCCCATGTCATGATCCTAAAACCTCAAACCAACCCGCGCCATACATACATACATACATACATACCTACATACATCAGTCCAGACTCGCCATGTCAATCCGTAAATGTTCTCGTGACCCTCACATGGTTGGAAAGATGTGCACATTTTGACCTCTCGGACTCAACCCCCAATTTGGTACAACCCTCGTGTCCCAAAAGATGCAATTCTAGGATTGATGTATATTGCTCGCGCATAATTTTTTAAATGAACTGAGTGTTCTGTATAACCCCAATAGCGGCTCATCCAGAACATGATTACACTATCAACCGGTAGAAAAAGAGTCAACAGGGTGTTGATGATAGAGGTGATGTTTGCTAATGACCGGAAAACGGCTGTTAAATTCAAAGATGGAGGTACAAAACATGTATGTAAATAAAGAGCAGACGCGGCACGCAGGATAGAAAAGGCATGTGAGGAAGCGACTACGCACGCCACTCACTTGATTGCATTGAATGGAAATAGGAACTTGCAGGAATGGGAAATGCACGATTGGATACTTTTCGTATTTCGGCTTTTTCTGAAGGACGCACCAGCCATCCATCTGAGGAGTGAATAAAAAGACGCACGACATAGTTGCAGCTTTCAAATTACATGGAGAGTACAGTAGGCACTGTACTGTAACGATCGTGCATCAAGCCGGCTGCTGTTCTGCGAGGCGAGGCGAGGCGAGGCGAACGGGTACTTGCTGCTTGCATATCCTATGCTATGCCCTCCTTATCCCAGTGCCTCCTTCATGTAACCAAGATATGTTTTTCATGAAAAGATTTGGAAGGGCGAAGGAAGTGGCAAAGTAAGAACCAAATGAGAGAGACGTCAAAGTTGAATTCAATTTAGTAACGGATTGGCAATTCCATTTGAAGGAATTTCGGAAGCTCTTTTGCCTTGCTCTACCAAGGATTTCGAGATGAAGAGGGGGAGAATCCAGAGGTATCGGATGATATTGAAATTTTGAAGGAATCATTGGATTGAAATGCATAATCGGGGATGTTTCTTCCTAAGGTATGACTGATTCTCGCTCAACCTTGAATTTTGATGGACATCATACACATCAACTAATAATTTTTTATTCATTTTTCAAAACATGATGTGATCACCCATCAATCATCCCGTATCCCTTTCGAAACTTCGAAGTTACTGTAGTCTTTGAATGGAGATATCGGAGAATAAGATTTCCTTGTGCGAATTTGGTGAAACAGACAGAGTACATGGCTTTTACTTGAAGTGATGAACTGGTTTCGGAAGAGGGAGGTTGTTGTCTCGAGACTGGATTGGGGGCTAATTCATTCCTGGATTCTAGAAATCTAGTCAGTCTATCGATGGGATGGTTCACGTGATCAGGCGTTTTGGGCGCGCCTTCTGTAACTGTATCAACGCATTCGCGCTTGTTAATGTTTTCCTCTACATCCCGCGTTTGGAAGTCAAAATCGACGACGAATGAACATGTGGATTGCATGAACTGTACAGTTGAAATGCCTCGATTATGATATGCCACTGATTAACCGTATGAGTTCAGATATTCCATACGACAACAAGTAAAGTGCGATATTTCTTTGTTTGAGTAGATTATTATGATCCCTGAATCTCTTCGACTCGCAAACTCAACTGGAAGGATACACGCAAGCAGGTATAGGCTCGAGGATAGCCTGATCTACAATCTTTTACGAGAAAACAAGCATGGCACCCCCAGAACCGCAAATACCTCTGGCGGCAAAACCAGTATTTGGTGCCCATTTCGATGCGTGGAATTCGTCAGCGACAGGGCATCAACGGGCAGAAAACAAGATAGGTGGCTCTACAGGATGGAGAGAATCTCGAGCATCGAAGCTAGGCCACCAGTTCAAGTCTGGTGGTACAGGTGGCAAAAGGATCTCCGACAAAGTTGGGGCAGGATCTGAAGACTGGGATGAGAAAGCGAACGCCTTGATTCCAAAAGAAGTCAAGGCAAGGGCAAGACGAAGTGTCAGCGACATGTTAGTGGGGAAGCCAGGCTGTATGTTTTGTTGTCCCTTTCAAATTCCCTGTCCGATGCTACCAAATATACTTTATTGATGCTTGTCTGTCCTATTTAGTGCCGATGAGCGCCGAGGAACGACTGATGGAGATGCGGAAACTCGAAGATGAAATGAAAGTGGAAGAGGACGATCTAGCCCGAAAGTCTAGAGGCATCTTTGATGAGCTGGTCATCTACATAAACGGTAGTACATATCCAATGGTCTCGGACCACAAGCTCAAGCAGTTGCTGGCAGAGAATGGAGCACGAATGTCGATGCATCTGGGCAGGCGACAAGTCACCCACATTATCTTGGGCAAACCTTCTGGTGTAGGAAGTGGAGCTGGAGGTGGTTTAGCTGGGGGAAAGTTGGAGAAAGAGATACGAAGGATTGGTGGTTGTGGAGTTAAATATGTCGGTGTAGAATGGTATGGGCCTTCCGGTATCCCCTGTTTGCATGTTCATACTAATGTTTCTGGCAAATACAGGGTACTGGAAAGTATTAAGGCAGGCAAGAGACTTTCCGAGACGCGGTTCTCGAATCTGAATGTAGCTCCGAAAGGCCAGCGGAGCGTTTATGGCATGTTCAAGAATACGGCCAATGCCGACGTAGATTAACAATTGACGCTAAGGACACCGAGTGGGCAAGCGAATTGTTCATGCTTCCCAATTCTCTTTGGCTCAAGTCTAATTTTCGAGTCTTGAGAGGTATGTCATTGAGGTCAATGCATATGGTATGTATGATGTATCTATATATATATGGCATGGATGCCATATTCGGCTGTTTCCTTGCTTCTACGGCGTTGTGTCAGGAATCGAGGTGCATTCTGGGTGGCTGCATAGCATCTGCGATGGGAATAGGAAATATCATTTGGGAGGTTTAGAGGCGTTTGGTGAGATTCTGGAAAAGGCTGTACCATGACATAATTTGATATCATAGTAATTAAGAAACATCAATCACATCCACCGTCATCATGCTGTCTTGTCATGCATGTTTGAGTGATGTACTTTCAAAGAACGACAAGAACATACTTAACGATGACACTTTTCTCATGACCCTCATGAAAGCATTCAATTTCTTTGGAGTGGAGTATCTGGATCTTTTCAGATCTAAGAGTGTCTCCCACTGAGAGAGCAACACTCGAATGTCGAGAACGAAGGCGGTGACGATGGTTTCTTGAATCTATGGCCTAGTATCATCCATTCGTGACCAAAATTGATATATCTAAATGTATTCATGACACAATCGTCCACCTATTGAAATCATTCAATAGATGTGTTCCGGCAACATATAAGGTTTGAAGTTATTGACAATATTGACTGTCCATTCTGAAAGTAGAAATGGTAGATTCAATTGTCCCAAATATCGGAACGGCGAATCGTTTACCGATGCACGTTGCCCCGTAAACAGAAAAATCCACCATTCACAACACATCATACGAAAAGGTTTATCCACCACCGCACAATATCTCAAACATTATATGATCACTGATTCAGAAGATACACTATTACAATCACGAACAAAGAGAGTTAGCAAATGGCGGAGCCCCTTTCGGATTTATCCAGCGCAAATATCAATACTGGAAGCCCCTCAGTTGTTAGCAATACAAACTACACCATGTCTGAAGATACCAGCTTTACGGAAAACACACCCATGAGCGGGAGCGTGGGGAGTCCACCAAGTTCGCCCTTCGTCGATGCGACACATGATGCGACAGATCCGAGCAAGGAGAATATCTCTCCTATCAAGCAACAAATGTTGGCGTCAAGGAAATCAATTGATGGAGAACACATGTCACCCCTGAAGCTGTTGAAGAGCCAGACTTCACCCACCAAATCATCAGATGGCACACGCAGTCCGAGAAAGATGTCGACACCCATGAGATTTCCTGTGAAGCCTACGACTGCTACACCTTCGCCTTTGAAATCGCCTGACCCGCCGGTCGTCGTTGAGCATGAAATGGACCTGGATGACCCAATACTAAGGGATAATGAAGGACTTACGAAAGCGATCGAGATATTGGAAGAAGACGATGATGATAATGATAACGAAGAGGGGCAAACGATGAACGAAACTTTTGCATATATAGGTACTGGTAGCGCTACTAGCGCTTCAGAGAAAGATGCGCACAATTTGATGGACGATACAATGGTCAGCACATTCAGCGAATTTTCCGCTATGCCAGATATGACAACGTTTTCGAGACTGGGACATACCAGCCCGAACTTCCCATCAATGGGTGCACCAACACCAAGACAAAATCATCGATTCAGTACCCCAGCTACGGCACGCAGGCAAGTGAATACATCTGAGGATTTTTCGCCAGCACCATACGGGCATAGAAATGTTAAAAGTAAAGATGATGAGAATACTACTAACCTTCTTGACTTTACCGCACAAATGAATGGGTTCAACGGCCGCGGTCCCTCACCTTCAAGGAATAGGATGTCAATGTCACCTTCGAAAACTTCGGCACCTGAACATTGGTATGGGCCAAGTGCTGCCGCGACACCTAAATCAAACCGTATGAGCAACTTACTCGATTTCGATATTCCTCCTGCCCCTACACCTAGAAGTTTACCTTCTATTACACCTAGAGAAATTGAGAGATTGAAATCAGACTTCTTATCGGAGATTAGTAACTTGAAAGCTACGTTGAGTGGCAAGGAAGCTGAATTGCAGTTCATGAAAACGGCCGTTGGAGACGCTGAAAAGAGAGTTGGAGAGAGTCAGGAACAATTACGAGAAGAACGAAATATACAAGATCAACTGGCTGCCGAAAAAGAGGAGTGGGAGAAGAGAGGTCGGGAAATGGAAGCTGTGTTGAGGAACGTCAGAGAAGAAATGGTTCAAACAGAGCAAGAACGTGAGGAGTTGGATGGTCGATTGGAGGAAAGTGAGAGAAGAAGAGAAATGGCGGAGATCATGGCTCAAGAGGCGCAGAGGAATTTAGCGGCTATGCGTGCTGGAAAAACTACACCTGGAGCCACTTCACCCCCTGTCGAAACGCCCTTGAAATCTCCAACAGAATGCCACTGCGGAGGTCGAACTGTCGAACTTGCGGTCGAGAAGGTATCCAGAGAGTTACATTCCCTTTACAAGGAGAAGCACGAAACTAAAGTCCAAGCTCTCAAGAAAAGTTATGAACGTCGTTGGGATAAGAAGGTTAAAGAATTGGAAGCTACTGTTGAGGATCTCACCAAGGAGAACGAAGAATTGAGGTTGGGCGGCAATACCACGACACCCAAAGCGGAACCTTTGGCGGAGGATATCGAACAACAAGCAGCACGCGATGCTAGAACCAAGGAATTGGAGGCAGAACTCGAGGGCTTGGGCATAGAAATTAAGAGTGTCAGGGAAGACAACGATGATCTCCGACACATGCTTGAAGAGGAAAGAGCCGAAAAGACTAAGCTGGTTCAGGCTGTTGATGAAATGATTCCAATGATCGCTATGTTCGACGATATGGTTGCGAAAAACCTTGAGGAGGAAAAGAAGGCTGTTCCAGCTCGAGCATCTCCAATCCCAGAGACACCCGCCTCGCAAAAGAAACAACATGTTTTCGAAAGCCAAATGAAGAGTCCTACTTTAGCGAGAACAAGTAGTGTCACTCGACCAAGTGGGTTGAGAGCGCCAAGTGCGGCTGGAGGAAGTAGAATCGGCAGAGGTGGAATTGGGATGGGAATGGGAATGGGAATTGGAGGTGCGGCAGGAAGGGAGAGAAAAGGAAGTCATGGGAGTGTGGCTAGTCAAGGAAGTAGACCAGGAAGTGGACTTTCGGGCAGAACTAGTAGCAATTTATTGAGTAGTATCGATAAAATGGGAGGGGGAGGGTATGGTCGTTAATTCTATATCATGAAGAGATTGATGTGGAGGGAATGGGTAGTGGGCTCTTGGGGCTAGTTTGGTTTGGTGCTTGTATATTCTTCGTCTATTCTTCGTCTTGGTGAAAATTCTGTGATGGATTATTGTGGTTAGGTTGGAATACTTCAGGGGAAAGAAGCGAAGGGGGTGATGGATTGGTAAAGATACGAAATAATGATTGGGTGGCGTGCTATGGGTATGGATATGGACGAATGGATGGTAGTTGCATACCAATGAAAGCTCGACCGCTTGTCATATCTGGTTTATTTTATAGTGGCGGCTGGTTGGCGCCTGGGCGTTGGCGGCATTTGCACCGCGCTAGGGGAGGCTAGTTTCATTAATAAATTGGTTTATATCTGTACTTTTTCTCAATATTGTGATGAGGTGCTATAATGCGATTCGATGAATATTGATAAGGTAGGATGAGATGAAGAGTTGGGCATTCCCGAAGCTGTCCTCATATTAACGTTTTCATTAATAATTCGTGAGTTGAATATAAGCACGCTGTGTGTGTGAGCTAGAGAGTAAAAATTAACTTTTTGCAAGTTCAGGTTTAGTGGTGAGATCAGAAACAGAGGAGAGGCTAAAGCTCATCCTTGGGTTGTGCAGTGGATTTGTGTATTGAATTACTTTTTCGAGGAGCAGAAAGGTATACAGACCATTGAATTCGTATTGTGAATATATCGACTGGGTGGTGAGGTTATTGGCAGAGCAAGATGGGAAGAGCGGTGGTTTCAATGGTTTATATACTGGAAAAGATGATAAGATCATACATAGGTGGAATGATTTGTGATGACATGAAATATTGTCAGTCATTAAGATGCAGTATTCATATTTCTATTCTCCCATTTTGCCAATATGAATTAATTTCAAGGTTATGCTATATTTTCCTCTTCGAGTTCCAAGCTCATCTCACCTTGATATAGAAGCTGCAATGCATAAGAAATTCAGAGGTTGGAACCTACAGGCGTTCTTTATTACTAGCTCTCTTAGTGTTGCGATAGTTCCCTTTTTTTTCGCCTTCGATGTCGCTGTAACTAGGGAGATGGGAATAGAGGATTGAGAGGAGTGAGTTGGTTAAAATCATATACGCTGTGGTTATCGTTCTAAGGATCTAGTAAGGTAGTGGAACATGCCAGTGTAGGTGATCCACAAATTTGAAATCCTGAATGGATGGTATGGAAGTATATCTAATCAGCTTGAAGAGGAAGTGTATAGGAACCGATTCGCATGGCATATCATCAAATTAGTTTTCTATGAGGTTGGAAATCTGTGATGAAGGGGTTGGTGTAGAAAGTTATTGGTGTTTGTATGGATAGCTCGAATGAAGGCTATAGTTTTTGCTGTTATTTCTTCTCAGTTCACGCTTTCGTTATTGTTTTTGATTATCATGATTTGTGTATTCAAGCCCTCTTTTACAGTTCAGATACCAGGATTACAATTCTTTACCCCCAGGTCGCATTGCGAAGTCGGAATGTTGCTTGTAGATCTACCTTCACAATCATTCACAACAAACAAATGATTGAATTTATCTCATTAGTTAATTGCTTGAGTCCACTCTGGTACGGGACCTAGAATGTTTGTAGATGTCTCATGCTAAAGGAATCTGGGGACGTGAAGCTAAACTATCAGACACAGGAAAGTCTTGTGACATTGTATTTAGCATTGCTATGAGATATTGAATTACATTAGGGAATGACAATCGAAAAGGTCGATCTGGTGTATGTCAAGGGATTCACGGGCCGATACGCATCCGAATGCGGTGAGAATAGAGGTTCTGGTACCTGAACTAACTAACTATTAGCACGGAAGCGAACTAGAAGGCAGATCCAGGAAAACGCGGGAACTAGAGTAGACTGGAATTAGCAGAAAGACTAGGGGACTCTCAAAAGCGGTGTACATATGGTGGGGGTGGGCAAAGCTAACAAGATAGACGATGGAGTAAAAGGGGGTCATGATAGCCGAGTGACAGGTGGGGGAAAAATGTTGGTACTGGGATTGAGAGCATCATCATTTGATGAAGAATTTTATGATTAGTACTAGCTGTTTTACATAATCTAAAAGAGAAATTTGAATCTTATTCTACCACTTGAATTCCAAAATTTGTTCCGTAGGGCTGCTGCCATGTCGACAGTCGTGACCACATAATGTATTATACGGTACTTGATTCTCCGGTGAATTGTGTAAAACAGCTCAAGCTTAACCGATTTACTAATGAATTTCAGACAAGAGATTAGTACCAGGAGTATCAATCATCTCAAAGATCCAGATGAAGCGAATAGGATGTGTATGGTTTAGGTTTCCAATTTAATTGCGAAATTACAATAGCTTGTAGGACGTGAATACGACTATAATTCTATAGGATATGAGTTCAGAACCGCATGTAAGGTCGCGTTCGCGTACAAATTGGTTGATTTTAGGCACAAGCAGCAGTCTACCACAACATCGTCTATATTCTCCCTGAGGCAAGGTGTGAGTAGTGCGCGCAAACTCGCAGGTTGTAAAACGTAGATATATTCGGACCAGAATATTACGTTCCTCCCACCGCTAATCCTTGAAGGTGGTTGGTTGGTTGAGGCAGCTCATAGCTTTAGGGCTGATTCTAGTCGATATTCGGCTGCAATTGAGCAAAATTGATGGGTGAGATGATTGGAAAGAGACTGCCTGATGATATTGTTTGGAAGTTAACTTCGTAGCTGTCAATTTGGGTGATAGGGTAATGGTATTGTCAGGTTCCGAATCATATGAAACATAAATTTTAAGTGATGTGTCGGAGTTGGAAGGATGTTAATATTCCAAAACCTTGAGTTGGCTTTGGTTGAATGATCCTAGAGATGTGGATTTTAGAACTCCCCAACTAAGCCAATTCTGTTCTCTTACAATATTGGGTTCCGTAACTCTACACATCAGGCAAACTCAGATTACTCAATGTGATTTTCTGTGTATATGGCAAAAAATATCAGGGATTCTTTCGAATCTGTAGCGTTTGTGGTAAGTGAGATAAGTTTTTCGTAGCAATTCATTTTGGGCACACGATGGAACTTTCTTGAATAAATTCATTCTCATACCTAGGACAAAGAAACTTATCAACTGATACAAAACAATCATCGAGATATGATTGAACAATAGCATTGATACTCTAATCTGCTGCAGAATAACTACTCATAGATTCTATAAAAGCCAGCTTTTCGACGACTTTTAAGAAATATCCTCATCATTCATTAGATTCATCTGCTCATCACAACATACTACAGCCAATCCACTAACTTCCCCCATAAAATCGTCAACATGTCGCAACTTAGCGTCCCCAAAGACAACGTCCTCAGAGCGAAAACTAGAAACAAGAACAAGCCGAAGTTCAAGAGGAACAAAAACCAGGTACAGAACCAATCACACAGCTTCCCGAGACCCCATACTTAGAGATTTCACCTGGAACCGACGAACCCCAATCCTTCGACCCCTTCGCGGAAGCGGAAGAAGTCGATCTCAAACAAGCCAAGCAGATCCACGTTCGCGCTCAACAAACCCAAGTACGAGCTAAAATCGGTAAAGACGGAAAGAGAAAACCACATTGGGTCACCACCATCCAAGGACTTCCCGAGAAGTTCGAGAAGAAAAAGATCGTTCAACACTTCAAGAAGGCCCTCGCTTGCGCAGGCAATATTGTTGCAGACGAGACTTGGGGTGAGGTGATTCAGTTACAAGGAGATTATAGGGACGTCGTCTTTAAGTTTCTCACTGGAAAGCCTGGGTTGGAGTTGAGTGAGAGTGTTGTTATGGTTCATGGATAGATTGGGAAGATTGTTTACTCGCTGGTCGGGAAACAATAGGTGAGAGGTAGTCCTTTTATTTGTAATCGTTGATCTAAGTACAATAAATTGAAACATTTCCTTTGTTGTTTGTCGAATCTGAATGAATGAATCAATTACCCTTTCTAGTGAAAGGAAAATTTAAGAGGTTTTTACCCACCAAAAAAAAGCTCCTACATGAATGCGATACTATGACTACAAGAAAATCTGTGCTCTCCTTTCTTTGAACTACTGACCTGCCTGCTAAATGTAAACTTGTAAACTTGTGAACTGCGAAATGCTTAATGTCTTCGCTTGGAAGATTGTTCGATCTTTATCGTTCTGGTTCCTTTGTGTATGAGCGATTCGGTCTCAAAAGTCCGCTCTGTACTAATGAACATACTTAGTTGTGTTGCGCTCGCAAGATCTAACTAGAAAGTCTACGAGACAAGTAAATCTCCACGGGGGTGGTCACCAACTCCCTTCTCTTTCAGTGAGATCTCGCATGCCACCTATACCATACTGATTACAGTTTCTTTCATTGAAGACATTGTGATCAGGAAAGGAAAGAATAATGTTGATCATAAACAAGTGCATTCATGCGCAGCTATTTCAGCTAATGATCCCTCACTTCCAGTCTACTTCAAATATTTCTCGGCATCTTCACGGCTTCCACAACAGATATCTCGAGATCACCTGCAGGTATAGAAGGAAATTTAAACATACAAGCTGCTCATTATCATCCCGTTTTGGCTGTAGAAACGTGATAAAACCTAGAAAGATCTGAAAATCAACTAAATATAAAGATAATAGCTCCGAGGATAGTGTTCAGGGAGATGGAAACAAGCATTATAAAAGACCCATGAAACCTTGCCTTGGGCTCGATACTTCATAGACCGCTCCTCAATCTGCTTCGAATAATTCAGAGACGCCTAGACCGCTAAACGGGAACGAGATGCCACGACGAGCAGTTTTGGCGCCGGGTTTTGGATACGAGGTACATATTGTAGTATATGGTCTGCAAATTAGTTGGATTTGTTGGGTCAAGTATGATGTCCACGGGGCCTTTGGGATAACGCGTATCTTTCAACCCAACATTGGTTGTTCTGCTTTAACTTTCCAAACTCGCTTAGAGTTGAGGCAAAGTTGTTGGCTGCTTTATGGTAGCTCTTCTTCCTTTTGAGAATTCTTAAGCTACGCTTCCTAGCATACAAATATCGTTGCTGTGTAATATAAGCATGTAATTTAAACCATGCAGGACTGACACTGTCGTTTGAGCAACATACGATCTTTTTATGGTCATTTTTCTTTTCTGGCGTCTCATCATTCAATCAATCTACGAATGCAAAACCAACTTCCAAACTCTAAAGAACAGACTCAGATACGCTTCAGACTATTTAAGAATCATCAATTTCCCTGTTCTTCATCATCATGGAAGTAGGTTGTATGAAATACCAATCCCATATGCCCGTTGCACATCCCATTTCCACGGTTTATATACACTACCTATGAGAAAATCGCAAAAAATCAAGTGTGTAGACTTGGCTCCAGTTATTTTCCTGTTCTGATTATTGGAATCACGCCCCTTCCTCTATTAGGCTAGACAAAAGTTCTTCGAAATCTCAGTATTCCGGTTTTGCTTTGTATATAAATACCACTCCCTGAGCAAAAGAAGGGGAAAAAATAAAAAATAAGAACGATTGAAAAACCTGATTAGGCACTCCAAGACGCGGTACTCGTGTTATATGGTTGATTTTTTAGTGTCCACAGTGCAGGTTATGCGTTACGGACCGGACTCAATTCCATACTAATTCACAAATGAAAGGAATATATCGGCTGTCATTTTTCATCTCATTGTACCATCAGTTGCTGTTATTACTGTCAACTTTCAAGCAGTCACTATCGCTCCACTTTCCACACTTCATCTGTACTTGGGCTTATAGAATATAGCCCAATCTCGCTCAGCACATGTATTTCGCGGTAGCTCTATCCAGAATATCGCATTCCTATCACTACCCTCTTCTCTTCTTCTTGCTATTCACATACACTTGCACATATCCTCCACCAACGAGCAATTCTTGCCAAAAAAATTCAACGAGAAAACATGATTTTATATACACTTTATCTTTTCCTAGACTGAAAACAAGGTTTAACCGAGCGATATATGTTAACTTCAAATCACATTCCTGTGGGTATAAATACATCCCTCATGTCTGAATCCCAACATCCAAACATAAACTCAAAGGTGGCTTTGCCACTATGTGGATTTCAATAATTCATCCTTTTGCACCATTTCTTGAATTCTCAGTCCTCTATTCACAATTCTCATTATTAAATTCCTTCCCAAGTGTAACCCCTCTTGTATACTCAGACCGAATGTCAAGATTCTTGCTGTCATTTCGACCTACGATAGGATGTAAAGTTTGCTGTTGCTAGCAATTTCTCTCTGCTGAGTTAATCTTACGTATTCTCGTTGCTTATTACCAGGGTTTTTAGGTTCGTAGAACTCAGATTGGCAATCCTCTTTCAGTGCCACGTCTCAACTACATCCTAATCAGCTGGCAAGATGAGAAACCCATTTCCGTCCGTTGTTTGCCTGACTGTTCTCCATTATCCTTTTGTCTTTGGTCGCCGGTGTATGGTTTTATATACCATGATAAATTCCATTACTAGAAGCCCCCTCACCGAGCAATGATTCTGCAAGAGTGAATATCAAAACCCGACTCCCAAAAATCTCACACCTAGCTCATCCATCTCCAATCCCATTCTTAGATATGAAAGCACACTGACCTTACAGAAGAAGATCTCTACAAAAATTTAACCCCAGTATCGACGCTGTCGATGAGGATTTCCTTTTCTGGAGACCGTATACATACTCCAAACTCCCATTCAGCATCAAATTTCACACTAGAGTCCAGTCAAGCCATCGACTTCCCAATCTCCACCGACGACTTACCAATTAGACAAGATAGTGACAATAACAATCGTAGTAATAAGAAAGCGACAGCAAGAAAAAAAGTTGTCATTCCCAACCGAAAAATATCTTTCACCACCCCAGAAAACACACAGATACACACAACTCCCCCATTCACATTTCATTTCCAACCCCATCCCACCATAGATCAACGTAACGAGAGAACTTCCCACATCATACACACCCACCCATCCACCCATCAACGTAGATATATCTCAACAAAACCATCCATTCGATTTTCCTGGATGCGCAAGCTATCTCCAACTATCTTCTTGCACCACAAGCTTATTTTCAAACAATTCACAGCACAGCTTATATACAGTCTCTAACCATAAACCCAACTCCCGAACCTCTTTGGATATATTGTTGTGGTTGAATCTAGACCATTCACCGGTTCATCTCCCTCTTATTCTCCATCCACATGCCTTCAACCCCACCACCTCTCATCTCATCTCCCCTAGAACCCAATCCGCTCCAATCCAATCATCCACCCATTCATCCACCCACCCAACCCCCCCCCCCCCCCTTCCCCTCCTTCCCAAGAACAAGAACCAAAAAACTCCATAGACAGCTACCGAGCTACATCTAACCAGTATAAATCTAATCAATCCCCACCTCATCAATCCCCAGTCCATCAACCTAACCCCTATAACCAATCAACCCAACCCATCCCTTTCAGTCCCCCAATCTCCCATAGATACCCCGGTCAGACAATACTCTAAACGTTTATATTCCATAGGACAGACCATCTAACATATCATATCATATCATATCATATCCCGAAATGCACAGAAACGGGAATTCCTTACATTGCCTACCTTACCTAGGTATGTTATTGAATACTCTTCCTCCCCCCGCAAAAAATAATTCCGAGTATCGCTTATCCCCCCTCTTCTTATCCATATCTTCTACCTTCTCAAGTCCTCCTCCACAAGTTCTCCTCCTCGAATTCCAATTCCAATTCCAGTTCAAATTCCAATCCCAATCCCACTCCCACTACCACGACTACGGAGAACCAAACAACCAAACAACCAAACAATACCATCCACGTATCCACGTAGGAACATCATTACTCCAGCAAACCACAAACCACAAACCACCCCAGATCATTATCGCCATCGCCATCGCCATCGCCATCCTCCTCCTCCTCCTCCTCCTCCTCCCCACCATCCCGAATTCTCAGACTCACTCTCCCTTCATCACATAGCTCCATGCCCATGCCTACAAATCCATACATGGTTCTTACGTGCACAACCAACTCGTCATCAATAGTCAACCAACTCACCCTCAACCCCTCACCCCTCAACAATCAATAATCAACAACAAATACCTCTCCACCTATCAGCTAACCTGGAACTAACTATAACTACCTATACGTCTCACCCCTTCCTTCTCCTATGCTCAATATGATTCACCCTTCATCGTTCATCGTTCATCGTTCATCGTTCATCGTTCATCGTTCATCGTTCATTGCTCATCATCCACATCCACATCCATCCATCCATAATCAAAACATTTCTACAAATACCTTTCCTCTTCTTCATTTCCAAATATATCCATCCACATATACATGGAATATTTTCTTCACACATCCTCATAAATCTTATCCCTTCAACTCATCTATTCATCCACCCATCTAACCCAAGCGAGAGATTGACGAAAGGGACCATGACCGGATATGATTATTTATGTTTATACCCATATCCATTTTCTTCCTCAATTCCCCGCTCCTTCTTTGCTCCCTCCCTCTTTTCTTCTCCCTCTCTCCTCCCTATTTTCCATTTCTGATTTTCATTCAAGATCAGCTCTTCCACCATCCCTTGCATTCCCATCTTTCTCTTCATCTCCTTACACTTATATTATACCTCTCTCCTCCTCCCCCTCCCCCTCCTCTCTCCCCTTCCGCAACTTCAACAAACAAACCTTATTCTACCTCCCGCCCGTAACACTTCGTCTCATAACACCTCACCCCTCAAGTCCTCTAAACCCTCTCATTCATCTGTGATCCTAACCTCTTCCTTACCCTCATCCTTCGTTCCTCACACACTCATCATCCACGTAATTTCACAATCTAGCTAATCAATAGAAAAACAACTACAACCCCATTTCGATCACATCCAAATCCAAAATCAAACCATCAAACATGATATCCTCATACTCACATAAACTACACCAACCATCAACAGATTTTCAATTCCATTGTATTTTCCCTTTCTCAAATAAAAAATGACGAAAACTCCCAGTGGACTATGTACATTTTGTACAGACTCTAGAACCCACCCCACCCCGTTATCATCCGCATATCCATCCATCAATCCATTCATCTGCATTCTATATCAAGCAGCCATGAGATTCTCCAACCCTTCCACCCCTCCAACCACACCATGTCTACCATCTACTTTCTGTACCACATCCTAGTAATCTTCGTATGTCTCATCTTCTTCTGCAATTGGAAGATTCCGTACATAAGTGCCTCACTAGTTGGCGGACAACCTGGCACATAAATATCGACCGGAACAATACGATCACAACCTCTTGTAACACTATAGCTATAATGATAATACCCTCCACCATTCGCACAACTTCCCATACTAATCACCCATCTTGGATCTGGCATTTGATCATAAACTTGACGAAGAGCAGGAGCCATCTTGTTGGTCAATGTACCAGCCACAATCATAACATCGGATTGACGAGGAGAAGCACGGAAAATGATACCGAGACGATCTTGATCGTAACGTGGGGTTGAGAGATGCATCATTTCGACGGCGCAGCAGGCAAGTCCGAAGGTCATGGGCCAGAGAGATCCTTGTCGTGCCCAATTGGCAATTTGATCAAGTGTAGTTCTGTTTGCGTAGTGTTAGCTTTTGTTCTCACATTCCCTTTTATGATCGCCACTCGAGCGGAAAGGTCCCGAAACACAACAAAGGTCCCAAGTAAAGCGAACACTCCAAACGGACTTCTCTCCCGCTCTTCCCATGCCGTTGCTCTCAATCACACTACTTCCCCTGCAATCCGCCCAGCTCCCCTCATACACCCATCAACTGACCCTCAGATATAAAATCAAACTCACAAAGCATATTGCATAACACCCTTCTTTCCCTCTTGACTGGGAAGAAGCACTTCTCTCCTCTCCTTTCCAGTAACACTCAGTTTGAGATTTCCTCTATCCGCTGGATGTCTAGTTTCCATTGCCTGAACTTGTGCTTGAGCTGGCTTGTTTGCGCTGTTGGAGATTGCTGCTAGGGATCGATAAGGGAGGAGGGATGAGGTGGGCTTGGCTGTTCATAGTGTTAGCCTTGGGTATATAGTATAGTCGATGCCATGAGCAGTATAGAAATTCATGATTGACTTCGCCATCAGTGTATTGGCAGTGAGGAGGCAGAGAAGGGTATAGAACAAAACAAACCTCTCAAAACCATTGCCCCCGCAGATCGTGTAGTCTTGAACATTTTGCTCGTCTTGCCTGTCTCGTTCGTCTTATTCAATCTTATTAAATCTCCCTCCTTTCAATTACTTCAATTGAGAATAACACAAGGAAAGGAAAAATAGAGGGGAGAGGTCGATGTCGGGAATCCCGTAGCGTTCTAAGGTTACCAGCAAGTCGTCGATGTCACTAAGATTCAAATTATTGATCTCGGTTGATTAATTCAAAACTGGTGATTGGTCAAGATCACGTGGCTGATTTATGCTATCCTTATGCTTGCCGCCACCACCAAATAAATCTTTGAGACGAGAGTTTCAAGATATTGTAGATCGACAAACGTGATTTTAGCATCCAGATTGTAAGAATTAGATATTAGATATACTCATTTAAATCCACAGAAACAATTCATACGAAAAACAAAACCTCAGTCTAGCTTGCAAATCAACGTTATCATCTTGAGTTTTTGTCTATCCAAAAGTCCAAACCATTGCAATTCCACCATCATTCTCCATTAAACCATTTCCTTTTCCATTAACTCTACAACATAATGATAAAAATACAAAGTGAGTAAAAGCAAACACAAAGACTAAGCTTCGGACCATACTTCTTCTGGCCGAACATACCTAGGTGGTAGACATATAACAATCTCCCTCGCGCTTCCCGGACATCATACCTAGGTATGCATTTCAGACTATTCGCCCCAACACACCAACAGCCGTGCCATTCATTCTGCTTGAAAAAGCTCGCCCTAAGCTCCGACAATGATATCACCACGACCTCTAGTATTTGCTCGGACTTCAATACTTGAATCGCTTCCCGACTATTCCACACAACTTGCCGAATACCTATGTATGTAGCACAACAACTCAACAGAGGATATACTACAAGGTAGAAAATCGAACACACAAAACAAAATGAAAGACTTTTCAATTAAAGTCCTGTATACCCTGCGTCATCCCAAAAGCCAATCCATATTTATTGACCAGACTTCTTAGCATTTTCCGCCATAGCCGCATCAATTTGTGCATCGACTTGTTCTTCATCAACTTCATTTTCATCAGATTTGGAATTTTCCTTTTCGCTTCTACCACGTGGTGAAAGTCTCTCATCACTTTCCTCTTCACTGCTTTCACTTCCTTGTAGACTATCACGATTGGTTTGACGACTTCGAGTCATCTAGAAGATAAAGTTAGCATAAGTAGATATTGAGAATCGACCAACATACCCATGATCGTACACCCCCAATGAGACCTAAACTATATCCTGTTGCAAAATCACTACCTGGACCTGGACTATCATTTCTTGGAATTTCCAGGCGGCGTGTGAGATGTTGTAGAGCGGATGGGCTTGTGAGGGATCCGGTACTATTTGCTTCGAAACTGTGCATGCGTGCGGGACTACCGGGACGACTGGATTGCCAGAATTGTTTCAATTCTTTGCCCAATTCTTGTCCAGTAGTACTCCAATTCGTTCGGATAGCTTCTCTCATCTCTGCAACATGACGTTTTAGATCGAGTTCGTTCTTTTTGAGCCATGATACATTAAGCTCCTGTCTTGTTGTACCTCGCTTGAATTGACGCGCGATATATTTCTCATAATCCCGAACAATCCTGCGTAAGGGTTAGTAGTGATTTGGGAAACAGAGAATCAAAGACATACTTTGTAATGATACCAGTCGTGCTGACACCCTCAGTTCTCTGCGTAACTAAGAATTTTCCTTGTTCCTTGATGGGTTTGTAAATATCATCTCCCTCATCAGCTCCATATGGAAGATCGTCATGCGCAACGTAATCAATCCTTTTCTCTGCTAGAAATTCTGGAGTAACGATCCATGGGCAGTTCTCCACAACCTCATCCACCCATTTGCAGTGTCTCACAGTCTCAGCTCGTTCTTGCCCAGATAGAACTGTAAGTCCTTTTCTCTTGTGTGTTTCCGCATCTCCTGTAACTCCGACTAACAAATAAACGTCTGGGAATGCTTTTTTAGCTTGTTCAAGCTGTCGCATATGTCTGCCATAAATTAGTTGCAACTTCCAAGTCCCGTGGTTTATATAATACATACCCAAGATGAAATAAATCAAACACACCATCCGCATAGACACGAACTGGTCTGTCAGCTGGGGGTGGATTGGTTTTGTATCCAACTGGATCTGTCAATTTTCCAATTGGTGGTGGGGCCATTGATTGTGCGGTTTCTTCTTTCTCTCCCTCTTGCTCTGGCACTTCTTCATCTCCTTTGGAAATACTTTTTCTTCCTTTCTTTCCAACCCTGTTCGCAATGTCTGTGCTACCTTCAGTTGTGTCCGATGGTTCACCCGGATCTCGCGCATTGTCGGATCCATTAACTGCTACTTTCTCGTGCGTAGATGAGCGAAGACGTTTGGCGGGTGGGTTTTGAGAGTCCATGGAGATAGTCTTCTTGTGACTTGAGCTACGTGTTTCTCTGGTTTCTGGAGCTGTGGATTCGCCATCTTCACCAGATGCATCTCTTGATGAATTTTGTAATTGATCGAGTGTTGAGGATTTCTTGGAAGATGAAGCAGTAGCAGTACGCTTTCTCTTTCCTACACTTCCGCCAGATGATGGAGAAGACATTTTGAAATTTTAGCTTTCAATCTGCAGAATAGACTCGACTGACAGAAATGGGGATTGAGACAAGTCGATTATAAGCTTTCGCGGTTTTGTGTTTAAATTGTAGGTGCTGTGATGTGCTGTGCTGTGCTGCGCTGTAGACAGTTCTTTGACAATTGGAGGAGCTTCCGGAATTTAAATAATTTTGACCAGGGTTTAGTTAGAGGTGGTTGGCCGTTGATGTAATCTTTCTTTTAGTGTTGTGTGGTGGATTAGAGAAATTGATATCAATGCAAAGAAAGTTTTCGAGATTCGAGTAAGAGGGTATGTAGCAATAAATATCACGACGACGATAAAAAACGAGTTATGCTTTCGTTCTCTTGGGAAGAAAAATCAAAAGTTTATGTAAATTTGATGAACATTGAACATAAAGATAATATAAGTTTGTAATAATTGATTTGAATGGAATTGTCTTGTTGTCCTCACATACATAAAGCTAGTTTTAAACTAAATTATTACTAGGTAGGTAGGTAGGTAGGTAGGTAGGCAGGAGGCAGGGCAGGGCAGGCTCGAGGCAGGTAGGGACTTTTTCTGTCTCTTCTTCTCCTTCTCCTTCTCCTTCTCCTTCTCCTTCTCCTTCTCTTTGAAAATCAATCAAATAAACCAGGTTTCTCATGATTGAGGCGTTTTTGGAATTTCCACATAAACCCGGGAATTTCGATATCGTCATTCCAATTGCTATCAGAGCTGGAGGATCAAGATCAAGTAAGAGGTAGCACGTGCGACGCTAAGAGAATCTGAGTGATTGATTGGTTATTGGGGATGATTAGGTAATTTTATAAAATCACATACGTAGGTTCCTAGGTAAGTAGGTACGAGTAGGAGGAGTACAATGTACAATACAGACATCCCTCGAGCACCACCACAACCGTATGTACTCGTCGGTAGATGATATCAAAAGAGACGGTGAACTTTCCTCCTCCTCTCCCAATTAAATCTCACCTACTAGCTACCCAACCCACCAACATTCTCAAACCATGACTTGAAAAGCATTTTTTCACTTTGCAGTTCCGCCCGTTCGTGGGGTAACTTGGTAACTAGGAAGGAAAGCTCGGAAACTTTTATATCATTGCAGTATTATCATTGACCGCATCTCTTAGTCGCAAGGATAAAACATCCTCTTCTCCACTTCAAAGCTGTGACCTATGATCTATTCCCCCCCATCTACTGCAATGCAATGGGTCCAATCCAAGTATAAAAAGCAATGCCAACGATTCGATTCCATTCGATTAGACACTTCATCACTCTACTAGCCATCTATTCGCTACGTCTTTGGAGCCACCTTGGGGCTTAAAAGAGGGGATCATCTGCAACTTATCAAACCTGCGAACATGCAAAAACATTCAACTTAGAAACATTAAATGAACTCGTAAACGCTTTGGTCAGGAGGATGTCAATTGATAATTTTCAAGGTACATTGAAACTCGGCCCTAGTCTAGAGACCCTTCCTATAAGAGATCTGTAATGTGAAATTGAAGAAGAGAAAGAAACGGATTCATCATCATGATAATATAACTCGCTGCGTATGAAGATCGTAAGTTCAGAAAATTTCATGTCGAAGGAGAAGCCACCACACCCTGGGCATCTCTATCATGTTTACTAGATATAACGTTTCCATGACCTTTATACCTTTCCCACTCCATACTCCCCATTTCCTCCCAGCAGTGATGAAGATTTGCAGGAGACATTGCAATGCGTGAATTTATCTCACGTTATGCTTATAGAAATGCACAAAATTCGCAACCCCTTCTATTCCAGATATGGTCGCAAAGATAGTCATTCATCAAGATGAATTTGGTTTGCATAATTTCTCGAGTCATTAACGTCTTCATTTCAACATCCTCCCCTTCCTTCGTCTTCCACTTCATAAATCTTGAAAGATATACCAATTATACCAAAATTACTCCTACTTCCCTTCCGCTTTGCTCGATTTTGGTAAAACTTCGTCTACAACTGCCTGATACTTTGGCTCTTTCGGGTCAATCTTTTCGGGTAAGGCATCGGATTCGGGAACTTCGGATTGAGGCTGTCCCTTTGGGACTTGGCTGGCGAGGTCCTTGTCTTCCTCACTGTGGTCGAACATTTCTGTATCATCGGAATCAGTGAGGACTTCTGTACCATCTCCAAGAAGAATGATCCGTCCACGTGGGTTCCCACCGAAAGACTTAAGCTTCTGGTCCATATCAACATCATATCCACTGTCACTATCATCAAAGTTATGATGAACACCAGGTCCACGGAATTCAGCTATTAAATACGTTAGGAAATATTCTAGTATTGAAAATCAGCGGAGTACTTGCCATACTCCGGAGGGGCACATGGACCATCTCCATTTGCAACACGCTTTGCGATTTCATCGTACCACTCTTCCTTAGTCTTGCCGTTCAAGAGACCAATGACAATCATGGTCATGTTATCACAACCAACACCACCAGTTTCCGAACTGGATGCTAAACAGTTATCCATCATGTTCTCGCAGATTTTAGATAAATCTTGCTTGGCAACGATGCCTCGTCGGACAAACTCGATAACAGCTTGGGATGATTGGCAATCCCAGATACCTAAAGATCGAGTTAGCCTTGTTGTTCTCAATGACTCGTCGTAAGCTACTGACCATCACAAGCGACCACCAAAAACTCGTCATCGTCTGTAATATCGTGTACAGTAACATCGGGGAATGCGGTGACGATTTGCTGCTCAGGCGAAAGCTCTGCGCTCTTTTTGAACTCAAAATCACCAATGGCTCTTGATAATGCAAGATTGCCATTGACACGACCGAAATCGACGAAGCCTCCAGCCGCATTAATTCTGGCTTTTTCGCCTGCACAGATGTATATTAGTATTTTGTGCAGTCCATCGCCAGATCATGAGAAGCTACCTTCGTTTTGCGGCTTGTGGTCGAATGACAAAGGCTTGGCGCGACCCTTGACTCCTAAAACACTTCTTGAGTCTCCGGCGTTTCCCTTATGAACAGTAAGCATATTTCAGTATCTTTTGCCTCATGTAACATACCACATAGATCTTCTTGTGCGAAATTATGCCAACGGATGCGGTACAGCCAGAAACTTCCTCCTCGTATCTTGGATCTATAACTCAAATCAGTATCCGTGTATTGTAGAAGGTGGATGTTGTTCTAACCCATCAAGATTGCTCTGTCTGTTGCAAGGAAGCCATCCTTCAGAGCTTGTTCAATGTCACCCTTTTGGAATGCTTCCTGTTTTGCGATGATCTGGTGTATATTTTCTCCTGCAAAAAGTGCTACCCTGTCTCCTCCATGGCCATCGTAGACACCGAAGAATGAGAGTCTGCTATCGATTGGAGCTGGCTTCAATTCCTGTCCTTTTGTATGTTGTAAATCGAGGATAGTCGCGTGCGCGTCCTCCATGCTGATTCTCCATCCCTGCATGGAAGAGACGCCATAAAGTAATCTCTCATCGCCTCCGGTAGCTGAATGCTAGTAGAGAGAGCCAAGTTAGTAACCATAGACAGTGGTGACAGACAGACCTTGGTGGTGGAATTGCAGCTGAAAATCGAGTCTGCAGAATATTTCTGTAGGAAAGTTGTGCTCATTGAACAAAATAACATAGACTCTCTATATTACTGCGCGACGGAGAAGTATTTCAACACCAGCATGTAATACCAGGTATGCGATACCTTGGCATGAAAGACCGGCGCCGACAATGACACAGTAAACAGATAAAGCGAACAAAGATAAACAAACATACCTTCTCCACGACGGGCTCCGAAAGAGTCTGACCCATCTTGAAGATAGATCTAAAACCTTTCTACAGAAATCCAACAAACAATTCAGATCCTTCTCTCAACAATATTTCGAGATCTTCGAGTGGTGTTCCTTGACAGAGATTGCAAAGAGGTATGGGTGGGATGCGGGGTCGTGGTTTTCTTGGTAGAGAAGGCGGAAGAGGATATAGATAGAATAAATACCTTGGTATTATCTATAAGTAAGATAAATATCGAGATTGAAAATCTTGTTTAATAGGAATGTAAAGATTTGGTAGAATTGTCTTTATTCTTTTGCAGATCGCGTGCAGTTTTTTGGAGGAGGGAAGAGAAAGGTGATGTTACTAAAAATGACGCTTTCTTTGCCTTTTCCTGCCTTGCCTTGCCTCTTTGCCTTTGGCTTGCTGTATTAACGAATACCTACACTGAGCAGAAGAGCAAAATACGCTAAGGAAAGCTCGCTTATTTACCCAGAAAGAGTAATAAATTGTGATAGAGTGGGGGGAAATAGGAAGGATCGATTCTTTTGGTAGGGTTGGGTGAGAAGGGAAGGCATAATTTAGGTGAGTGAATGTGAGCTTGTTTCTCAGGGTGAATGGCTGGGTAAGAGGACCTCGGTGTAGGCAGGTATATGTAGGTATGTGGGTAGATAACTAGCTAATTGGTTGTTTTCATAAAAGGGTTTGAATTATAGTATCTAGTATATCTAGGACTTACCTGGGTACATGGCTCAAAGGCTCATACGATATATCTTTCCAATTTGAGTTCATCTCTTCCTACATCTTCTCCCATTCGAAAAGATGCTAACATCGTGAAAAGCTACCAGATACTCACTCGGCTACACACAAGACAGTACATAATGAAATCCCAAATCTTCGAGCGCAGCGAGCTATGGGGGTTTGGGGGCTTGCCCCCATCAATTGATAATATTAGTAGTCAGTAGCAGCAGCGAATGTATCTGGTAAGGTTTCAATGATAGTGACGGTGAAAATACTCCCACCAGTGGCAATCTAACTTATAATAGACGAGCGAGTATTTTCAGAAGCTCAAACAGCGAGACCCTCGAAAGCTTGAACATCATGATTACACCCGTGGCTATTTAGAACCAAAATCGAATATATATATATATACATGTAAGGTTATATTTCTTCTTTATATTCTTGATCTAAATGGCGGCTACGATGTTCTAAGCCATCAGAACGAATGAATACCTTGGAATATTTTGTCGTGTGTATTCTACCAATTGATATCTATCATAAGGTCATACTATGATACCAGTACCTATGATAAGCTTTGAACTTATCCACCTACCTGGTAGCAATATTTGCAATTGGAATTCCCAACCTAGGTAGGTAAATTCTTCTACATTTATTGATTAGTTCATATTTCGTTTGAGAGCAGTCTGGACCCGTTCACCGGGTGGACCCTTTTGAATGTTTAGCTTTCGGGAGAACTGAATAGACTACGCCGCGCTCAGATATACCTAGCACATTTTGGATAACTCAATCGCTACGATCTGTTCTTTTCCTCAACCTAGGTATGTAGGGACCAGTACTTATAGTTTGGCCAGTGCAAACAGTCATCATCGTTCTGCACGGGCAGTATACAATCGTTAGTCTTTTGTTTTGATCTTTCCATAAACAAATGTCTTGATAAAGTGGTATTAATCGATTGATACGAGTATATTTCGACAACAATTTGTTCGTTTGATTTTGGTGGTGGGGTGGTGTCATCTGTCATAGCAATCCCTGTACCCAATTTTTTCCCTGAAATGCAACAAAGCTGGGAAACTTCGCTGAACTTCCGGTACATGCATAACAATCGTTTGACAAGTCAGCTTCATCCGTTACCACCCGCGCTGAGTGAGATTGTATCATCATTCATGTTCTATCCGGTTCCAGGCAGTGTTTGATGCTGTCCATAATGTTGGATTGAGTGGTTCTATGGAACTTGGTCAACTCAAGGCGGAGCATGATATGGAACTCTACGAAGTTTTCTCCAAGCAACCGAAAGACTACATTGTGATACCTCCCGGTGCGACCATAAGAAACTCATCTTTGGGAGAAGGAAGCATTGAACCGAAAGTAAAAGATAATCCCTAGCTCCGAAGCATCTCTACTTGGAAGCCCAGTGTTAGTCTTGCCTGTTAAGAAGGTATTTCAATATCTAGCAAATCCATCTTTTGAGACCATCAAGGAATGTGTCGATTCTCCTGTTCCAGCCAAAAGAAATCCGGCAGGTACAGGTACAGGAAGACGTATCAAAAGTTTCTGACATGGAACCACCAAGTTCGCTTTAAGAAACAAAGAATAGAACTTTGGGGATGTCAAAATATACCACCAATATATGATTTGGTAGGCAAGGAAGATATCAGTATTCATTTTGATGGAAGATATAGAAGTCATTACAGGATATATGTTACTGTATGTCACGAAAACCTGGGGCAGTCTATAGATGGAGAATCGCAGTTTAAGGTTTCTATTTACTCAAGCGGGTTCTCTCGTCAAGCAATTGCTTCTTGCATAGCTTTGAGATATGACGGTATCGAATTGCGTGGCCCAGGCTCTAGGTATAGGTTGATTGAATGAAACCAGTCAGTCTTTTTTTATGAAAACGTGACTATAATTCAACAGCACGGATATGGAGCAACTGTCCCATCCTCATCTAGCACTTTCATACATCTTCTTCATCACACATACTACTTCATCCAATTTCTAATCTTCTGACTATCTTTCATCATCCTTCCCTCTTTTGCTGTATCTTTTTCTCGTTCATCGAGTTTTCTCGGCTTCTAGTCTTTTCATTCCCATTTTCTTTCCAAATTTAGAAGTCGGTAGAACACCTACTAGGATGCGTTAACCTCCTCATTTAAGCAGAACATCAGTTTCAACGACATCTTTTGGGGAGAATTTGGGATTCGGGAAGCTTTCTCGTCTCAATTTTACTGGCATATTCGGCTTCGAGATGATCGGTGTACGTCATTAGATATCTCAGATCTGAAAACTTTCTAGAATCATCTTGATACTCTGGGTTGAGGTTCCAAGGGGAGGATTTGAGATATGTGTGTATATATGGTTCATTCAGTCTGTTCATTCTCAACCTCAAACTCATCTTCATCGCCTTAAAAGCATCAAACACCAAAACTACCCACCCCAGCCACCACTCAGAAAACTTCACATACATTATCGCCTCACTCTCCTAGCCCAATGCCATCCTCAAACAAGAAAATGCTCCTATACACCATTCTCAAATCCCTCCTCATCCACAAGATCTTGTGTTTTCTCCGCCCATACCTTCCTTTCGTTCAAACGTCTTTGGACGAAACCACTCTTTTTCTTATGGGGGCGATGGTTGTTGGTTTGTTATTGTTATAGGGTGATTTGAATGTTGTTTGTTATGTCGGGATAGTAGAAGGAAGGGGGTGAGAGATAGTTAGGTATGGATGATGAATGGAGGGGTTTGATATTAACTTAGTGGACAGGAATTGGGATTTAATGTTTGATGTTCGATGTTCAATGTTCAATGAATTTATTATTGACTGTCGAGGAAATTCTATGAAGGAATTATCAGGTTGTTAGTTTACATGTGTGTTTTGACGAATGTGTTCTCATGAGGTTTAGGAATCGTATTCTAGGAAAATCACGAGAATTTTACTATCCCTCCTTTTTCTCTTTTGTGTTGGTTATTGATTCTAGTCCCTCTCACTTTCATATCTATCGCTATCTCTATATCCCCTATTACAATCTCTCAGACGGAAATTCCACTACAGTATGGTTTTCAGAATTCAGATACATTTCATCGCGGTGCGTCTTTCTCTTCACTAATAACTAGCCCGCTACTCCGGCTCAAGGAAGAGTTCCATGACATGATATGATATCCAGGGAGAAGTATGAGCGGAACATCATGGATCTCCTTCATACAGTTAAAGATTCTCCACGGACTTGAACTACATGTATACTGGTTTCATTTTATCGAGGGTTATACTTCTATCTTCCGAATTTGTATCCTCAAGTTCGACCTCATTATCTCGCGTTCCTTGTCAAGAGAGATTGGCTCCTTGCTAATTGCCAAGGCACTCCTCGCTTATATATACTCTATATCCTCAATGCTCCTCAATCCTGGATTGGAGTTTTTCAAGTACATTATGTATCTTCTGAGGAATATCCAACGGGTTAGAAGTGTTCTCAACATGGTTGATGAACTCTTAATGAGCTGCTGTTGAATAAGAAGATATCCTAGGTCCGCGAAAAGATATTGAAATTTGAGAGGAATATTACATGAACAGTTGCGCTGTCAACCTTTCATTTGATTACTTTTCACATTTTTTCTTCGCTTGTCATCAAATTCCTCATACCAATCAAAAATTAAATACATCTAGAGAATATCGTGCTCGCACCAATTAAAACCCTCAAGTGACGAGTTTACAGTTCTCAAGCGTATTGTAATTGTGATTCTGTGATTCTGTACATTTTTTATTATCCCTGTACTAGAGAAGGAATTGGGAGATATGGGTGAGTATTCTTTCAGAAGAGTGGGAAGTTTCTGGTATGGAGAGTGCTGAAAAGGAGAGGAATAAGGTGTAAGAGGGTGAAGATGAAAGGTGACGAGGTGAAGTAGCTGGTGACACTGAAGGTCCAAAATAGAATACCCCGTGAAATGGATGGTTTAGTCAACTTTGAAACTACTATTCGTGATAAATTATCATCAGTCAAAGTGTAGTTAGGTGTGAAGCTCGAAACGCGGGTCGATATAAAGCCGCGGCATGGAATGAATAGTAAAGAGTAAACGAGTAAATGGAGTACTGTGACAAAATAAGTCAAGCTATCAATGGATGTCGTATCACAGATGCTTACTCCCAAATTCATATATACATACAGCTAATTGAGAAAAGAATCATCGAATAATTCCTGTTATAACAAAAGTGGATAAATACATTGGTTCTAGGAGCTTGAGCAGGAGCGATTATAAACGTAGCGCGTATTTCTACTTCCCCAACGTCCGGCATAGAAACTTAAAACTCCAAACACCCCCAATCCCTTCCATAAGGCTCAATAGTGGAGAAATAGAAAGAACAAAAACGATCAATACTCTAGCACCTTAATTTTAGAGTTAAATCTAACATTAATCCTACCCCAAATGCGGTTCCACCAATATCAAGGATGTTGGATGGGATTTCTGGAAGTGATGGGTTGGATGAAGGTCCATCACACAAAGCCAAGGGACTACTCGAATTCGAAAGTAGAAAGTGACCGCATCATATTGTTGTATTGTATGGTACTTACAGCTCTTGGATATGTACCTAGTAGTCTTATGAAATATTAGCAGTGTCTACGCGTTAATCAGATCTGGTCAGAACTATTCTAGCATTTACATCACAGTTCAATTCTTGTTTTGCTCCTCGTGATCACATGCTATCACAGCTAAAAATTTACAAACATCAGTGAGCCTTGCGAACGTTTCCCTGTCGTGGATTTCTGGTCTTTGGAAATTGATATATGTTTATAAGATTACATAAATTTTCAACTAAAGGAGCTAATCACGATGGCCGAAGAATGTTAACCTCCTCCCTCACATCTACATTCCCACAAACCTAAAATTTACTCGATTCCTCCAATGGATCTCCTCACTTCAATAATCCTTCTAGCGTTACTCATCCACTCTTTCTCGTAACAAGTTACACCTTTTATTTCAATCATCTTAACATCATATAAGATTAGCCGCCATATATCTATATCTACAAACAAGCCAAGGAAAGCTCCCCACACCCATTCATCCATCCATCTACCCATTCTCAATTAACCTTAAAATGTAAACCCACCAGCCTCGTATTTCGCACATAGTTAAGATTCAACCTTATTTTCAGCCCTACATCTCCATTCCCAATTTCTCGTCTTACTAACGTATCCATTGTCATCATCAGAGAATAATCTCTAAGCGCCCACTCGCCGACCAACCAAACCCCATCCCCCAATCCACATTCAGATCCTAGCGGTAATCCGGGGACTCGGGCTCAGCGTTTGCGACAATTTTCCAGCTGATTTTGGTCGCTGGGAATATCCCTTTAATTCCTACGAGTTTCAACGGGCGCAGTGGTAGTTATATGCTGTAGTGGATGCGAGTACACCTTATTGCGGAATGGAGATCTCGGCGTCATTGAGATGTTTCCTGCGAGTTGATTGCAATTGAGATTTCGACGCTGAGTTGATACGAGCGGGACTAGCAAATGATTTCCACAGGGTTGGTTTGATGGAATTGATAAACGCTCCACGGATCTTTGGGGTTGAGGATCTGGCTGCGAACAATGATATCACTTCTCGGTCATTGATATCTACGGTAATCCCATAAGAAAAATTATCAAGGTTTAAACGACATTGCCGATTACACACCACTAGAAAGATTGAAACGGCTCGACGGGTCACCCGTAAAGCGCTTCTTCGCTGGTGGAATTCCGCCTTGCGGCTTCCGAGATACATGTCACGTTATGTTCACATTGTGATTTTACAAGACCAAATGAACGACCTTGTCACGAGGTCGAGGGAATCGACCGCATGTACGTGAAAGTCCAGAACAGCTACACGATAAGCAATACGAAGTTGCGGCTCGTGGATTGTGTAAAGCTGTGCTCATGCTCAGCCATGCACCCAGACAGTGTAAAGATGATTCGGAGACATCCAAATCGGTACGTAGCTACGTACATTGGAGATGGGAGTTTTACTAGCTCCCGATCCTGTTATAGTAGGCCCGGCCTAGCTGTGAGGATTGTGTTGTTGAGGAGAATAGTATCATGTCGATGGATGCTGTGCGCTCTATGTTGTATATGATGATTGAAAGGTTGGAGATGTATATAGCATGCTGAGATGAAGCTGTCAGAATTACTTTCAACATCAACAACAACAATATCTTTCAATCTAATCCACAACAAACTTCCAATATCCCCACCACTACACAACAATCACTACCACCCAAAACCATCAAAATGCAATTCTCCACCATCACCATCACCTTCCCCATCCTCGCCCTCTTCCTCACCAACACCCTCGCCATGCCCTCGAGCCCCAACACCAACATCCTTGATTCTCGCAGCAACAGCTGCTACGAAGACACCGCCTGCAATTGCGGCGTCATCAACACTGTCTGTAACGGAGGCAGTGTAGTCGGACAAACCAGATGTCGTTGTCCCGGACAAGACGGACGATGCGATGTGGTTATGTGTAAAGATTATGCTCTTAACCAAGTGGTGAGTATTCCCTGCTTTCTTGCTTTCGTGGTGTATATGATTGGACTGAGTAAATAGCTAATTTGATTGGTGATTTAGATGGTTTGCGGTCAATCAGGTACCGGATGTATTTACATTTAAGGCTTTGTTGTGGATGATCTCTTTTCTGTCCTGCTTTGGATTTCAGGGGTGGGGGATTTCGATTTTAGAGTCTGAGTGAACTTGAGGGGTTTTGACTGTTTTCTTTGCACTTCTTCTCTTCTCGCAACGACAAGGACAACAACGACAATTCGAATCTCCCATCTCTCACCTACAAGAAAGAGAGTACGAAATGCGAATCGAGAAACTGAGCAAAGAGTTGGTGATCAGAGGATGTTGTATGATAGATTTCCTTTTTTTATGTGTCATTGTTTTCATTTGTGTGTTTGGGATGGGATATGGTAGATTTAGAAGTTAAAACTTTTCTCATGTACTGGATACATGAAAAGTGCTTGCAGTTTAGAAAGAATATAAGATTGCCTGGGCCCGGGTATTACTTGAAATTTTCTGCTTGGAATTTTTAGTTTTTTTGTGAAAGTAATTTTTTGTTGCTACAATGAGTGTGTTTCTAGGGAAATTATGAGAGGCTTGATTTTCGTGTTAAGCTCTTTCCCTTCCACATGAATTCATTCACCATTCTTGCCTGTCTCTCCAACTCCTCTCTTGTCTACCTCCTCTTTGTTTTCCATACCCCCCGCTATACCAACCTCCTACATACTTCGGTTCTCACGACATACAAGTAACAGTAACAATTCCAATGTACCATTCTCCTTCCGTGACAACATTCCCTTTCTATCCTCTCCTCTCCTCAATCTTCTCAAGCTTCACTTTTCCTCCCACCTATTGACTTTCTTTTTATGTTCCACAATCCAATCTCCAACTCAACTTAACAAAACAACACCAAAGGCCCCCAAATCCATACATCCATCTACCTCCGAAAAGCTTCCCAGCATATCAATCACAGATACGCCTACCTCTAAAAATTACTCATTCAATCCCCCCGCCCTCCCCCCCTCTTAAGCGAGTTTTTCTCCAGAAAGATAAACAAGATATCTAAATTCATCCATCTCACAACCATAGGTATCCGACTACACAATCCTCGGCTCCAGCCACAAGAAAAGAGGAAACAAAATTCAATCTGTATGAGCATATGTGAATGACTTCAATCCAATAACCACTGTACTAAGCCTGAGAGACTAGCTCTTTAGATAGAATACAATATTGACATCTAAGACCTACAAATCGTGGGTGCTACATCATCTGTCTCCCTCTCGAACCAATTCAATCCAAATATAGCTCTCTTAATATATTAAAATCAACAAAAGCAACCACAACAACCACAACAACCACAACAATCACTCAATAATCAAAAGTAAAATAAAACAAAATACCTTACAACAAAAGTTTAAAACCCAGTCGTGATAAAGAATTATACTCCAAAATACTTTTTAAATAGGAAACCATCATAGCCTATCCTTTCCCATCCCATTTTATTTTACAATACATCTATATATCGATTCATCTACTTTGACTTTCAAGTTTCGAGTTTCAAGTTTCGAGGAATCAGAAAATCATATATTTCTATCGAGTATTTCATATAAAGTATTTTATATCAAATGAACAAAATCCCATTCCAACATATCCATCTCTACATCCAACCACATTTCCACAACTTGCAAAAAAGTCAGAGAAAACAAAAGGGAAAAACGAGAGGCAAAGATGTATTACACGATACAACATCAGCACAAACAAAGCGAAAGTCAAGATATCATACCATAGTATTCCTTCATTCATTCAAATTTACAATACATACATGCACCCCTATACTTCCCATCCGTCCCGTATATACTAAGTATATACTATATCGCATCTATCCCCCAGTATCCATCGCACACCGAAGCTACCCAACGACAACAACGCATGAGCGAGCTACCCAGGAAGAAGAGAATCAGATCTATAAGCACCTACCTCTCACCATGACAAATGCGTGCGTGCGTGTCGGACCGGACAGGACAAGATAGGATACACATTCATCTCTTCATTCACAACTCGACTCCTCTCATAGCAACTCAAAAATAGGATACTCATCGTATGTATTTCAAATTATAGCTAGCTAATTATCATATCACAGACTATGATAATAAGTGCAGAATAGTACAATACAGTACAGAACCTTCCTTATATATCATAGATTATTTCATAGTAGATTTGAACTTTGAAGAATATTGGGGGGATAGGATGGGGGGGGTATATTTTTTTTGGATGGATTTTAGTTTATGTGGATAGAGAGAGATATGTATATGTGTATATGTGTGTGTGTGTGTGTATGTGGAAGTGAATTTCATGGTTATATATTAATATGGTGGTAGTTAGAGAGATAGCCTGGACTGAACAGAATTAGACTGCATGGGATTGGATTAAACTTGACTGAACAGAATGAGGATATAACTAATAAATTGAACTAAATCGCACAATGAATAAGCAATTTTCTTTTAGATTACACAGTCATAGATTACACAGTTTGTGATTGATGAGTTATACATAATTACAAGATCATAGCGATATGATATAATGTGATATGACATTATACAGTGATGTGATATAATACAGTGATAATGATAATGATAATGATAATAATGATTTAGGGTTTAGGGTTTGGAGTTTGGAGTTTGAATATCGTTTATACATCACCATACCATACCATACCATATGAATCAATATAGATCAATATAGATCAGTAACTAAATAACCAAAAATCTATCACTAACCATCTATCACTATCTATCTATCCATCCATCCATCCATTCCGTTTTCATAATACCAGATTATCCATCTCAGTGCACACAGATACACACACATAACCCACCATCTCAAACACATTCATCAATCACTTTACTTCAATTCATTTCAATTCATCGAATGTATGTATGTATATATGTATTGTTTTTATTATAATATACCCATCTCCATAACCTCCCTCCATTGCATCCCTCCATTATATCCCTCCATTCCATCCCCCATACCCACATAAACCCTCTCCTTTTCATGAAAATAGATCCTCTCCCCTCCTCAATCCCATTCCATTCCACATCACATCAAATCATATCAAACCCTTCATCCCACCTCCACCCCAATATCTATAACCCCTCAAAACTCAATGAATGCCATTGTAATTGTATTTGTAATATGCAATACGCAATACACATGAAAAGTACTGTTTCATTTCATCAATCCCATTCCCACCCAACCTATCCTATCCCAATCCATCCTATCGTAATCCTCCTCACTTCTCATCACCCCCAATTGTAAAATGGTAGAAGAGAAAAAAGCAATATCATGAGTAAAGAGGAGAGAAGAAAGCGCTTGCAAAAAAAAAGAAGAAAGAAAAACGTCAAAAAGCTCAAGTCCATCATTCACACCATCAGGAAAATGTCTATCACCAATTATGGCCCAAAATATGCAACGCTCGCTATCCATCCCATTCCACTCTCATCCTAATTTTTGCCCTATCCTTGTCTCGGTCTCACTTTCTTATTTGTTCCATTTGCGTCAGGAACCTCTCTCACAAACGTAACATGTTTGTCATCTTTCTTGGTGCGATCCTGACTCCTCCCTAGCACCGCTCCTCTGACGACTTTCTCAGTGTCTCCATCCTCGATATCGATTTCGGCGACATCACTACCCTCGTCAGCATCTCCTGATGATACACTCTCTGCATCATCATCACCTTCGTCGTATTCACCATCATCACTAACAAGACTTGGAGCGTTGTTACTAACAACCGTGTTTGGACTTAGGTCAATGATGGAAGATGTATCGGGAATGCCCATATCAGTATCTCCATCATGATCGTGATCTCGAGTATTAATAGGCTCTGGGCGGTTATTTCTGGTTTCCGATACGGGAATAGAAGTATTGAGGGTAGCGAAGGTCAGACGAGGTGAGATATGAGCTTGACCGGGTCTCCCGGAAGCATCCATACCTTTGCTGCTTGTAGGTCTACCAAAGTATGCTGGTGACATGGTAGCCCGAGCTGGGATACGCATACCAGTCATTGGTGTATCTACTGAACCATCAAAGCCACCAGGACGGCGTGACGGTATAGCAGCAGTTGATTCTTCAGTCACTTCATCATCAGAAGATTCCTCCTCAGATGCTAAGAGTTCATCCATATCAATATGTGTTTTCGCATCACCCACTATTTCATCAAGATCAACACCAAAGCCTTTGCTTTTCAGTAACTCGGAAAGATGAGGTGTAGCGGTTGATGGTTTGAAATTTTCCTGTGGAGGTTGCACTTTGGGTTTCACAACGGGTTGCTTTTGTGGTGATGACGTTGCACTTCCCGGAATCGAAGTCACACCAGGGAGCCTGCCTTGTAGATATAGATTCATAGAATCTTCGATACGAGACCGAAGAGCAGTATAGGCTTCTTTATCGACAGGCGCACTTTTAATGAGAGGATGAACAGGATCTCCAGTTGGTGGTGCACTTGGACTCTTCTCCAAAACAGGAGCTGCACCAGCTTCATCGACTTCGATAATATGTCCGCTGGTCTGAGCAGCTTCTTCATGACTCTTAAACTCACGATGATGAGCAATGCGACAATGATTGATAAAACCTTGAGTGCTGGAGAAATCTTCACGATTGCAATCCAAGCAGACAAGCTTAACAGTTTTACCATCACTCCGCTTGAGAATACATGGTCCAGACTTCTTTGGTTGAATATGACCGGTGGAAAGAGATTGCAAACTGTGAGATCCACGAGATCTCGATTTGGATGAGACATTACCTCCTTCAGCGATACTATTTCTAGTAGCTCTTCCTTCTGGTATCGACTTGCCAGCACGTGGCCTCCCCGGACCTGCACGTGAATCAACAATATCAATACCATCAAAAGCAGGGTCAGGAATTAACCATTTTGCCCAATGTCTTGTGTACGGCCCTTCGGTAATTCCATACGGTGGAGCCCATTTTGGTACTTTGTCGCCACTCCAGACTGCTGGACCTGTACCAGCACTAACATTAACCATCGACTCGGAAGAAGCTTCAGCTTCAGTTCCCTGCATGCCTGGGAATGGTATCAAGTGAGCGCGACGTAACTGTTCAAGAGAGACTTGACACTTTGCTAGTTCTGTTTCGATTAGGCGCAATTCGTTGTGCTTCATGAGAATCTCGAGGCTGAGTTGAGATTCGATTGTTTCTCGAACCAAACCTAGATCGACGACCTGTTCTTGATTATCCGTCATTACAACATCTTCAGCCGACAAAGGCGATCGACACTCTTGCTCCGACATTTCGCGCTTCCTCCGTTTCACCTCTTGCGATGTTGTTGCTGCTGTCGTCGACGTCGTCGTCGTCGATGAAGTGTTTGTTAAGATCGGGATCGGAGCGTTCGGACTACTACTTCTCTTTCGTTTCGTAGGACTTGCGCATTCGTAAAGACCGGCGTTTGCCATATTATATTTTACTTCTCCATCTAACACTTGATCGCAACCCCTGGATTCGGAGATCCAAGATGGCAGACGAAACATTCGCATGTAAATGGGAAGGAGTAAATTGCGATATTCAAGTGAATGTGCGACCGGGCACTACTTTTGTTGAACGGGTGATTTAATACGCTGATAGTTGCCTAGTTTGCGCTATAAAATATGGTTGAACTAAAAGTCAATTTCACTGGTGGTGGTTGAAGCGCAAGTTTTGCGAACTGACGTCGATGCTATGTATGATAAGGACCTCCCTAAAAGTGACGGAATGAAAGTCTAAAATGTTGTATGTATACAAGTAAAGTTTGAAAATTGAAAACAATTACAAGAGTTTATTGTGTAAAATAAATTGTAAAATAAAAAGAAGGATTGGCGTGGGAATTGAAATTATGCCGTATGATGTTTTTGGCTTTGTCGTGATTTAATGAATTGATTTTTGAAGGGAAAGAAGAAAAAAAAAAAATCGAAAATCGATGGTTGTGATTGAACGATATTTTGTGTTGTTCGTTGGGGGTATAAAAGGTTGTCTTTGATTGAAATGTTGCGACCGTGTAGGTGTCGGTAGGTAGGTAGGTAGGTAGGTAGGTAGGTAGGTAGGTAGGTAGGTAGGTAGGTAGGCAGTAAGGTAAGGTAAGGTAAGGTAAGGAAGGTATGGTAAGGTATGAGAGATGTGAAGTTCAAAATGAGGGGGTGCGTTGAGCGAGAGGGAGGGAGGGATATTAGGAATTTGAAAGGAGTTGACGTATTGATTTTGGATAAAAGTAGCCAAGGTCGGTCGGTGGTTGGTGGCCGGTATCTAGTAAGGAAAGGTGATAATGTAATGTAGGTGAGAGCAGTGGAGAGAGGAGGCGATAAGAGTCGATTGTTCTTTGGCTAGTTGGCTGGCTGGCTGACTGGCTCTTTGATTCGTTGATTCGTTCTTTCGTTTGCTTTCGTTGGTACGTGAGTTGTTTTGGTGATGGTGGTTGTGGTGATGCACACTTATTAATCAACTAGTGTGGTGGATTGAGTGGCTCGAGTGGTTGAGTGGGTGAGTGGATAGATGGGTGGATGGGTGGATGGATAGATGAATGAATGAATGAATGAATGAATGAATGAATGAATGGATAGATGGCCCTTGCACTCTCTAATAATAAATGAAGTAATAAGAAGTGTGAATGAATGAAGTGATGGATGGTACCGGTATGGTATGTGCTATGTCGAAACAGACAAGCGGTAAAAGAAGTAGGTACGGTACGTAGGTACAATACAAGAAGTATACCTCCTACCTAGGCAGGTAAGACAAAGCGGCGGGAAAGGGAAAGGGAGAAGGAAAAGGAAAAGGAAAGTCGAATGATTTTTGGCTCGTTTCCTTTGCTTTTGGTTTTGGTTCTGTTATCACAAATGAATTTCAAAATAGGATGAAACACTTGAAGTAAAATAACAGAGAAGAAAGTCGAAGAGTGAATTATAAAATCAGGTATTTTATAAAATCAAGTCGTACGTATATGAATAGTGAAGAAATGTGATGAGGTTGTTTTCAATATGTTTCGTTGAGTACACTCCGTATCGTATTGTATCCGTAGTATTGTATGGGATGGGTAGTATTGTTGGAAAGCCGGAGTAAGATTTTGTAGTACGGTTTGGTAGTTTGGTTTTGGTGGTTTGGTGTTGTGGTTGCTTGCCTGCTGGTTTTTTGGATTGAAAGCTGGAAGATGTAATAGTAATAGTAAATGGTATGTATGTCGTTTGTATTTTCCAATCTGTAAATAAAATCAAAAAAGATGTTTGGTAAAAAGTTGAAGAAGTGTTCGTTGGTGGCTTAGAATAATAAGAAATTCAAAGAAATCAGTGCTTGTTTGTTTATTACCTAGGTAGAATAATTAATAAGGGACGGGAAAGCCTATGAGACTTCTAACTTTTCATTCCTGGCTGACTTGTTGAAGTTGGAAATGTGTTGCATACCTATTACCTACTACGACTACCTACGACTTACTACTTTACGACCAAGGTAGGGAAGTCTGATTACATTACACTGGAAGAGGTCAAAGACCCTCTTTTCTTTTTCCTTTCGATTATCACTCATCACTCAATCTATCCCTCCATCCATCCATCCATCCATCCATCACCCATCCATCACTCAACTCACTCCATACAGTCCAACCTTCACTCCAAACAAGCCAATTCGTTCCCAGCGGACCCATAAAAAGAATAATGCTCACCAAGTCTACCCAGACTACCACCCGTAATGCTCGTGAATAATTAATTTAAGCGTCGTTTTTTATGCGACATTACAATCCGAGTGGCAAGGATGACGACGGGGATTAGAGTCTTATTATTGCTTGGGAAATATCTTGGAATGAGCAAATGAAGACAGTCCATTGGCTAAGAAGATAAGTAATCCCGGCTACTGCCCATTGTACTTCCAAACTAAGCTACTTAAGGATAATCTTCTATTCTCGATGCCTTCTTTTATTCCATGGACGACCCATTTTTGACAATGTCCATCTTCGTATGCAAGATGTTGGACCCACGAAATGTATGGGTAATAAGAGGGATGCACTATTTCACCCATGTATCGCATGATTCCAAAAGTAGATCATACATGGAAAAAGGGGAGAGGAAGTAGAGGTGAAGCACATGTGAAATCTACCTCCCAGGCATATAAATGAAGGGAGGAATCCACTAGGTGTGATGTGTTTCTTATGTATGTTGCGGTGTTGAGGCCATTTCCACTTCATCAACATGTCTACATATCATTCACGTACTCGGTCTCTGCTTAATGCGTATACACTTCATACGTACTTGAACCTAGTTCATTTTGAGCTTTGGAGGGGGGTTACTTTTCCACTATTCTAAAACTGACTCATAATGTTCTCGACCATATGCGAATAGTGTAAGCCAAGGATATTGAAAAGGCTGCCCCAGATTTATATCAAAATTAGAATCATTTCATGAACATCCGTGCGTGGTCTACAAAAGGTACTTTGGCAATAATCCCATCCATGAATCCCCGAATAGACAAGAAAGAAGGCCGCGTGGATAAAGCTACATTCCTATCATATCGTAGAAACTTTTCAAATAGATATCCGATACGACCACACACTTTTTGCTTACTTTGCATCCTCGTTTCTCTTGATATTGGCTCGTCTAGGCTTGACGGTTTAATTAAGACCAGGGCAAAGAGGCGTGGATGCTCCGGAAAGCTCCAGTCAAACGGCTGTATCTGAGACTATCTTGGGCGACTACCCTTGTTTGATTTTATTAGATGTGTATCGAACATCAACCTCTTCGGGAGGCTGCGCATTTTTGGTCCCATGGGGAATCTTTTGTAATGCCTTCCTGCATCGTGCTTGATACTGTACACCATTTACCGGCAGAGATGCACAAGGCTTGTGACAGTGACATCTGCGTAGCCTTGGACACAAAACGAAACGAAACGAAACGAGAGAGCAATAGGAAGAAGGAGCACTCAATGGTAAACTTATAATATACACAGATAAGGGTTTCGAGGCTGTAGATGTGAAACGAGAGTAATTGATCCATGAGACAATGCCGTGATAAACCCCCACTCATCTTTTTGATGAGGGGGAAAGCTTAAGTGCTTATCCATTTAATATTGACCAAGCGCCGATGATGATAAAGACCAAACTAATCTATAGCTTTTATCCATGTAATACTCGGTGTGAAGAAATGATGCGCCTCTTCATGACAGGACAATGTCACTGCGAACCCAACGAATCGGGATTTTGTCTAGCCTTGCAGGACGATTCTACAACATCTGCAGGACAAACAGTGGTGGACTTCCCGATGAATTTCGGGTACCTGTACAAAGAAGATTCTTGTCAGCACTTTGTATTATGAAGATGAAGAGATGAAGGGATGAAGGAATACAACATAATTGATAAATTTCAATATGTTATGAATGACGGGAATTTATTTCTATTGAGAAGTCTCTCTGAATCTAGAAACTATGAAGACGCGGCGGATGCGGCCGCTCTGCTAGACTGCGAGTGAAATGCTCAAATATAAGCTTTTGATTGGTTCATTAAATCTTCCGACCTCCGATGCTCTCCAAAAGCTGCCCAAAATTTACCCAAGGCTGGATAATGCTTCAACCTGAAGTCCTCTCAGGATGTCGAGGTGATATTTCCAGAGTCTTCTCTCAAAAGGCAAACAAATACTATCTTCACTCTTTATTATATGGTTTCTACTCATTCCATTAGCGAACCTCAATATTCGTCCCTTGACTGTATCCCCAGGCTACCATACTTTTTCTCATCTTGCAAGCTTGGAACTTTCACCTTAATCTTCATACTCAAAGATATAACACAGCACGACTTCAAACCTCAATCCCGACAAGGAAAAAATGACACGAACCAAGGGCGCAGCTCGCAGGGGCGAAGCGGGCCATGAGTTTCGAGAGAATCAAAAGCGCAAACGCGAACTAGCAGAGGGTGCCTCAAGAGACAAAGGAAATTTCCCCTCCATCTTTCAGGAACAAGACCGACCCTCAAAAAAAGCAAAAGCAACTACAACCGGCACCAAGATATCTTCTCATCAATCTCCTTCTGTTGCTCCCGTCGTTCAAGATCGAGCACAAAATGACGCTTCCTCTTCCGCCCCAGTCACCACAGCACCCTCCAAAGTCGGAGGGCAGCGTCAAATCCCTGCCCCTCATGATCTAACTCACACCCACCGAACAACCGAATTGTCCATCCTTTCCTCCTCGCAGATCCAAAAGAAAGCCTCGCGTATCCTCTCGATCCTCAGTACCTTTTCCTTCTCGGATCCAGCACCCCACGTCGTGCTTTTATCTGCCAAAGCACCTGTTGCAGGCAAGCTCATTACTATTGCAGAGATAGCTAAGCGGGAATTGGCGAAGACTGGCGCGAAGTGGTTTCAATATAATGTTGTTGGGGAATTAACTGCCACTATCCCGAGTAATTGTTCAGAAGTCGAGAAGACTGGAGACGAGAAAGATGGAGATACAGAGATGAAGGACGGGGGACAAGAAGAGGAGGAGGAAGGGTTTGAGACCATGAAAACTCCCTTCGAGAGAGCACTCGAAGCAGAAAATAGACCCAAGATTCGAGCTGTGCCTACTTTTACTCTCTATCTGTCTCGAGTTAGAATTGAAAGCTTGAAGAAGATGTATGGGTATGTATAATGGCTTCATCTGAACCGCATTCGCAACGCATGGTAACTAATCTGAATCCTTAGAGAGCAAACGAATGCCTTGACTTGATCGAGCCATCGCGTGGCTAGAAAATAGAAAGAGCGTGTTATACTATGAACGAATGGATGGAACGTAATTGAAAAGGGACTTGGCGTTTAATGGACCCGGGAGGAAACATTCATAGATGGAGATACCCCAATACTTGCTTTCAAGGGTCGCAAGATGGTAGTAAATTAGCGGGAGTGCACACAAATCAGTGCATACTCAGCAATGCACCGATACATGAAACAGAAGCTTTAGCCCAGCATGCTAATTAAAACCCAAAAATATAAATACATATATATATGGTATGACAGCTATGAATAGCTACGGCTAGCTATCACTATTTAGTGATGTAATTACTTCCAGTTTTCCCAATCTAAATACACTCGCTCTCAATTCAATGACTAACTACATGTTCCTGCGAAAGTTCAATATACATACATGCAGTAGATATGCTGCTGGTCTGGCAGTGATATCTATATCACTTCCCGATTGCGACGTTCTCTCTCACCAGTAATATGTCCTCGACTCTCACCCCCATCATCTCCCCCCTATTCTCGCTTGCTCAAATCCTTTATTATCTAGCCCCTTTCCAACTACAACTATAAGCTTCCCCCTTTCTCACAATTCTCACTTCCTCTACATCTTTCTCTGCTCTCCTCCTATTCAATCCCTTCCATAAACAATTCTCAAAATAAAGTTCACCACCACTGCCACCAACAAGACCAAAGCCAACACAGTCGGACCAACCCGATCATCAAATCCTCCTTGTCCTCTCAACCTAATACTCTTCGCACGCCAATGGTACGTATACAACGCATATCCCATTGTCAACATGGAGATAACTGTGAAGATGGAAGCGGAGATGAAGGCGGGACGATCGCCAAAATTCAACATGCCGATTGCGAGAGCGCCGAGGATGACGGTGAAGTTGAGCCAGGAGAGAAAGGTGCGCTCGTTGGCGAAGAAGACTTTGGGTTCAACGCGTGTGGGGAGAGCGATGCGCTTTCCTGTGAGAGGGGGGAGATTAGTTTGAGGAGGTTGGGTAGGAGTTAAAAAGTGGTATTGGAGTTGGGGATAGAGAGAGAAAAGTTGAAGCTTGGAGCTTGAAGCGTATGCCTTTTGCGGAACTTCCTTGGAGAGATGGGAATTGAGAGGACTAACCAGGCGCAGTTTGAAGGAGTGGTTGACTCGACATCTTGAATAGAATGAGGTTTTGCGTGCGGATTGTGTGTATGAGGGAGGTATGATGATAAGGATTAAATGTTTAAGACACTCGATTTCTTGTTTCGACAGAAAACCGTACTACCAGATGTTCGAAGTAGAGGCGCTTTACAAACTCTTCGTCTTTGTGGCAGTAATTCGTACTTGATTTGGTAGAATCCGTGAGTGAAAACTCTTTCAATGATTCGGAAGTTGTGAAATTATGAAGAAAGCTGGAAGTTGCATTGGAAGATCATTGAGAAAGTTAGCCTTCACATTTACTTTCTTCTGGGTTGAATTCATAAATGAGATGAGATGGGCCCCACTCTCTAACACGTTTCTACCGATGTAATATGATTGGTCAATGGTTGAAGCTTTCTAGGACTATCACACTTGACCAATCAACGGTGATGCAACACGTTCACTGGAAACCGGATAGCTAGCTCCTTGTTTGTGTTATGTTGCCCTGGCGTGCCTGGTAGGGAAATCAAAACTTAAGCCTCGCAATCATAATAAAACAAAGGGAAAGAAAGACTCACCAACATTGACATTTGAGATTCTTAACGCAAGACCATTTGAATAACATACTATTATACTATTACATCATATACAAAAGATACAGCAAATATGGCCACTCCTGTAAGTTTTCATTCGAGATTGAATTGGGAGGAGAGGGAGGGGTGGTGAAAGAAGATTTAACTGATTGTATCATTTAGCCAATTTCATACACAAGATTGAGACAAATCGCAAGTGATGTGAGTTTATTAAACCCCGACCAACATATATTGTGTTGGTCATGTTTGTTTACTGGGTGGCATACTGAGAATGATAACATAGGCCTGTCAAAATGCACTTGGAAGTGCAGAGTTCTATGAGCACAGCAAGACAGAATCTTGGAATACTACCATCATTGTATGTCTACAACTCTTCCTCCTACAAAGGCAACACAGCCGCCATAGAATAATGAGTAACGATCTAATCACTTTCTCCCACAGAACTCCATTCTCAAATCTCTCATCTCCGAATCTACACCCTCAACCGGCGGTTCCCCCTCTTTCAAATACGCAGTCAATTCCACCATCATTCAGCATCTAGTACCTACATCCTCGCTCAACAAATCCAAAGCATCACCTCCAACAACCACAGAAGATACAACAGACGATGCGAAAGTGACAACAAGTGATGCACAAGGAGATGCAAAGAGCACAGATGGTAAGCCTCACGTAGGAAGGAGGGGAATGCACAGTGCGACGGGAGCTTATTGGAATGAGAAAACGGATGGCATGTGGAGTTTTAAGTATGAGGGTGGTGAGAATAAGGGTCTGGATGTGGTTATCAGTGTCATTTGGATTGCGTTGTAGGCTATGGTATGGGGATGGAGATTAGAGGATAGAAGGGATCGATCATTATGAATGATCCGTTTGGTGGACATAATTGTTAAGGACAATATATCGAAAGTAGATGATAGAGGAATGGTTGCAGACTTTGTGTGGGGAAGAATGGGGGATATACATTGAGAGCTTGGGGTATGGGGTATACGATTTGCACTCTTTGCGCCCCAGTCGCAATCAAGGTGATGGAAGTCAATCGACGCTTTGCTGTCAGTGGAAGAAAATCCTGGCAGGAGACAAGTTTGATTGATATGATGTAAATTCGATGATCTTTGGCGGCTTATGCGATCCAATTGTACCATTTCATTCATTTCACTTCTTCCTTTTTAGCATTTGATCATGTTATGTTGAAGTGGTAATGGATGTGAGTATCGAATCGGCTGGTAAATTGCCTGATGTACTCTTACTCATCATGATGTATGAACTGATTTTGTTGATTGGTCTACATGACAACAAGATAAGAAAGTAGCTCTTTTGGCACTCCTCTCAGCTATGGTGGTGTGATCTTTAATCCTGTTTCCAAAATAACTTTGGGTGGCATACTGGGAAAGCACCCGCACCTTCAATATGTACGATGCTATCCCGAAAGGATGGTATCATATCATTAGCTCGGAAGAGTGTCGGTGAGTCCTCTTCGCCTTACATTATCGGAGGTGCATTGCCTTACATGATCTACTTCTATCTACCCGGATAGTACGAGTATATAGAATTTTGTTGCCTCATCGCCAGCAGATAACATACAAAAATAGACGCGATTTTGACATCATTGTTTCAAGGTTCTTCTTAACTCAAGTATTTCAATCAGTATCGAAACACTGCGATTACCTAATCATCGAGTCATGTACTTCCGAGTCACGGATCCCACGATTCCCCTTTCAAAGCCTCGGATCAATTACGCTATCGAGGTTTCAATCCGCTTTTAGTGAGATCAATAGTGGGTCGGCTTGGGTGAAGAAAAGGTTGGAAGGCGAATGGGAGCTCCGATTTTTCACCGCAAAAAGAGTCCTCAGTGGTCAATCAGATGTTGGGTCCTAGTTAGATTCATAGTAAAAGGGTTCCGGGCTAAAATGGTGCGTGGGAGACTCCGGGGTGGGCGGATACTAAATAGTTAGGTCATGTCTGGTTTTTGAAGGTCGTTTTTTCGATGACTTAAACTTCATTGTATACATACCATTAAACCATTGACGATAAGACGACTAGACGATTGAACGACGAAACGAAGAAACGGATTTCAAGCGAGCAATTTTATATGCGAAAGGAGGATATACTTGTTGTATAGGTTGGACCACCCGACGAATCGTACCACGGACGACTGTATATTCAAGAAAGAGTTTACTTGGTGGAAATTACTTCGAGTTTAAAGTTTCAATATAAAGTAGGAATCACGAGAGTTGAGTATCACGCGATACATATATACGAAAGAGGAATCGATGATATTGTCGCCCCTGGAGTGATATTTAATAGGAAGAGTGAGTCAATCTTTGGACAAACTGGATTCTTTTCTGACTCAAATACTAGAAAACATCGCTCTTTGAATCATCGATCCTCTTCAATCAAGTCACATATACGTCTTGAAGAGATTGAAACCTCGTCAAACAAATCTGCGTAACAAAAACCACACATCATTTCTAGATCAAACTATCCATCAAATTCACCACATCATATTACCCCATCTTTCCCACAAGAAAATTCACCATGTCTCCCCACACATCTCCAAGAGGAACCACAAGCTCGGACCCTGAATCCTCTGAAACGGGTCTAGAATCCATGTTGAGAGATCTCATGACCTCTTCTCCATTTACTACGGCTACTTCTTCATCGGTTCCCGGTCAAGGTTTAGATTCCCCGGCTTCCCAGACTGCAGATCTGGAGAGTCTTCCCAATACCGATACTGAGAATTCGTCTGGAGCATCTTCGGATTTTGAGGATGGAGATATGGATGGAGATATAGAGGAAGAAAGTGACTGGAAATTCGAAGTCACCCCCGAGATGACTCGCCGATTATCCATCGTTCCCAGTCCAGAAATCACAAGAAGATTAAGTCTCGTACCCATGTCTATGCCTTCACATCTTCTCCAAGCATCTCAATCTCTCTCTCAAGCTCTGGAAATGCAGGAACAAGACGAAGAAGCCGTCGACGAAGAAGACGAGAAAATTACTCTCCCCACCCTCCCAAACGAACTCAAGTTGGAGATCTTTTCCCATCTAGACCCCATCGATGCCACATGTCTCGCTCTCACTTCCCGCCATACATATCTCATTTATCGCGCTATTCACGGCACCGCGCTTCCTCTTAATACCCGCCGCGTCGGACCCAATAACCTCGAATACGCATTCACAAAATCCACCGAGAATATGTGTACGCACTGCGGCAAAGGTCGCTGCGAACTCTGGATGCACATTCGAGAGTTCATGGAGACGGGCCCCTTGCAGAGAGAATATTGTGGGATGAAGGGAAATTTTGGGGGCAAGGGCAGAGAGGGTGTAGATGGTTGTTGGAGGGGTAAACCAAGTAAACCGCGTAGATGCGGAAAGCACCCTGAGCGCACGACGACCGTGAGGGTGGAGGATGGGGGTGAGAATCTGGAGAGGATTATTAGGGAGGCGAGGGCTGCGGTGGGGGTTTAGTTACAGTCAGCCATTCGTGATGCGTCTTCGCTGCGCATGGGCTTGCGAGTTTGAGTCGATCTGTCAGGGGGGAACTGCGACATTCCGTGCAGAAAAGAGAGCACTCGCGAGAGAGAACTGGGAGATTGGGAAATAGAGCGCAGAAGGAAGTGTCCATATTTGAGCGTTTGGAGACAGACATAGATGAGTACATATCCTCGATTGATATCTAGGTTTACACGCGATACCCGACATATTGACGATTATTGCATGCTTTGTTTGCTTTATTTGCGTTGTTTGTACAGGTAGATATGGGATATGGGTAGACGGAATTGCGGGTGGGCGGCTGGCGGACTGTTTTTGACTGTTTTTTTGCTTTTTTTGCTGTTGAATTGGTTAGTTGGTTGGTTGACTGCTTGGCTGGTTGCTTATGGGCGGATATGATGGATGGGTATGATGGATGTGTGGATGGGTGAATAGACGGATATCGTGTAAATAAATTACTATGCTAGATCCTAGATCGTAGATACCATGTATGCATGCATAAATTTTACTCGAGACTTTTTTGAGACGTCTGGGGATTGGTGGTTTGTGTGTGTGTCTGTTGTTTGTGTGCTTTGTTTGGATGTGTTGAAGTGAGATTTTTTGGGTTGGGCGCGGGTTTGGATTGGGTTATAGGGTGGAGGGGAGGTCGAGGGATGGATAGAGAGATGGATGGATGGAGTTTTATGTGTGAAGTTATCTGATGTGATGTAATGTGATGTGAGATCTGGGAAATTATCACTACATGAGAAAAGGAAAGAAGGAGAGAAGGGGAGAAGGAGCGAATTGTGAATGGGTATTTACTAGTATTCTCTAGTACGGAGAGTAGCTAGCTAGCTTGATTCATTATATATAAGGAATAAAATAAGTTAAGATGAAGATAGAAATGAAATGGTGATAGATTAACAGATTGGTGGATTGATAAATCAATTCTTATTTTAAAATAGATGTATATTATAGTATAATATTACTGAATAGTATATCATTATTACGTAGGCAGCTAGGTGGTTATCTAGCTAGCTGAGTGGGTATGTATGCAGTGAGTTTTAGGATGTGGGTAGATAGCTCCTTATAGCATATTAGTTTGTTTCGATAGGTACCTACTCAGTGGGATTTCCCTTGCAGATTTTTGGATGGAAAACTTGGATGAAAATTTTAATGGTGATTTGGGGACACTACAGCACGTGCCAACTGCTATCAGCCAAAACACGTTTTCATACCAAAACTTATCATTTATATTTATGAATTTCTTAATAATTAATAATAAAATCGAAGTATTTTTTATATCCATTGATTTAGTTTTATAAAATATTAAATAAAAATAAGATTAATTTTTTTAAATATTTTATTGATCGAATTATAGAGATTCAAAGTTGTGTTAATTTAAAAATAATGAGATTTACTAGTAAAATAAGCGAAAATCAAGCAACTTTTTGGATATTTTAATTCAATCGTATAAATTTTCATAATATAAATTTCTAAGGATTTTAAATTTTTGAAAATATCAAATTGTATTATAAAAACTCTATAAAAATAAATTTTGAAAGAATTTTATTCATATATCATAAAGATTTTAGTATTTGTGTCACGGAATTCACCGTCTTGTGCAACAACACGTGACTGAGCATGGCGCTCCTCCGAAGCGCCTATTCCTATGATCACCACATAGTCTTCTATTCAATTCATATGTGAACCCTAATACCTAATTAGGCGACTTTGTCGCCCAATCAGGGTATATAAGGTAGATATGATCCTTATGATCATACCTCAAGTCAATCTAGTTTATTATCACCATACATACCTATTATATGATAAAGTGACCAATAGACATAGCTATCCCTCCGTGATAATTTGAAAATATAGTAAAATGTTGATTTTTGGTGTGAAAATGAGTTTGGGCTGATAGCAGTTGACTAGTACTGTAGGAAAGAAAAAGAAAAAGAAGGGTAGGAAATAAGTTTTAAGTCGAGTTAGTTGATAACTGGAAAGTTGGTGTTAAGTGTGTGTATATGAGGTGGGTACATGTAGACACCTGTAGACACATAGAGATGGATGGATAAATACATAGATGAATAGTATTCAAGAGTTCTGTATCCATAAATGTAGTCACACATTAGCATCAAATCTTCCTGAATGTTTAATTCTCGTTTTTACATACGTAGGGGCTCGGTTTGAGTCATTGGCTCGGTTCGGTTTCGGGTATAGATGTAGATGTGAGGGACCTGGGTACTTGATGGTAGGTAACTGGTAGACGTCGTAGGGGCATGATTACGCAGGCTGTATAAAGTGACGAGATCGTGATATTCTTGGAAGTGAGCAGTTGATGCAGTTTAGTTCTTGATACATCGAGTTGTTCTCTGCCTTGAGGGTAAAGAATTCATTGTAACACATGAGTGTAGAGGGTTAGTATGAATACATTTCTGTTGTCCACTACTCAGAAAATCTGTATGATTAATTTGCAAAATGTATGAGATAGTTGACTGAAGCATCAAGAAGTGGTTTGATACCGGAAATAAGTTAATGAGGAGCTCAAGGAAGCTGGTAGGGGTGAGCGAGGGAGAGGGATGTAGATACTAGATGTTGGAGAACAGAAAGACTAAGAGGGAGAAAGGGAGCGATATCCGAAGGAGGGGAGAGAAGAGAAGAAAAAGAACGCAGTATACACTAGCAAAACGCGTTCGCGTTGTGTCATTCGGATGAATGAAATAAGCGAGTCTGGATTGAAGAATTTGAAAGAAAGAACACAAGTTACTCACTTGAAAGATGGAATCCAATGATTATGTGAATAGGATTGGTATGATGGAAGAAAGAGAAATGTGTGTTTTTACAGTCAGTGTAATTATAGGAACGTTAGTAGGGGAAGAGAAATTGAGTCTACTAAAATCGTAATAGTACTCTGAAGAATGATAATGGCATGTATAGGAATAAAATACAAGTTATATTACTTCATTACCGATGCGCACGCATTATATAAATTGAAATTCCACGATGCTCGCCCAAAAACAGATCATGCCGTACCAAACTATATCCCAAACTTGTAGAACCGTATTCTCGAATCCAAACTTTAGTCTAAAACAAGCCTAGACAAGAACGAGATCTTGCAGCTCAGATTCGTCTTCCGGCCACCTCTGACCTTCCATAACTCCATGTATGTACGAGCAAGGACCAATAAATGAGTAATTCTCACCAGTAGGTCGTAAGACGACTGGTACGTCTAGCCCTTTCAGTAGGAAAACTTCGTCTCCTTCTCGTGCTGTGTAGGCAGCTAAACCGTAGCAACTGTCAAGAAGAAAGAGAGAGTTATTCTGTAGATTGGTGAGTCTTAATGTGAGACTTGCCACTTCTAATCGGATATGTACAGGAATAGTAGCCATAAGTAATTCTCTAAAGTGATCGGAAACTTGATTCAAGTCGGAACTCCGATCGTCAATCAAGGGGGTGCCCATGAAAGCAACCATCTCAGCAAAAGCCTTCGCAAACTGTTCACTCCCACCTTCCATTTCCAGGAGAAGCTCATGAGCTTTTTGAGCCTGTGTTGGATCAAAAATCTGACAATTTGGATAGAGCATCCAGTCATATAGCAGCTCGAATACACTCTCGTGTACCTCCGTAGACCCCAAATGCTTCTGATTCTCGGCGAATATTGTAAGATTAAATGCTTCCTGAGATTCTTGGCGTGTAGAGTAGAAATATGAAACGTCGACAGCACAACACCATGCTCTAAAGACCCCTAAGAATATCAGGTATTGATTGGTGTAGAGGTAGATCATCATGAGTATCGCAGACTAGCACACGCGAAATAGAGCCCAGACTCAGATCTCGTAGTTGAAGTTCTCCGATTGTTTTTCTGGGAGAATCATCTAGCGAAGAGCCGTTTAAGGCACCATTCCGCTTATAAGATTTCCCTCGAGGATTGTCAACCTCACTCTTATGGAAGGTTAGTCTATAGTCAAGCGCTGACTGTCGAATTCCCCAACCGGGTGTCCAAGACGGCAGACGTGAATCACTACTAGGAAGTCGCGCAGCTACAGTACTAGGCCACTTATATCCGCCCCCCCGCTTATTTTATGGTGTCACATATTGCATCACCCTTTTCAATATTAAATATTAAATTAATCAAGAATTATAAAATTATCAAATTTGAATAAATGAATAATATATTTTTATATTATTGATATATATAAAAATTATTTTATTGTTGACTTTTAATTTATTAATATTTAATATATTAGTTATTCATTACAATATAAGTCTCAATTCTAGAAGATATATTAGCTCCCAAATTGTTAAATAATTCTTTATCTAATATATTCTAAGCTATTTGTAAACAATTCTCTAGCTTTTGATAAATATATTCTGATTTGCTTTTATTAATAATAATATTAGGAAACATTTTATATATTCTTATTTTTAGAGTCCACTATATATATTCTATAGAATTGAAATTAGAAGAATAAGGAGGTTAATTTTTTAATAAAGGGATCTTTTTTTTAAAAAATTAATTTTATATTTTATAGATATAATGAGTAGAAGTATTATTCTATATAAATTTATCCCTTAAATCAAGTTTTTCGAAAATAAGGTTTATTTTAATTTTAAGAATCTTAAGATAAGATTTGATGCTATACTTATATTTTATATTCTCAAAATCTTTATTTATTATATATAAATTACTTCTTTTAATATTCCAAAAGTTTCCTTAATATATAATCTTTATATTCTTATTTATATTATATATTTCAACCATTTCTGAATCTCATTTCTAAAAGCTAATATAAAAGCATTATTCTAATCTTTTTCCTTTTCCCACTCTACAAAGTATTTATCTAATTATACAACTAAACCCTATTCTTCAATTATTAACCCCCTATAAGCTAAACATTATTTAAACTATTTAATAATATATACTAATATAAGCTTTAATCTCTTTTTATACCTTTAATTAGTTATACCATATTTGATCAAAATCCTTTTAATAATTTTAATACTATAATTAAACCTAACCTCTTGAATAACTTGTTTATATATAGCTTTCGGAAACAATTATATATATTGTAATAATATTTATTTATTTTGTTTAATATATAATTTAAATCAATTAATATATAGTAGATATATATTATTATTATATATTAGATCTTATAAAAGAGTATATTATATAATTCTGCAAGAGAATCCAAGATTCTTTATAATTCAATAGAAACTGAAGCTTTTTTTTGTCTTATTAATTATTTTGCTATGTATATAGAGTAAAATACTTATAAGGATTATTTTGTATACCTTCAATACATTGTGTATTATAAATTGAAAGTATAATTAAAATAATAAAATGTGATTGTGGAAGTGTAATGCATAAAAAAACGCGTTTTGTGGAGTTTCGGCTAATAGAAGTGCATGGTGACTGTAGAAGGATGATGTTAAGATTGTATTATGAGTTAAACTAGCATCTAGTCATTTCTCCACATAACATCTCAAAGGGTTGATCGTAATTGATCTGAGGGAGATCCATATCCCGAAATTCAAGTAATGGATACATAGAAAATATTTAGTCATGGGGGACTGTTGCATCATACTCTAATGCCGATGATAGGAGAATCATTTCTGTATTGATTAATTCTCGCGAACAATCTCGTGGTTCCGTTCATGGGAGCGGAGTTGAATCGAATGATATTCTTCATAACAATCGGACACACCTTGTCACGAGAGATACCGTGGCACCGTTTGGGTTTACGAGCACTCTTAATAATTCCTGAACGTAAATGGCCGGGAAACAACCACTATTGACGCCAGTCGTTATAGGTATTCGAGGTTCCATTTCATTTAACCCATAAAACAAAAGCTGCCACCGAATAGAGGATGATCCCCATTTGACAAAGCATTTTCTGGAAAAGGCCACTTCTTGAATGGTCCAACAGCGAGAAAAACATGGATTATTCTGCAATTCAATCCAATTTCGATGAAGTTTCGTATCTTCCAATCAACGATTATTTAAAGTCCATCAAGATACGTGAGATTCGAATTGACTATTACCTCGTATTTGAGTGTCGAATTTCCATAGAATAGCTTCCTTCCATCTATGACATGAATTATTTCGTATTATCTTAGATAACAGGTACAATATTGCGCCTTCTTGTAGTATCCTCAAAATTCCCTTAGTCGAGACTGAGCATTGTCACAGCCAAATTATGACACAACTAGCTATGCGATATATCTCACCTATGAGTTGTATTTGTACAATGCGCTCTTCCTCCTATGGTTTACTTCTCTCCTGATCGATGCAAATAGAATCAATTCAGAGAGCTCGACTCCGAAACCGACGTCGTAGGCGGACCAGAGCACTGTGACAGTTTTCTGTTACGAGAAGAGCCTTGCCATCACATCCGATGGGTATCGAACCATTCGTAGAGCCCCAAACGTACGAGAGAGCTTCATAAGGTCCAGGAGTTTGATAGTCGTGGGATGTATATTTATCGATGTTAAGTTCTGCAAGATGACATTGACGCATGTGGCTTTGCTGAAGGGAGAAGCTTAATGATACGAACATATCGAGGAGATTGAAGTCGTGTATGCGTGTGAGGCTCCAAGTTCTTCATTTTTTCCTGATTAATAGAGAAGAAAGTTTTTTTAAAAGAGGGGAATGTATAGAGGAAAAGGACACGTAGAGGGAAATTATGTGCAGAGGGAAAGGATATATAAAGGAAAAGCTTGTATAGAGAAAATAGAAAGGTAGAGTGAGTATGATAAGATCTATCTGCATGACGAGGCTTCATAAGCGCCATGCGTATCTCACAACCATGCTCGCACTTCTGACTTATCTGTCGAACTTTCGTCAGAGCCATACGTTTACATGCATACGTTGAACTCTCAAACAGATGCAGTCTAAGTTAGGCGGCGCATAACTCTTGCGCTCTATAGGTTATCCATTGGAGATCTTACCCGCTTCATGGATTATCTATAAAACCTTTAAAATAATCGACAAATGACCTGTAGAAAATCTGTTTACATTGACATAACTCAACCTAATAGAATACAAAGGAGAAATATGAAACATTGTGCTTGAATTATCATTGAATGTTGAGTCGTCGGGTAAACCAGAGAACACAAGGTTCCAAGCGCGCACTACTCTATGCTGATATCATTAAAATCGTGGGGAGTATTCACCTAGTCAATTTCAAGCTCCTCCCTAGCTGAGCAACAAATGCATATACTCAGCCCCCAAGTTGAGCTCACACAGCATAACCCAATAGCTTCAACAAAGACATACAATTTAAACGAGCTTCAATTTGCATAGTTCAAATAGTGATTCATCGAAGTAGACGTGAAAATAGAAACCAATCAGAAACAAAAACTCGCAGTAGTTAATTCAAATAGTAAGCTAATCTTCCCAATATACCAATCCCAACCTTACATGTAACCCAAGAAACCCTTTCCAAACCACTAGCATAATAACCCACTCCAAATCCCGAGTCCCAGTACTAAAAACTTTGACATCCAACTCTTGGACCCCCCTTATAATTTATCTCCCTCACCAAGATTATCTCCCACCACTCACAACCGTACCATTAGAAACCACTGTCGCATTCCTAAACCCTCCATTCACAACCGCCGTCGCATTCTTAAACAACCCATTACTCGCCGTAACATACTCGCAAGCCCCACCTGGACAATACCCCCTACTACAAGCGAAGTTACACAGACCATCATACAACTCATCATCCAAGCCCGGGGCCGCAGTCCCAGCTCTGTCAATAACAGGTAGGGGTGGATTTAGCACACCTTGAGTTGTGCATGTGCAGCTGCGGATTGGACAGTATCCGTAGGGACATGCATATCCGCATAAGCCGCCTAAGTTATCGGCGCCGGTTCCACCAACGCAGGCGGGAGGGATAAAGGGAGAGACGGTTTCGGGAACTACGCCGTAGTTTGTGGTGCCGCACGCGCCGGGTCTGGAGGATTTGTTAGTGGTTTCATCAAACGCTGGGTTATCAGAAGGCTTGAGGGGGAATGGAATGCAATGACAGAGTGATATGCCAGTATCATGTGAAGAGATGATAAAGAAATACTACACTTACGGACAATACCCAAAGAAGCAATTGAAGGAGCAAAGTCCTTGATATTCAGAAGTTAACCCTTGAGCAGGATATCCAATCGTACCATATCCTGGTGTATTCGCCGCAGTTGGACGAGTCGGTTGCGGTCCATAATTTGTGCATGTGCATGCAGTATACTATCATCTCAATCAGCACCATTCCAAATCTTTCTCGCGAAAGCTATAAGAAATCCCTCATGATACATACCGGACAATAACCCAATCCGCAAGCAAAAGAACAAAGGCCTGCAAAATTATTCACTCCAAATCCTGCAATACAGACTTGTTCTGATATGTTGAGTGCAGGTGTGGCGGTTACAGCACTACCGGTTTGGAAGCCTGTGTATGCGTTGTAATTTGTGTAGCCATTCCAAGTGGAACAGTCGTTAGCGATGGGATTTCCTTGGAAGATTATCGAGCCGCTAGATGGAGTGTGCACTGTGACAATTACATTTCCGGTGTGAGAACCGTAGGCTACACTTCCGTGGTATATTCCGACGGCATCGGAGGGGGTGTCTGTCCAAGTGGCGCCTATTTAGAGAATGGGTCCGAATTAGCCTTTTGTCCTTGATAATGCGGGGTGTGTCATTATTCAAAGGCCATTAAAACTTACCTAAATCAACACCGCCAACTGTAACAGTTACAGTTCCCGCTTCAGCAAGCACCGCAGAGTAGAATATCTTATCTTGGACAACATCTGTTGGGTAAAATTCAATCTGAAGCTGATTTGCAGTATTCCCTGTCGTGTCGCCATCACTACATGCGCTGTTGTCTTTTGAAGTAAGTCGATACCAAGCTGTGACGACTTCTTGCTTAACGGTAGCAATACCGTGTTTGTATGTATCAATCACAAAGGGCAGAGTTTGTCTCCATGCGTCATGAGTCATACCATCGGCGTAATTGTAAGGACCATCGCCATGTATCGAGTCAAAGACAGAAGCATATTCTTCTTCGTGAAGAGGTCCTGAGATTGCGAATTAGTAGATTGGAACTTTTGGGGATCGTGAACAGGACATACCGATGTAATGAGACTCTCCATAATCATTCCATGTGATGATTTGTACCCATTCTGGTTGAGGGTCAATGGACAAAATTTCTTGCCAACGGCTATTTGAAAGTCATATTAGCTATTGAACAGGGCTGGTGGTGTAGCGAGAAATCTTACTCGAACCATAAATCATCCCCGCGCCACAGCCAATTCTTGTCGTAATTTGGCAAGTTTGTATAGAACCACTAGAGAACACTGAGGTTAGCAATGAAAATCCTCGTTATTGATGGTGATTATAATCAGAATACTGACAGGTGAAACAGGCATCATGTATGGCATAGGGACACCTGTTTGGTTCAAGGACACAAAGTAAGAAGCATCGGTATATGCATTCATATCCTCGTTACCCCAAGGCCATCTAATCAAAGTCAGTAATAAGTTGAATATTGCCAAAAGTGTGGACATACGCATTCCAACTGAACAATCCATCTGCAGTTCCACGGGCAACTGCTGCTTGTGCTCCCAATGAAGACCAGTTTGGCACTAGAAAGCAGCCAGTTTGTGCTTTGATTGTAGTCCAATCGGCAGTATTATCAACCCCTTCGAAAGTTGATACAAATGGCTTTCCGAGATATTTGTAATAAGCAGAGCTTGATTTATAAGTATTAAGAAGGCTAATGACGTTGGCTTCTGGCCAACGAGCAGTGCCACCTAGTGAAGGAAATATTTAGTACACCCATGAAAATAGAAAGATAGGCCAGAGAAACCAAACCTGTATAATCGAATGAGATAAACAACTTGAATCCCGTAGTTTGTGCAGCAAGGAAAGCATTTGCCAAAGAATTGGGAATCGAGCTATCTCCGTATCCTACATTGAGCGCAAAAGCATCAATATGAGCTGCTTGGGCAAGCTGGATATCTGCTACCCAGTTTGTTGTGGTCCATGATGCAACATTCCCAACCTATGGAGCACATTAGTTGCGGGTTAGATTTCAGAAGGGCCAGTTGCACGAACCAAAAAGTGGGCGAAAACATCTTTGGCATGTACATGACATGATGCCAGTAGGATTGTGAAGATTGCACGAAGGAACATCATGTGGTAAGATTTGAAAGGCAGTGATTGAGTCAATAAAGGAGAACTTCCGCGGTTTAAAGCTTCTCGAAGTGTAGTTGAAGAGTGACCAGAAATATTGAGACTGAAAACCGGCCTATATATACGAAAAATCCAGCATACTTGGAGATCGAGTCACCAAGCTGAGTTCGCTTGAACATGGGCATTTTTCCTGCCAATCTGGGACTCCTCATTTCGGATGAAATACCCTCGTCGTCGCTGTCAAGGCAGAATCAATATCATCGTGAAATTCTGATCTTTGTCGCAATCAAACTGAGAGCAAGTGCAATGCGCCGCGTTGCCTCGTTTGTCAATATTGGATTTCTTCCCCTTTGAGGTGTTGAAGAGTGATGGCTTACCATTTGATGTGATGAAGATATATTAAACGATTGAGGCTGCCTAGGTAAGTGGGGCCTTCCGTTAGACGAGAAGAAGACAAGGGGCTGTGCCACAACACAATCACACCTGGAATAATATTACACCGGCGATTTAATGACCGCACATCATCTTTTAGCAATTCGGACCTTTTTTTTTTATCTGCTTGGGTTAATTTAGCCCCTTGGGGATGCTCTACCGTACACTAATACAGAAGAACTTCGGGGATAAAATTAAGCCAGACCGGGTACCTATCCCTTGATGATTGCGCTTCTTTGACTATCATGATAGGAGAGTTTTCGGTGCCCCAAAGGATCTTTCGTCAAGGTTGCAACGCTCGAATATGCCGTCGCCGGATGCATTGATTTTGTAACCGCGGCTTCTCTTGAAGAACCAGAAATGCCCGCTCTGGGGCTCAAGGCGACAGTCTACACGAGCCTCGGTTCCCAAATTGATCACACTGAGTCACATTTGTCAGATTTCATGAATCTAAACAGGAGGCCCGAAGGAGGCGCTCGAATTTGGAGTTGCAATCCCTAAACTATCATGGCAGGACATGTACACTCCCGGATGCAATCTCTGTCAACTCGGTCTGACTCAGTGCAACTGCACAAGCATCATCTGTCTTTGAATGCCAGATACAATATCACAGTATCGTAACACCATGCATTTGCCTCCGCGCTGAAATTTCCTTCGGACGTACGGATGAAGTCAACCTTTAATTTGCGGGAAGATATCTACCCCGGTGATATCGTTTTCAATTTTTACATAGTAAATGAGTTCTGCCGTTGACTGAAACTTTCAAGTCAATGATAATTGACATTTCTTCTTTCCACCATTCATCTATTTGTAAGGCTGCAAAGTCATGTCCAGCTGAAATTTCCGATCAAAATAATGGTGCTGTAGAAGGTACAAACTAACAGACTCGAACGCTTAAGTCAACAATGAAATTGACTGTGGAGGTGAGCTTTCGATCTAGATTTATAGCAAAAGAGTTATCTCTTCTTCATCTACAGAGTGCTCTGTTCGGGTATATACTCACACCTTCATAAATGCAGCCATCTCCATTTTCACCGGGTAACGAATCTATCATTCAGATGGCCATTAATTATCCGACTCTAAGCCACCCTCTCCATTCTCCAAATCCTCGACACCATCTTTTCTCTTTCTAAGCTGTTTTTTCAATTCTCTATTTTCCATCTCAAGCTGTTCAATTCTTTCTTCCAATCCATCCATCTGTTCCTGAGCGCCAACACTGAATTCTTCGATGATTTTGAAGAAACGCCAGAGACGGAGAATAATCACAAGTGAGGCGACTTCTTCAAGGACACCATGAAGTAGCACATCAACTAGACGGAAAGGGTTTAGTTTGGGAACAGGATAGAGGTGTAATGCGATGGTGTGAGAGAAATGTATATGGAGTAGAAAGAAATACAGAAATAGTACATACCAACGAATCCGGCAACAATTATAGTAGCATCAAAGCAGTGAAATTTGCTACGAAAATAGCTGAATGGATCTTGTTAGCTAAGGTAATAACAGTCATAGAAGAACAATGTAATTCGCAGGAGTGGAATTCAACGTGAAAAAAAGTAGGATTAGAACAGAAGTAGACGTGAAGACATGTGAGACGGAAATTCAGCGGCGGATTGACAGGCACGCCAAGTCTTGTAAAGAGGTTTGATTTCCAAAGCCAAAAAGCCCCGGTTTCCAAAAAGCCTAATTGAAGATACACACCTCAAACCGAAAGCCCAAACGCTAGCAATCAATTCCACCATGAACAAGCAACTGAATATCAACCCAGCAATTCCCAACCCATCTCTCACTTCGTTCCAAATTGGATCCGTCTTGCCTTCCTTGTCGTTGTCGCATTGATAGAGATTTATGATTATATCCGAAATAATGCTAATTAAGTCGCATGCAACAAGGAGAAGAACGGTGTAGTGTTGAGCGCGAGAGGATAGGAAGCTCTTCGCGAAATTTTGAGACCTTCGGTAGCTATTTGAGAGCTTCCGGAAAAAAGAAGGGTGCGGTATATGGTGATAGGAGGGCCCAGAGGCAATGGAAATGGGTTGAGAAGAGGCACGTATTAGAGGAGCATGTTCGGAAATGTCTGAGTTGCGTCGAGACATGTTGTTGATTCGATCGTTTTTTCTAATCTTAATAGAAGCTCAATTGCCCTCCACTTCCAAAGGCAATGCTATCGTTCTTTTGATGTTCGATAATACTTGTCGTTGGAGGTATGAAGAAGTCTGGTTGAAGGAAGAGAAATTACGGTGTACTTGCAAAGCTCAAGTGACTCCAATTTTGGATTGGAATTTCGAATGGGAGGAACATGTGATTGTACAGAGTTGAATCTGAGGTCTGGTTGCGGTGTATGCGCCGCTCTTATCGTAATGGTGGAGCAAAGCATGTTTATTCTCGTTGATACCCGTGGATGCCTTTCATTCATCTTATTGATTTGATCAAGGAAAGCATTACCTGGTAGCCAGAATCCATTTGAAGACAATCTTCAAGCGCATTCAAAATGTTAAAATGCTAGCTAAGGGCTTGGCATTGCTTATCACTTTGGCAGGCGGCGGTAACCTTAGAGATCCTTCCACGAGCGAGTGCAGAATCCGAATTAGCCGACCTACCTATCCAAGCGCTTGAACGATGGCGTGGACGGGTAGCAACAGAGCTGGCTGTAGCCATGTGTGGTAGCCTTGTGGAAGTCTAGACGATTTGTGAATAACCTCAACCAACCTCAACCTCGACCTCAATATATTTATTTTCCATTTGAAACCTTTGCATTCTGTATTCTTTGACCATTTAAAAGTTTCGGTAAGTTATTCTCAAGCCTTACCATTAGTACAATGATGCCCTTTCATTTCTTTAAGCAGCTCAATGGCTTAATGACATTCACTCTCCAAAATTCGAGAATTGTCTGGCAACAGCTTGAGTTATCATCGGATGAAATGCAAGATCATGCTAGCAGATCAATTCACTTTCAGATCCATTCTGTGATAAGATTGCGCAATCTCCAGTGACTACCTAGGTAGTTTACAATTATTAAAATTCTTGCTAATAAGATTTCTTTCAGAAGCGCAACCTTCTCCTCTCCATCAACATCCTCCCTTCGACCTTGCTCGAGGATCCATCTACTTGAAAATTTTACAACATTGCACAAGTGCAGCAACACTATCTCAAGCGATCAAATCATGGCAGACACCGATCCAAAGCTTCAAGATCAGGTTATGGCTGGCGAGGATGATAATAATGATGAGGTACATTCAAAGGTGAAAGACCCTGTATCGAGAACCAATTGTTGACAGTCACTCTAGGAGGAGATCTCGGCCATGAAGCGCCGTGTTGCAGAGATGGAAGAGGAGGCTGCCAAACTTAGAGAAATGCAGGCAACTCTCGATCAACAAAGCACTGATCTTAGAGAAGACAAGGAGGATATCGATAGTCGCAGTATCTTTGTCGGAAACGTCGATTACTCTGCTTCTCCAGAAGATATTCAAGCTCACTTCCAAAGCTGCGGATCTATTAACCGTGTAACTATCTTGCTTGACAAGTTTACCGGTCATCCCAAGGGGTGCGTTCTACGAAATTTGGCTCCTTAAAACCTCGACGGATTGTGTCGAGTGTCATTGTGATAAACGCTACCTGGCAAGAGAAGGATGCTAATCTAGGTTAATGCAGGTATGCGTATGTAGAGTTTACTGAGCCAAGTCTTGTTGCACAAGCTTTGGTTCTCAACGAGAGCGTGTTCAAGGGTCGCAACCTCAAGGTAAACCTTCTTTCTCGTGCATTTCCCTGCTCTTTAAGCTCATTCCTATTACAGGTTGTCCCCAAGCGTACCAATGTTCCCGGAATGCAACGTGGCAGGGGTGGAAGAGGAGGCGGAAGAGGTCGTGGCGGCTTCTTCGGTGGTGGACGTGGTGGCGGTTATTCTCCTCGTGGAGGTTACCGTGGAGGATACAGAGGCAACCGTGGCAGAGGTTTCACACCATATTAAGCCACGAAAACTTTTGCATGAGTCTTCTTTACTCTAGCACATGATAAGATGGGGAGGGCTGCTGAAGTGATAGCATTAAAATTGGGAATTTGGGGGAAATCCATTTCTTGAATTATCAAACATTCATTCGAGAAGCGATTTATTCATGAAATTACCACGGCGTTTATCTTGAACATATGGTTTTCTTTCAATTCTCCATTTGGAATTCATTGATCATGAATGAATAGTCAACCATAAATCTGTACAGCAGAATTTGAATGTATACAAAGAATATGATTGCACAGAATTGACGATTACTAGGCAAGTAGTGATGTAGTGCTCGCGTGTTCTATCGTATATATAACTGCTGTTTAATCAAAACGAGAGGTTCCATCACAACCGAAGATACACTTTATGCTGTGAAGGGGTCCAGGGCCTGCACGAATAAGTTTGACTGCCATGGATTCGAATTTCTTCCCAATGCTACTTATACCAAATCGCCTTGTTCTTTCATGTTTTATCGCCGTTCCCAGATTACCCAATGTGAAAGAGGCTCTTTCCTTACCTTGAGATATCACACTAAACACTACTTACTCACGTGCCGGGGGGGGTACATTGTTTTTTGTATACGATATGCTCAAGGATTCCGTATCCTGGAAGAATCTGACCTGATCTTTGTCATGTCAAATGAATCTCTGCAACCCTCATTAACTCCTTGGTACAAAAGAAGCAAATTGCCATCATATCCACGAATACAGTTAAAAAAAACGTCCTTGATTCATGAATATTGGGTCTCTTCATTTGACGGTAGAGAACCTGGAAGTCTGGCTAAAAAGGTATGACGTGAAGTATAAAAATAGGTGGATGATTATCAATTCTTGCCTGAGGAAGCATCAACCTTATTAGCGGGGGCATTCTGTGCCGCCTTGACGATTTGATTGACCAAACTCCATTCCTCTTCTCAATCAATTCATTGAACCCCCCTTTTATGAATATCTCTTCATTATCTTTCCTTCATGTATGACGAATCCTTGAATCGATAACGATTATCGCAAAACCTGTCAGATTCATAATTTGGGTGTAAGGGGGCTTTTGCAGCTCTACTTAACACAGCCCCAAATCGACACAAGCGCAAAGCTTCCACCACGGCCAACCTTGAAACCCAGGGAACGTCAAAAGTGTTCTGCCATACTATTCTACTGTTATCTATTATTGACGCCCTAAGAACGATCCCGCCATCTCTGGCGAACCTTCACGATGGCCAGCAGTAGTAGAATAGACTCAAGCCTTCCAGCGTACGTTTGGAACTCTGTCATACAAGAATAACACTGACAGATCTATAGGCAGCCCAACCTGCGATTAACTAGTAGGCTTGTTCGGCAATTGAATGTCAGTCGATATACTAATCATCCACAGTCATTGCTGCCGACGGCTTGTACAAGCGTGATGTTTTCAGTAGGAATACCGAATCCTCCCAGAAGATAACCGTGTTAATCGTGTGACTTAGGATTTCCCGACCCTTTTGCAGTTGCGACATTGAGTGGCGAGCAGACGAAGACGACCGCTGTTATCAAAAGGACTCTGAATCCATACTGGAACGAGATTTTCGACCTGTGAATATGGAGTATCCTCTACAGGAAAGAATCTGGGCTGATTTCTTTTTAGGCGTGCGAACGAAGATAGTATATTGGCAGTACAGATATTTGACCAGAAAAAGTTCAAGAAGAAGGACCAAGGGTTCTTGGGAGTAATAAACGTTCGTGTTGGAGACGTCATCGATTTTTCATCGCCCCAAGATCGTGAGTCGTGATATTTCTCTTTGACGCCATTCACGTTTGGGAGCTTATATTTAATCACACAGAAATGCTCACCCGAGATCTGAAAAAATCGACGGATAATCTTGTAGTACATGGAAAACTTATTATAAGTCTTTCCACAAATCTGGATGGCCCTCCAAGAGGAGGTAGCCTCGCCCCGCCCACGAACGGCCATTCAACGTCAAGCAACCGACCTTCAATCCACACTCCAACTGGCTCCGTTTCTGGTTTCTCAAACTCTGCTTCTTCGCCTGCTTCTCATACCCCTCAGCCACAAGGAGTCGTTATGGCTAACGGAGCTCTCTCCAATGGACCAACCCCCGGACATGCACCCGCTGCAGGCAGCGGCGGAAGCAACGCACCTACGGCTAGCGCAGGTGCAGGACATCGAAACGGTTTGAGCTCATTCGAGGATGCTCAGGGTAGATTGCCAGCTGGATGGGAAAGGCGGGAAGATAACTTGGGACGAACCTATTATGTCGACCACAACACAAGATCTACAAGTTGGAATCGACCATCTGCATCAGGGACGACCGAGACAAGGCAGGACGAGAGAAATGCTAATACTCAAGTGGAACGTCAACGACATCAGAACAGAACTCTACCTGAAGATCGCACCGGTGCCAATTCACCAAATTTGGCGCAGCAACAAGCAAGCAGTAGTGCTAACACCGCTGCTGCGACTACGATGATGGCTACTGGAGCCACGACTGCAGGAACCGGAGAACTTCCACCACTCTGGGAACAAAGACATACTCCCGAGGGTCGTCCTTATTTCGTGGATCACAATACCCGAACCACAACTTGGGTAGACCCTAGGCGTCAACAATATATCCGCATGTATGGGGGTCAAAATGCCAACAATACCATTCAACAACAACCAGTTTCACAACTTGGTCCTCTGCCAAGTGGCTGGGAAATGAGACTCACAAATACTGCAAGAGTCTACTTTGTGGATCACAACACCAAAACCACTACCTGGGATGACCCTCGACTGCCCTCTTCGCTGGATCAGAACGTACCGCAATACAAGCGTGATTTCAGAAGAAAGCTTATCTACTTCCGTTCACAACCAGCCTTACGAATTCTCTCCGGTCAATGCCATGTTAAGATTCGAAGATCACATATTTTCGAGGATTCTTACGCCGAAATTATGCGTCAATCTGCCACTGATTTAAAGAAACGCCTTATGATTAAATTTGATGGTGAGGATGGTCTCGACTATGGTGGATTGTCGAGAGAATTCTTCTTCCTTCTTTCTCATGAAATGTTCAACCCTTTCTATTGTTTATTCGAATACTCTGCTCACGACAACTATACTCTTCAAATTAACCCCCACTCCGGAATTAACCCAGAACATCTTAACTACTTCAAATTTATTGGCAGAGTGGTTGGTTTGGCCATCTTCCATCGCCGATTCTTGGATGCATTTTTCATTGGTGCCCTGTACAAAATGATGCTTAATAAGGCTGTCTCCCTTCAAGATATGGAGGGAGTTGATGCCGATTTCCATCGAAGTCTTCAATGGATGTTGGATAATCCAATTGAAGGTGTTCTAGACCAGACATTCTCGACAGAAGATGAGAGATTTGGTGTTACAAACGTCGAAGACCTTAAACCGGGCGGAAGAGATATTGAAGTCACAGATGAGAATAAAAAAGAGTATGTTGATTTGATGGTCAAATGGAGGATTCAAAAACGAATTGATGAGCAATTCCAAGCTTTCATCACCGGTTTCCATGAGCTTATTCCAGCCGAGCTTGTTAATGTCTTTGACGAAAGAGAGCTCGAGTTGTTGATTGGTGGTATTGCGGAAATTGATGTTGACGATTGGAAGAAGCACACGGACTATAGAGGATACACAGAATCTGATGAGGTCATTAAGTTTTTCTGGCAAACGATCCGCAGCTGGGATGGAGAACAGAAGTCTCGCCTTCTTCAATTTGCCACTGGTACTTCTCGTATTCCCGTCAATGGATTCAAAGATCTTCAAGGTAGTGATGGGCCGAGAAGATTCACAATTGAAAAGCAAGGAGAGCCGAACAATTTACCAAAATCTCACACCTGGTAAGCTACCTCTAAACTTCTAGATATCGTACGTACTAACAGTATGAAATAGTTTCAACCGACTGGATCTTCCACCATACAAGAACCTTGAGCAGTTGCAAACCAAATTGACGATGGCAGTAGAAGAGACAATGGGATTTGGACAGGAGTGATTTATGTTTTGGAAGGGTTTCATTGGTTCTGCATGGTGTTATTTTCTATACAAGCTGAGGGAGGTCCAGGTTTCTCAACTTTTATATTACCTGGAATGGATTGGAGGTATGAATTATTATCCGGAATAAATAGCCGTCTCATGGCTCAAGTCTCGTTAGGAAATGCATTGTAACGATTGATACATTAATCGAAAGAAAACAAACCCAGCTCAAAGTATCTGATGACCTTGTATTTAGTGGGTATTGCATTAGAGAGAATTATCATTCGTTACCGCATTGATTTACTCGTGATGGTTTTTCTTGATGTACCATCTCCAATCAAATATGAAGAGAACATTGAGTAAGATTTAGGGCTTGGGTGTAGCCCCCCGTACAAACTTTTGTATGGTAGGCCGCATTTGCCAAAGATTAGAGATACAAGATACAATGACAGCTTACTAGTAACCAGATCTTGATCACGAGCACTTGTTTCGAGCAATAAATTTCGAAAGCATACTTTGTTGAGGGCATTCCAGGTCTAAATTATAGGTCTGGCAATCAAAAAGATAGTGCGAAGCATGCTGTCAAGACTTGATGAATAAACTTATCAGAGAGCAAGTGTTGGAACATAATCACGGTGGATGGGTAGAGTGTAGAACGAGCACGACACGAGCATTAAATCAAAGTTATCGAAACTAGTATTCTTTAGTGGTTGTTTGTGTCTCTAATTGATGTAGATCTCTAGACTTCTGCTTCGGGCCGCTTCTTCACTTAGAGGTTTCTGGTCCGTGAAGTGCTTAATGCAATGCATACATACATGCATCTGAACGATTCCGCTTCAAACGTTTATTTGTGTTATTGATTCGACCAACGGTAACAATTACTTCGTATATGTAGTGAGGTACGTTAGAAGTAGAAATATGCATGGCATATTGAACTACGTGGGCAACACGGTTGCTCGGCGACCCCTGAAACATGCAACCTAAAGTCGTCTATGTACACAGAGACTAGGCTATTTTCGGAAGTGCACCAATGAAACGCTAGGTATTTTGGGGCAATATCAATGCGGGATATGCTTAAAAAGAAGCATGGGGAAGCAGTCCGAAGATCATTCTGAAGATTGTGATATATTGGTTGTCCGGGGAGTTTCTTTTGCTTTTGGTTGGAATGTCTTGGTTGGTCACACGGGGGAGTTTGGCTTTTGGACGGTGAAAAGGAAGGAGACGGTTTGTATATTTATATGGGATGTATGCGCGTTGTTATGAAGTCTCTTCTTTTTTTCTGCTTTGTTTTCTCTGTACCGCGTATATTACACCGTTGGATCAATTGATCATTGTGAAGTTATACAAACAACGCATACTACACTACTCTCGCATATAATACCTGTCTAGTACTCGCACTTACTTTCATACTCGTACATCTATTTGCATCTATTCTACATCCCTACAACGTCAAACTTAACTTCAAAAATGCACTTCTCAAAAGCAACTCTTCCTTTCGCGGCCTTGGTTTCCTATGCTGCTGCTACGACTACATTAGCAGCTACAGGTGGTTTCTCTGGTGCTTGTGAGGCACAGAATGTTCTTGAAGCATGTGTGAATTCGACAACGGCCATTGCCCAGGCGTGCCAATCTACCGACTATCTTTGTTTGTGCACGAGTTGGAATTCAGTCTTGACGTATGTCTTCCCTTCTTCCACTCTATCTTCTGAGTTTCCTTCATCTGTCCTTTGCATTATAATCGATCCGGACCCTGACTAATTCATCTGTCTAATAGCTGCTATAATGTGTGTCCGAACGACACAGGCTACACAGGAGTTCTCGCCAATAAACAAGCCTATTGTAATGATGCCGTGGCCTACGCATCAACTACTACATCCTCTGCAATCTCAAAAGATTGGTCTACGACTTCCACTGCAAGTGATGCGACAGCGACGGCAACGGGAGCAGGAAGTGGAAGTGGAACAACTACTGCGAAGGCGCAGACGACTGGAGGAAGCTCATCTAGTAACACGGCGAGTGCAGCAGAGTCAACGGGTAGCAATCAGAGTAGTGGAGCTGGGGAGAGAGTTGTGGGTGTTAACGGGATGATGGCGGTTCTTGGGGGTATTGCTGCTGTGGGTGCTGCATTTTTGTAAGAGAGGTTTGAGGGCGACAGCGAAAAGAGGCAGAAGGGGTTGTGTGCTTAATGGGGTATGAAGGGGCGAGTATACTTAATGTGAGGGATGTTGGGTATGAGCTAATTTTTGGGAATGAGACATGCTATAATTGATTGATTAATTTCTATTGAATAATGAGCGGATGTAATGAATGATGAAGATTTGTTAGATCAAGTGGTATATAGTACTTTTATTGACTGATTCAATCGTTTTCATGAATTCGGAGCATGGGGTTTACCTTTTTGCATTTCGATCACAGAGCGAGTTTCTAGGGATGTTAGAACAATTCTTATGTTCTATTGGGTTTTCAAAGCAAGGACTATGCTATGTGATCATGATATGTGCACGGTGGAATAAATGAAGTAGTATAGATAAGTATTTCTTTCTACTGTATGTACAGAACTCAATCGGTTCTCAAAAATATTCACAGGAAAATATACAACAATGACAACAGCAATATCAATCACCCTTCAACCATCGCCCAAAAGTCCATCCATCATTCTTTGACCAACACCATCTAGATCCTTCTTAACTCCACCACTTATAATTTTCATCTGGAAAAAATTATCCACTGCAGTATCCGGCCTTAGTGGGCTCATCGCCTTTGTTGTTTCCAGTGAACATCTGGCATGCGTGGGCAGTATCATAACAGACATTCTTCAACGTGGCCGTGTCTCCGTAGTTAGAGTTGATACCAGCAAGAATACCACCGTTGACAGCAGTCGTGCCTTCAATGTAGACATTGCGCTTGCATTGGGATGAGCACTGATGAGAAAGTTAGTCAAGCCATTGTAAAAGAAGCGAGAGAATACAAATAAACGGGAAGAAAAATATCACAGGTGGAAAGCAAAACTCACGTTTCCGCAACTTCGGTACAACTTTCCATAATCCTCAACGTAGAAGTTGATGATGTTGACAGTTCCACATCCGTTGTGTTGCACGACTTTATCAGAGGCATGATATGCTCCGCCTCCTATAATCCATGATTGATCACCTGCCTTGTCCTTCTTGATGGAAATGGCATCCTCGCATACGTCTTCGAACCAGACGAATTTGAGAGTGCAAGCTCCAGCACAGTGAACGCCTTCAGCTTGGTTTTTGCCGATGATGACGTTTTGGAGAGTTGCTCCGGGGTGGAGGAGAAATACGGCGTCAGAGTCGCCTGATGAGGAGTGTTAGTCTCATTTTTGGGGAATTTGAATGTGTTGGAGTAGTTGTGTTACTTACCTCCTTCAGTTTGTCCACCGCAAGCACCGGATCCACGATCGTATCTTGCCCAGCCACCGTCAAAGGTGGTTCCAGCAGCAATTTCGATGACTTTGCTGTTAGTCTTTGTCGAAGTTGCTCTGGGAATTCCTCCGGAGTAACCTAGGCATGCGAGAGCGGAGGGGAGGATAGCCATGAGGCTTACAAGCTTAAGTGTGGCGACCATATTGAATGATTGGATTCGATGCTGTGTGTAGATAAAACCGAGTCTTTGATGCGTGCCAGAGGATGAAGATGGTGGTCATTCAGTATGGCATCATGGCTCTTATATAGTCACGAATCTGCGGAGTATTCGGAGCTCCTGCACCTCACTCGAGGAGAAATATCTTCGCGCTGTTGAATTCGTATAGATCCATAAAACATATCGGAGAGTGACTGCTCTTCTTGGAACGAGATTCCAAACCTTTCATTGGCATGCTCTAGGGAGGCTGCGACTTAATTCGTGCTATCTTTCAAAGGTGGAGGGGGGTGAAGAAACAATTTGTGAATACGAACGGAATAACTCCTCTTGCTCCATAATCAAGCTGGCCAGATTTATACCACACGACCAGCTGGAGTGCTATCTCAGCAAGATAATGTTGGTAGCTAAGAGAAAGATCACAGTCGGACATCCCTTGAGGATTCACTGTACTAGCATCGGGTACATGCAGTATCGGGACGTATACTACTTAGTACCGACCTGAAAGCGAAAGCAATTGGAGCGATGAACTTGGTCCTGCAATCTTTACTCGGGCATTACCCCGTGGTTTCTCCAGAGCTGTGCTACATCGTCATGTGCATATGGAACGTGGTGATTGGAAGCTTGGCGACTATAGAAGCTTCAATATTTTTCCGACGTCGGCTTGGCGCTTACACCGTTGTATGGCAGTGGATCCATCCATTCACATGAAACCATTGTTGGGGGTATCGTGAAATTGGGAAGACATGACTCGCTAGCGACAAGTGTGGTTAAAAGAAACTTCGCAAATTAACCGCCAAGCAGCCGCCAAGCGCCAAGGAAGTTGGTCCCGAAAAGCTCATGAACCTGGTGGACGGATTGTATTTCTGCGTTGGGATTCCCTTTATATCGTTGCATTCTCCTCACCAATGTCGGGACGAGAAACCGTCCGAAGATTAGACGCGACTTCTATCTATGGGAAGTGGGAACTGGTAGCAGGAACCTGAACAAAGACTCCTGATTGTATAGAGGTAGGACTTTTCGTTCCACTTCTATAGATTTTAGCAGCCGATGTTTCGCCTAGGTCCTCTAGATCTAGCGATGCGGGATGGGATGTTAAACGCACGGAATGACCATAACTAAAAACCTGGGTATGGGTATCATCATGCTAAAACGAACATCGAGCTATCTAGCTATGGGTATCGACTGTGGGCTCCTTCATCCTTCCTTTTCTTGTTGTAAATGATTAAAATCTGGTAGAGATACCGTATCCGGGACCTCCCTTTGACTGAATTGATTGATAAACACTTTGCAATTACCAATCCAACTCTGCCAACTCAGAAGTCCTCGAGACTTTGCTTCTCGAACACGGCAACTCTGCCTTCTCATACTCTTTTACGAAAAGTCCAGATTCTCTCAGGATGTCTTCCCACAATACGAAATACATCCAGCTATCCTCAAATTGAGGCTCCGCCAAATGATCCGCATACACAATCCGTCCTATGTTCTTGCCATGTCCAACCATATTGACTCCGTCGGCCTCCTTTCCAGTGTCTTCCAACCCGCTCGATCCCCAGGTCCACGCTTCTTGTCTGCGACCGTTATCAGTAACGATCTTCTTGACTCTGCATTTTGCGCAGATAGTCAAATCAATATCGTTTCTTCGAGACTGATAAGGTTCGCCGCCGAAGCTAAGGGCCTTTATTTGCGGGATAAAGCTGTCAGGATCACCGATGAAAGAATAATCCTCGCGACGCTTCTTGACACCCTGGACAAGAGCTCTGGCAAGAAGGTCGGTGATGTATTCATGAGGCAGGAGTTTGATCGACGAGGGGCTCTCAACATGGCCCCAGAATTCCTTCTCCATTGCACACTGATCCCAACTTGTAGGTGGCAGAACTCTGTAGCACCCGTCGCACCATTGTGCGCCGCCGCTCCAGAAGAAGCTCTCGTTCCACAACAAGTCCGCGAGAGTCGGGTACCATTCCACTTCACTATCATCAAGTGGCAGACAGTCAAAGCAGCGCTTGTCCAAATCCAATATATAGTTTCCGCACTTCGATACTTGCAGGCTTAGAGGTAAGGACAGCCGAGCTGCATAGCAGGTATCGGGAGTTAAAGGGTGACAACTACCATGAATGTAGTTGTCGATGTCGGAATACTTCCTGAATACTCTTCGGAAGTGGGAACCAGTTAGCGAGAAGCAAACTTTGGAAACGAGATCAAGCTCGCTCATGATCTGCAAGATGATATCGACTGGGCAATTTTTAAAGGCACCGACGACATCGCTGTTTTGAATTAGCCAACTTTGCACATAGCCGAGGGAATTTAGGGGAGAATGAGTTGCAAATGCGAGGCATAGAGAGGTAACTTACGTGCTGTCATTCACAAGTGGTGATACAATTGTATCCTCCACATCCACATCGTCGATGTCTTCTTGTTGCTGCAGCTGAAGCTTTTGCAAGCATTGCGCGACAGAACTTGGAGAAGACATGGCCATGAGTATGTGGCTAGATATACCTATAATACACGTTAATAGATGTGACTTAACTGTTATAAGATAAGGCTGTGCCGTGTTTGAACTCTCTCCTTGATCAAATACATGTTGAATGAATACGTAGCTTCGATGCCAATGAATACTGGTGATGACGACACCAAGAGATTCTCAAGGGGCTTGATGGTGAATAGTTTCGGATTGAGACGGAAACTTACGGAAATGAATTTAATTACAGATATTACTATTAAATAACTCGGACGAATATGTTCGAGTGTCGAGTTATTAGATAGTAGTATTCGCTCGGTATTAGATAGAAACAAATGAAAATCTTTGAAACTGAAAGTTAGATGTAAAGAGTATCTTCGAGTATCAAGGTAGTGAGTGAGAGGTATTTGATGTTTAATAGATTAATAAGACGTAAGTCTATTTTTTTTATGTTCCCAGCTATCTGTACTGTGTGAAATATGTGATAGGAATCCGAATTCTGGGAGGTACGGGGGCTGTCTACAATTTATATGCGAATGAGAAGTAGTGTATAAAGTTGGTGACTTGTTGAAATTCATCAAGGATTGTACTAAAAAGAGCTTAATCGACCGTATGAACAGGAATATATTCGTCATGATAGACTATTTCACCGTAAGTGTCGAGTTGTGAGTGTCAAGTTGTGAGTGTCAAGCTTCTAATTTAACGTGACTAGAAAGTCCTAGTATCAAGATCTACGTTTTCTTTTCTCGGTAGCGCTTGCCCTAAGGAATAGACCAAGAGGTACTACCAGATATATTTTCATTTTGGAAGGTGTAAGTATCTAGTAACAGTTTCTAACAAATCTTAGAGGAATCTTGAGCAGCAAGCCTAAGCTATCGCTGAAGGAGCTTCCTGATCTTATCCTTCCTCGCTAATTTTAGGATGTAAGTTTCTTCTCAAGATTCTTACCAAAAAAAAGTTAAGAAAGTATATCTCTAAGATGAATTGAAGCCAAAAGATGAAGCTTGAGAGACCAGCTAATAATATGACTACCTAGTCCCGAAAGTTACTCTATGGTCAAAACAACATGCTTTCATCTTATTCACTATACATTTGAACTACATCTAAGTTTTTGATTTAATGGCACTGGAAAAGTAATCAAGTCGCTCTAGCACCATGTCATGCAGCTTGCCTGATCACTCCTTGAAGAATCCTCAAACTCTGACTCTCGCTTGTCCGATCTTTTCAGACCTTGCGTTAATAAGTTTGAGATGGCGGGGACTCCTTTCCCACACGCTCGTAACCGAAATGAGCCTCATGTATAATGAAGGCACAAACTAGTCAAAAATGAACGGCCTTGTCAAATTACCCACATATAACGGCAATCTGCATTGGCATCCTTCAAGGCTCTCTAAGTTTCATACGCGCTATCAGATATGATTTCTTCGGTAAGTATTCCAAGCAGCCTAGTTGCGGCCGATGAGTCATGAAACATGGGTTACACATCATTCAACGCCAGTGCACAGGTCCATATTCGTTTGATGAGCCTCATTTACAATCAATCTTTAGGAAATAGTGAAAAGACAATGAGCAAGACTGTACTGCTAATAATTAGGAGCTAGCAAATTGAAAATCAGCAATGTGTTTGCGTCATGTCAAGACCGCTTTAAATTTCTCTTGAAAGGAAACTTGACGACGATCACCTTTAAAGTTCTGAGTTTCAGTTTAGTGATATGTCAGAAGTGCAGATTGGTCGACCAACGTTAGATCAAATGTCAGCGTGTCATAGGTCGATGCTTGGCCTTTCCTACTACTTCTAGCTTGGCTGTTCTTTCCATTCATACTACTTTTAGTTTGGTCGTCCTTTCCATGTATGAATAAATATTTTGATAGGAACGTACCCCCCGCCCTTCACAATACGACATGCATGGGTCAAAACGTCTTTAATTTGAGCATTGCCGTAATTTTATGAACAAGATATAATAGTATCATTGTGACTCATTGGTAAGCCTTGCAACACTCCCCAAGAGAGGCAATCCTGTTTTGCATGCTCAGTTTAGGGAGAGTGCATCTTAATCATCTCAAATATGAATGAATTTCACTGATTTCCCACAAGAAACTCAAATTCGAATACCTACTGCCAAGATTTTCTCGTAATAGAATCACAGCGTTCGTAGTATTGAGTTGAATCCGGTGGTAGTTGGTGCAAGTATTTCAAGTTATTAATCATTTCGTTTTGACTTTTGCGGTTCCAAAAATTCACTAGGCGATTGCGTAATTCATCCAAGCCGTTACTAGTGCGAAGAACGTAGTTTAAACCGAGCTAGTCAATTTGGTTGATTACTGCTTCGATGAATTATCTCGTGGCCTTTGGGAAGCCACGATTCGAATGAAGATTTTACGAAAATCGACAATGAATGAATGAATGTACGTTGCTCCTCCGAGTTGTGACACGTCATTTTGCCTGGTGTCTTAGCGAAAATAGGTTCTTTCTTGCGCTCAGACTTACTTCTACAATGTAGAGGCACTATGCAAGTCTTGATAGCTGCTAGCTACTTAGGTATAGATACTGGTGGTTCTACAATAATAGCAAAGCAGCACCTCATGAACCAGAAACTTCGTAAATTTGTATAACCGAGTTTGGCAGGACCAAACTAATAAAGTACAAACCTCCATGGTACTGCTTTCATGTACTGGGCCTAGACCAGAAATCTGAACACTCTTATATCCCTGTACCCCAGTACAGATACGCAACAGAAAATAACAAAGCAGGATTTTACTTTCAACCAGTCTTCACACCCTGGTACAGATATGCAACAAAACATGGAGGTACCAAATCCTCTTTATCCGGTTCGACAAAAACTTTTTCTGATTTTGGGATCATGGCCAATCAAACTTCGACAGACCGATTGCGTTATGGCCCTTTGAGCATGATCGACACTTACCAGCCTCCCATTTTCGAAGAAAATATGTGTGTCTGCCTCTAATTCGGAGGATCCTGACTACACTCAGCGCAAAATTCGAGTATTTCGTCCGCCCGCCTAGATGGGTATGCTTTATCAGAACCAAAAGTTTGTTCTTCGGGAAAAAAAGGGTGAGCCGTGAAACATTTTGCGGAAAATAGGACTCTCATTCAATACTCGGTAATGAATATACGGACCAAGCTATTCTATCAGATCCAATAGACACAAATTGCTGCAAAATATTAAGAAGGATATGGCATGGTGTACTTATCTTCAGATGGTTGACGTTGCGATATTCTCTGAATGTCGGCAGTTCGGCGGCAGTTTACATGTGAGTTATTATGCATGATTAATAATCAGTCGATCATAGTCAACGTCCAACGTCGGTTACATGAAGGAAAATCTTGTATCACATCCAAACATCTGAATCCTAGCCTCGAAGAAGCAATCTTTTCATTACAATACTCGTTCATAAGAATCTTGATCTAATGGCAGCCCCTAACGAGACCTACACTCCGGCATTTCCTCCAAAATCCAAGCCCCACATTTCAACCGGCATCCCCTTTCCTGAAGCATGTGCCCATCACATTAAAGATACATTCCATGCCTCAAAGGTCTACATAATTGTATCGAACTCTATTAGCAAGACTTCCAATTTTACCTCTCTTCAGGAACGCCTTGGTGATCTGGTGGTGGGCGTGAGGTATGGAATCAAACCACACACACCATGGGATGATGTCTTGGAAATCGTACAAGACATGCGGGAGCAACAAGCAGATATCATTGTTACGCTTGGAGCTGGATCACTTACTGACGGAGCAAAGCTCATCTCGTTCGTATGTTAAAGTCGTTCATATAATCGGGATAATTCCCAGCTTAATATTAGTATCCAAAATTCTGGGTAGCCTTAGACCTCTAGCTTGCGGGTTCATACGTACTAGACCTACTATCCTATGCTATTATACCCCCTAATTTTGGTAAAACTTCTTGCGGAATTTCCTAACACGGAATTAGGCATTAGCAAACAATGTATCCACTCCCGACGAACTCTACTCTCTCTCAGCAGATGCCAAAACCTCAGATCTAAAGCCATGTCAAGTCCCTATAATCAACATTCCAACATCCCTTTCTGGTGGAGAGTACTCACCATTTGCTGGAGCTACCAATACTTCGACACATCAGAAGGTGGCCTTTAATCACCCATCGATGGGCGCATCTCTTATCATTCTATCTCCTTCCCTGTGTATTTCTACTCCTCAACATGTTTGGCTTAGTACTGGTCTTCGAGCCGTAGATCATTGTGTCGAAGGACTATGCTCGCTCGATGAAAATGTTTGCGCGGGAAGCGATGAGGAGTTTTCGAATGGATTGAGATTGCTTGTACCAAATTTGTTGATCACTAAGAAAGATCCGACAAATGAGGACGCGAGATTAAAGGAAATGTGGGGGGTAGTGGAAGCAATGAAGGGGGTTAGCAGAGGTATCCCAATGGGCGGGAGCCACGGAATTGGGCATCAGTTAGGACCGCTTGGTGTTGGCCATGGCGAGACGAGCTGTATCATGTTACCGCACGTATTGAAATATAATGCAAAGCATGGCGGCAATGACGAAAAAGTTGTTGAAGGACAAAGAAAAGTACTAGACGTTTTGTGGGAGGAAGCTACCGTCAAAGACGTACTCAAGAGAAGCGGATTGAAAAGAGAAACTTCCGATGCAGGCGATGTGGTGGGAGCTATCGTGCGCGAACTTGGCATGCCGAGGACACTGAAGGATGTGGGCGTAAAGAGAGAGCAGTTGGATGCACTGGCGGATAATTGTTTGAAAGATAGGTGGTTACCTACAAATTCTGTACCTCTGACTAGTAAAGATCAAGTGCTCGAAGTGCTGGAAATGGCTGCTGGTTCATAGTATGATCATTGTGAGGGACCATTTCATTAGCAACAAACTTTAGGTAAATTCATGATTCACAGATTTTTTATTGATGTTGTTCTGAGCCCTTCTTTAAAAAGTTTGTTGCGCATCTTTTCTGCAGCATATCACAATTGTTGTTAGTTCTTTTCCACCAATACCTTCCAGCGCCGCGACAATGTTCGAGAATAATGACATGGAACAATTGTCAAGGCAATCAAAATTTCCAGAAACAAAATGCAAAAAAAAGTATATTGTACAGTGGTCAAGCTGTTTGTTGGGAAGGGAATTTGTTCTTACCACTTTGTGTCCTCGTCGCGCTACCACCGTATTTTGTATTTGTCCTGGTTCCCTGGTACAAGCCAGGTAGTGGGTCCCATTGTTGGTTTTGATGTTGATTTTGTTCCTGCAGAGCAGATTAAATTCAGTTGCTTATAGTCACACTCTGAAGAGGTCGGACTTGTTGATCCATAAAATCCCAACCCTGAGAAATCATTAGCATAAGAATCTTAGAAGTGGGAATCGAGGCATATAACAGCTTGACCACCGAATATGTTTGACTTTGTTGTACCGCTGCCGAGAGAGGAGTGAATCATGATGAGTTGATGAAGTGCGCGTAACACGTGATGGAAATCGGAATGAATCGTTTGGCTGGTCCTGGAAACCGTGCATCGGCGCTTGTGCATTTGTGATGTGATTCATGATGATTCCTTTCTATGTCATCAAGAACTCCGATTAGGATCTCTGTGGATGCGTTGCTGTACATTGAATAGTATCGTTTCTGACGCAGCCGTGTTATTTTAGATCCTGCTAGTCAGCCTCTGCTATTTAAGATGCAGGATTTATTGATTCTTATCAATTCTACTAACTAAAAGTTTACGATCTGAAAGACAAGAGGCTTGTTCAAGCAATTACTTCAGTTCGATCCAAGTCTAGATTTGTCCTTTCCAAGTATCATGACCTGTTTGACAAAACTAGGGATTAATAACTAATTCTCTCTGGAAAACCACATCATTAATCTGCGGAGGCTTTTAACGTTGCACTTAGATCTCTTGTGTCTTATATCTGTTATTGAATATCAGTACGATGGACAACATTACTCAGACTGAAAATGAGCCTACATCACCAAATCCACTCTCAAACGTGGAAAACTCGGGCCCGAAAGAGGACTTTGCAGGTAAAAGCAGCCTTCCGACGGGTCAACCTAATGACAATTCTCCGTTGTTAGCTTCAAATTCAGCCCATCACCCTCCCGAATCTTCTTTGCCTGAATTAGAATTCCCCATTCGCATAATCCAACGACAGCTTGTCCAATCTTGCGCCAAGCCCCCGCGCAGCAATTTAGAACACCTAGACTTACAAACACGTATTAGCTCCACACATAATCCAAGTCAGTCGCCTCAAGAACTTAGTTTCTTCCCATTGGAATATCCTCCATATCCAACGAGTGACGTCAACTTCGATGAATGGACTAACTATGCTGCCTATTGTGGCACGTCACCAGAGCCAGAGCTTCTCAATCTTCTGTCAAACGAAGAGAATGCAAGTCTTCACAAAAAGTACTTCACACCTCGATCTATAGATGATGTTAACAACGAAGATTCATCCTCTTGTGCCAACAAAATAACGATGCGGTCTAGAACACACGACTTCGAGGTAACAACTGCTCAGCCACAAAGTCAACTTCCATGATTAGGTAGTCGTGACTGCAACGACACACACTCAACAAACACTCAACACACACTCATGGAAATTCTTGCGCCATTGTAAGCAACTGGAAAGCCTCGGACTAGAGATCCAGAGAACAATTATAATATATCGAGAACGATCAGCTATATTGCTTTCTCAAAGTAGTCCATTCACTAGGTCTCTTAACTAATTTTTGCATTTAAATCTTCTCGGGGAAGCAGAACGGAAGCACGAATTCTCTCCCTAAACGGTACACACCAATGGAAATTTTTGCCCGAAATTTCCCCTTCGACGACCAATGGTTTGAACGACAGCGGGTAAAAGCGTGGTCTCAACTGTTTCCTTCAATGTCAAATGCCAGAGTTTACGGGTTGCGCATCTGGTAATTACCTTAAATAGTAGCTTATGGAAGAATCAATCTACTGAACTTCGATCCCGGTAGGCTGAAATATGAATGTGTGGCAGTGAGTTCAGCCTTGTCTAAATTTCCAGAAGGCTACCGAGGTATACTTCACTCTTGTGATTGGTGACATTACGAATATTCACTTCAAAGGCTATCATTTCTTCTATGTTTGGATTTTAAGGAGTTCTGATCTTACTTACAAATTTACTTATTCTACACTAATCTCCCACAATATACTTTCAACCGCAAGAGGTTTTAAATTGCCCACAAAAAGAACATGTTTCTCAAAGCAATTGACGTGCCCACCAAGTTGCAACATCCTGCGTATTACATTTGCAACTTGCACCAGCTTCCACAACTCATCATAACTAACACGTTGCAATATTCCATTCACGATATTTGCAGTAAATCCTACCACTTTCCGTGTCTTTGCTAATGATAGAATGTTCTTTTGCAGAACTCACCAAAGTATTCACTTACAATCACAGTCTCTTATCTTCCATTTCAACCGATAGTGAATGGTGAACGAAGACGACGAAAAGTCAACAAAGAACAGAGGCAAACAAATGGCGACAACAAAAGATTGAGATGTCATCTACGATAGTTTAGTTTTATGGCAGAGGTCACCCACAAGGATATTGATGGCACGTCTAGGCTTTACCTCGAAGCGAGAATACATTTTTGTGAAAGGGGCGGCAGAACTTCGGGAACAACCATCAACAACATCAACCTGCTGTGGAAACCCGAAAAGTCAACAAAGCATACTGAGGAAGAGCATCCCACTGTAATTACGGTGATCACATTATCTTTTTGATGTTATCATTATACCAGAGGTGTTTCAATTCCAGTGAGTCTCAAAGCCAAATTCTGACACTAGAGCTGCAGATACCATACAGAATGGCAGATGTAATGTTCATCGTTTATCATTAAGGTAGAGCGATCGATTTATTTTATCAGGAACTGAAGTAAACTGATACTTGAAATTTTATTGTAGAAAGCGCAGTATTTTCGAAAACAGAAACTAGGAACGATAGAACGCACTCCAGAGGAACTGGCGGATAGCTACGAAAGAGGCACGACAATGGATTATTTACATACGGATCAGGAAGACGAGAACGATTTGAAAGCATAGATAATGGTAAATTTTGCGGAAGGAAATAAATCTCTTAGAAAGCAATGGAAATTGAAGCATGTCTCGGGACTCGAGGGGCATGGAGGGTCGTGATCGTCGACAAGCCCAGAACCCTACAGAGACCGCTCAAACACTTTGGCATGTAGAAGCAGGCACCAAATTCGACCCGCAACTATTATCTTGCAGTGGTTTACAGGTTATAGAGTAATTTTGTATATGCTTCGTCGTATATCATCTTGAGCTAGTTCCGCAACATATGCACCATCGAAATTGAGGACGGAAGTTGATGGATAAGAGGAGGGATGTGCGTGAGAAAGGTCTAGGTTTCAGAAATGGTCTCGTATCTTATTGAGATAATTATATCGATAAAAATATCTAGAACAGCAATGAGTCATACTCGATTTCCGCGAGTATGCGAATAATGGCGTAATGAGAATGTGCACTCTTGCAGAAATATTCATGACATGCAACATACATCTTTATCAGTATCACCTCTCTTTTTCACTTTCGCTTCTGGCGAGGAACCTTCAGAGTAGATTGTAGTACACTTTTAAACGTTCGTTTTGATTTGAGTAAAGCTCTTGATGCGTCAGAAGTGTCTTTGGGTAACAAGAAGACGAATGGAGGGTCTTCTAGTATATAAAGATGACCACTTAGAAGTAGATGGAGTGACCATTATGTTTTTAAATCAGTATCATGAAGAAATTCATTTTATCCGTATTAACATAGTAGATGGTTGTGGAATGCATTGACAATAGAGCCAAGAGTGATTCTGAAGTGATTTTGATTTATTTCGTTTCTTTATCTCTACCACTAGTTTTGTACGCGAGTACATTATTTATCTTGTAATCCCGTCGCAAAACCTCTCTTTGACTCTCATTCGTACATCACCCTTCACGAACTACGGTGCCATCAATTCAGTTGCCAGTAGCTACCGTACCTCGAACAATATGTCTACCACACATGACGAATTGATGTCCCTCGAAGAGCTTGAGAGATTGATGGATGAGCAAGAAATGAACAATGCCATGGCAACAACAGCTTCAGCTTCAACAACCATTTCATCCAGTACTGTTACCGCCATCGCTATGGCTACCGCGTCTAATGATATCTCGGAAGCTAGCAACGAGAAAAGCTCTGGCGTCACTTTACTTAAAGAGCCATATAAAGATCAACAAACACCATCTCTCCCAGAAAACACTTCCGGCGCAAAGATGTCGAAGAGATCCGGTACTCGAGCCAGAGAGCGCAAGGCTAAATCGGCTCGGAAACTATCAAAAATCCCTGTTTACATCACAGAGAACCGAGAAGCTCACCAAAGCTACTCCATGGCGAGAGTCCCATGGACTGATCAGCACGATAAAGAACGCACTGCCGCCTACTTTGAAGATGCCACTCTTGCTAAGCAAGCCGTTTCTCTCTCCTTCGACGAGTCTGAAGGCTCTGGCGCTATCTCTCCTCCGGCTACTAGCATGGCAAATGCTTTAAACTCCTTTCCTACCAAGCCGCTTGCACCAAATTCTAGTTCTGAGCAACTAGATATCAGGCTCTTTACTCCTACTACTCTCGGTAGAGGTAAATCCACTAGTTTGAGCCCTTCTTCAGCACAACTAGGCAAGTCTAACTCGGCTACTACCCGAGGTTCAGGAGGCCCTCTTGAGGTCATCACGATTAGCTTCCCAACTATCGGGGTTTTGTATTCTGTATTGAAGGATTTAAATGCGGCTAAAGAGTCTAGCGCTGGTGGTATGTTAACCTCAATCAAAGGACCAATTGGGGAGAATCAGGTAGAGGTTTCTGGGCCAATTGGGTCTAATATTCGTGGGTTTGTTAAGAAAACTTGCCCTCGGCTAAGTGGGAAGCAGATAAAGGCTGCAGTTAAGTGAATGGAGAGAGAAATGGGCCATTAGATGTAAGTTAGACAAATCAAAAAGCGTTAAATGACTAATACTTATCAAAAGTTGATAAAATGCCGAGAAAGACCTAGTTCCCCTTTGTAGATTGTTTTTATTAAATTGAGACACTTTGATGTTCTTATTATTGCAGATCAGGTGATTTGATTACAGTCATTGATAATTTAGGTGAGTGACGAACAATTAATCGTTTTGATTGTTGTTGACCAGGCTGAACAATTATATCTTTCGAAGTGTTGAGTCAAAATAAGACAATATGTAGTCATGGTTGTTGAATATTAGGCGATACCTTAACAATCATTGATAGTCCAGGTCAGCATGGGACAAGATAACGTTCAGAATATTCTAAATCAGGTCATGCAATTATATTCATTGAAGATTTTTATTTCATTTGAGAACGTGCGCTTACGTTGATTAGGTATATCAGAAGAAAGTCGTCAAATTTTTGCAAAAGGGCAGAGCAATCAAGAGGCTCGACTGATGTTTGAGATTTCCAAGAATTGAAATTGTCACACGTGTCATGACATTAAAAGGATTCAAAAGTATGCTAGACTTATTCACGACGACAACTCTAAGATTCGATAGAAATAGAAGAAAAATCCAGTGTATCCACGTTGTAATATCAGATGGGAACTTGCAAGTATGCAAAAACTTGTTCGGGCCGACTGAGCACCATTAGTTGTATCTTCAGAGAGTATATGCTGAAGCCCTGATGATAGCTATTGAATCTTGCAGTCTAAGCTGAAGTTTTGGAATCCCAAAAGTTACCAAGTCAACTTCAAGCATTGAAAGCACAGTCGTTCAATATTAACTACTATGCCCGTTGCCCCAATTCAATTTGAATGTTGAAGGTACTATCGTCTGATGTCAGACACAAATCCCCCAAATTAACTTGGAAGATAAAATAACGACCATCTGATGATAGTAGCTCCCAAACTCCTCAACTCCATCTGAATATCCAACGTACTACCCTACCGTCTGATATCAAACCCGACAAACTTCCAAGTCAAACGTGGATATTAAAGATCCTCCCGCTCAACAGGGGTATTGAATGGCTCATCACCCGAAAGTTTAAGACAAGGTTGTCCATGACGATGAAACATTAGATTTCCCACATCTACAAAGAGATCCAGTATCGAAACGTAAATGAATACCAAATGCTACCTATCCGTGTATTCTCCACCTTCATTGACTTATTATATTCTTCGATTCTTGTATTTGACACATGTGATAAGATCAGTATATGGCACTTTATCTACATTGTCGCCCCTCAGCTGCTCAGCATTCTAGTGTCACTTGAAAATTAAAATATGGTTATTGATCTGCCTCTGTCGTGTGTCCAATTTTTGTGCAACGTGTAAGAGAAGGAGTGGATGAAAGATTTAACGACAAACACCATGAAGGTAACGAAGTCGCTTCGCAGACACATCGATATGAAAAATTTATGAGTACACCCAGATATGGATATTTCCCGATGAAGGGTACATGGTACAATATATGGTATCTTGATAAAACTACACTCTTCTTTTGGGTACCTAGCATAGCCTATGTGGCTTTTATAAAACATAACGGCCCGTTCGTATAATCCCAATTTCACCCAATCTACTCTATTTATCTTTAAATTCCTGTGAGAAGATCTTCTGCCAGAGATCCAACCACTTTTGTTGTTGTGCTGTGAGGGCCTTTCCAGGCGTTTTGAAAGATTTGGTAAGTATATCGCGAAGTCGAGCTCGCATTGTTTTAATAGCAAGCATCGTTTTCCAATCCGACACAGCAAACCGAGCCCTATTGCCATCTAATATGAAGACACCGGCGTACATCTATATCAAAATTAGTGGGCAATTTTAACGGTATATTTAGATAGAACTTACGTCACAGCGGACATCTCCGCAGAGTAAAGCAATCGAGAATTCTTCTACGGCTGTAGTTTCATGGGCATTATAAAATCTGCTTGGGTTTAGTGATAGAACTAAGTAACACGAGAAGAGAGAACTTACTGCTTTGCCTGCATAATATGATAATACGAGAGCCATTTGAGCTCATGATGACCCTTATTTACAGATGTAGGATGAAGACTAATGGATTGATTATTGGCGCAGTTGCGGAATCCCTTACCATCCCGGACAAGAAGCTTTGGATAGAAGCTCCAACCAATGACTGAAGAGACAATGATATCATTATCACTGTTTGCATTGATTCTAAAGGGTATTTCGAAAAATTGTCGACGTCGGCTCGAGTAACGTGTTCTACATTAATTAGGCCACGTTGAGAAAACAAATACAGTTAACATACCTATTCAGAGCAGTTCTCTCCGCCTCTGTAAGAGGGAGAAACCCAGAATCCACAAGACAAACCACCAATTGTCCTTTTAAGTCCTCAATATTCGATAAACTTTGCTGGCTGAGGAAATTTTTGCGACAGAATTGATACTCGGAGCCATTTGCCATGCAAACTTTCTTCCAAGCTAGGTAGGCGTTATAAACTGTCAAAAGATCAGAATCCCCTTTTCTGAAGGCAAGTCTGACAGTATCCGCTTGTTGTCGTTGTCCAAAAGGTGCAGAGAATGGCGATTTTGAAGATAGGATTGCAGCGATTGTTACTGCTGCGTCGAGACATTTGAAAACGCTACCAAGGAGCATAAGTTTTCCCAAGAAAACGTCGAGTGGTAACCTCGCTAACTGGAGACCCAGCGGCGTTAAATCTTCACCTGCTGTCAAGGCTCTAACATCTACAAGTGCGTCAATGGCGCGTCTGATATTCTTAGCAGACGGAGGATCCAATGCTTCACTCAATGTCTCCTCGATACCACCTAACTTACAAATCTTGACTCGAATGGCAAGATCTTGAAGAGATAAACGGAGGAATTCTGGGGTTTGCTGATCGGCCAAGATTTCATCGTGTCTATATTTAGTGAAAAGATGAAAGCAAAGTCCCTCTTGTACTCTTCCAGCTCTACCTCTTCTTTGTTTGGCATTTGCCTTGCTGATGAAGGTTTCCAATAGACGAGAGAGCTGTCTTCTCTCATCGAATCTCATCTCGCGATGCTTTCCTGTATCAATTACACAAGTGACATCTGGAATAGTAATACCAGTTTCAGCAATGTTGGTGGCCAAAACGATCTTTCTGATTCCAGGTGGTGGCACAAGGAAGGCAGCTTCTTGATCTTCACTTGCGATGGTGGAATGTAACGGATATATATACCAGTCTGACGAGAATGCCGGGTGTCCACAAAGCATATCATTTAAGGTTCGAATCTCAGCAATACCTGGGAGAAATACAAGGATGGCCTTGAAGTAATTAGCATGGATAAAAGTGTTACTCAAAATTCTGGGGCTACATGTGATCTTTGGTGCAATACCAGAATATCTGGTTCACATCAAGAGATACAGATCAGAGCATTGGTTTGGACGGAACTTACTTTACTATATTGCGCCAACCGGTCATCAGCAGCGATCTTTGCGATTAATTGAGTTACCAGATCAAATTCTATCCGATACTCATCGAATTGTGCAATAGTGTTTCGAGTTTTGTTGCTATAACCTCGTAAAGCTTTCGTACTTTCACTCTTCGTTGTCTCGCTAGAGACGTCATCTGCGAGCTCGACATCGTCATCAAGGTCAGTATACTTTTCTTGCAGACCATTATCTAGAGAAAACCCTGTAAGCTCAACAGCGTCTTCTAGATATTTGACCTGAACGGGGAATGTGCGGCCTGGAACGTTCAAGACGGGAGCGCCATCTAGATATTTGGAAAAGCGATCGGCATCGACTGTTGCAGACATTAGAACAACTTTCAGATCCGGTCTTCGCACCAATAATTTTCGAAGGACGATAAGTAAGAAATCACTGTCTATTGTGCGCTCATGAACCTCATCAAGGACAATGTGTGTAATATCTCTAAGGTCATTTGACCCCTCGAGCATTCGCATCACAATTCCGGTAGTAGCATAGATAAGTCGAGTCTCTTTTGATGTATTGGACTCGAGTCTGATGGCATAGCCTACCAGTGAGCGAGGAGTGCCAAGATCGCTCTTGCGTTCGCCCAGCTCTTCACTCACACGGCGAGCAAGAGAGATTGCAGAAATACGTCGAGGTTCCGTACAATAAATTTTGCAAGGCTTTCCTCTGGACAATTGGTGCTCCAGAATAAATGCTGGGACTTGTGTACTCTTTCCACACCCAGTCTCACCACAAACAATAACTACTTGTGAGCGATCTATAGCACCGAGTACCTCATCTTTGAATGACCACATAGGCAGCTGCATTCGTGACTGAAGCATATGTTGATAACTATGCGACGAGGATTTTTCAGCCCATATTCTCTGATATGCCTCGGGAGCGAATCCTGCCTTGGGACCTTTGTCCATGGAAGCTTCCTCGTTACCAGGCGTCCTGACCGCTCCTCGATTTCGGAAAGCGCCATGTATCAAAACACCATCTTCTAATTCTTGATCTCGTTTTGCGCGAACCAAATCACGGAATGTCTTGATAGCATTTCGATCTTCTTCATCCGACTTTTCCTTCTTAATCTCGGCAAATTCGGTCCAAAGATCACGCCATGCCGCTGGTAAACGGAGAGAAACCTTATCTTCTTTTGCTGACGACCCAAAAATAAGAAATAATGCAGTCGTAGCAATATACGCTTCAGATTGGCGGGAGTCGGGGGTGGATACAGAGACCATAGTAAAACTTTGTAATTTCGGACTTGAGGCATATTCGACCTGCGGGAGGGGTGTAGTTGCAAGTGGATCTTGTGATTTTGACCAGGTGATTCGGAGGTTGTGACGATTAGAGTAACTGGTATCAGAAATGAGAGTGTAAGCTAGTCTCACTGAAGAGTCCCTATTATCATTTGGTAAGCGTGGTTCATTCCTAGTAATCTTTGTGCCCCTTACCTTGCTCGACAGGCTTCTTCAAGCACTCTAGTTGGGCTGACGCCCGACCACTTTCCAAAGTCTCGAACAGTAACCTTCG